GTATTTTTAGTAAAAACTCAGGTTCTTATTGAATATGTAATGGCAATATTTTGGTGCAACTGTATAAGTCGATCTATAGTTGTTTAGATCAAATACATAAAATTGTATTATACTATTATGTACCAATCGTATTAAAATGAGCTTCAGTTAGGTTTAATCTAATCAGTGTGATATAATAATCCATTGAGAAGATTGAAACAATTTTTTTTTATTGAAATTTCAATAAGCACGTGAAATGTTGGACAAAAAATGTTTTAAAAAAAAACCTTATAACAGTATTGTTTGCCATAAGTTCATTAAGTCATAAAAAAAAAATCTAGACACGTCTATACTATTAATATTGAACAAAATAAAATAATTTTGGTTACGTCAAATTTAGTTAAATATAATATTATAAATTTTATTATTACATTATATATTGTAAGTTATCCAGTAAACACTAAAAATTTTAGTTATTCCCTTAATATTTAAAAAAAAACAATACACAGATACAATTAAGTATTAATAATTTCTTTAAAACTCCTCCATCATTGTTGAAAATATGACAATCCAAATATCTATGAAAATTATTATTTTACACAAGTAAGGAATTTAATAACTTTTATATTCTTCAAAAAAAAACTCGGTATTTTGTTATATTTACACATTCATTGATTTCTTCCCATATGAATAAACGTGTTTCTATAGTTTTATAATTTATATATATATATTATATAGAACTTTTTCATGTAATAACCAAAAAATAAATAAATAACCGTTGATATTATGATAAAAATAAATAATAATTTCGCTGCTTTTCATCGAAAGTACACACCTTATTATAATTAATAATATATTATAGAATTTATGTTAACACAAACCTTGAAAGTGAATTTGATTCATATTAAAGACAAATGGAATCAAATTTGCGTGAAATTATAAATATTGGCAAGTATATAGAATTAGAAAAAAATCAATTTCTCGAAAGGTAAGTTCTTAGATCATATACAATGGATAGACATATGAGCAATAAAACATGTTGCCAACATATTATCAAGAGGGCATCCCACTTTTGCGCATGTCCTAAGTATTGTTATCAGTTTTATAACCACCTACCTAATAAAATATCATTTGTAGGTAGTATATAACTATATGAAATATATATCCGATTATCCAATATAGGTTTTAATGGTATTATGAACAGGGTGACGCAAACACAATAGCTACACGTCCTCTTAATATGTTGGCGATATACTTATTTCACATTAGGTATAGCCGTAACTCTATCCATTGTATATAATTTAAGGGTAAGTTATTATTTTTTTGTTACAATTGTTACAAGTAAAACATAGAATGTAAACAAATGTTATCACTATAGCAACTACCTATATTATACTTAATACTCATACGGTATCTATAGTTCATAATGTTTTGGGTATTTATTATTATTATATTTATTTGTCTCTATTTATATAAAAACAACTTATAATTTGGTCATTAAGAAAATGTATTGGTTTTACTTTGGTATCTATATTTTAGATTCTGAATGGAGCGAAGAAGCTTATGGTGAGACTTCCTCGGATTTCTAAGTGTAGCAACTTTTCTGAAAGTAAATCGGTATAGGGAAGTACTATAAGTAGGTTATTTTTCGATTTTGTCAAGTTTTCTCAAAAAATTTTAAATACCGAAAAAAAAGGGAAAATGTACGAAACATATTACTAAAATACTAATATTTTTTTCCCTGTGCACAACTTTTCAACCAAAAATTTTGAACCAACTTTTAATTATACCAATGTTTTAAAAGGAAATTTCACTTAGGAGGTACTTTAAAGAGGTCATTTTTCGATTTTCCTTAGACTTTACCCAACAAATGTGAAAAACCAGGAAAAATGTATAGAAAAACTGGAAAAATCGGTACAACATTAAACAAATATTATTAATGAAAATATATAAAGCATATTTAATTATTTTACTGTGGCGGCACCCGTCCCCATTATCCTAGGACGTAATTTCTTTTGTCTATTAACAACTTGTCTGCTATCTTGCTTCAATCAAGAGAACTTTTTTATTCCAGTTTGACTCAAGTTGGTAAATTAAAAAGGTAATTTTATGAAATTCTCATTAATATTCGAGATTATGTGGAAAAATTGATTCTATTGGTTAAAAAGGATTAAGAAATTAAAAATAAGGTTGTCGATGATAGAGTGTAAAGAGTGCAATACTTTTTTTGAAAGGAAATTTTATCTAATTAGTACATTAAAGAGATCATATTTTAGGGTTTTTAAAAATAATTTGAAAAACCCGGAAAGAAAATTATAGATAAATGGTAGCGGCCTTACAGATTTCATTGTTTTTATTTTTTGTAATTTATGTTTTCTACCAGAAATATTGATCCAATTGAAAAATGGAAAAAGATCGATTTGTTCAGTTTAATATTAGCCACTTACAAATAAAGTAATTTTATAATACCTAAAGTAATTTTCATAATAATTAGGAAAAACCAAAAAAGACGAAAAATACGATTTTTTTTTTAAATTACGGCGCAACAACTTCATTATTTAAAAATTTTAAGTTTATATTTTTCTACCAGAAATCTTTGTCCATATTTCATAAATAGCATATTTTCAAAAACAAAACTTTGTCTCATTTATGAATAAAAAGTCGTTTTTTGGGTTTCAAATGCTTCAGAATTTAACATAAGATAGGATAGGTAGTTACATTATAAGTTATACTTATTGGCCTAAAAAACGAATTTGAGTAGAATACATTAGTTTTTTTTTTCATAAACATTTTAATATCAAATTTTAACGAAAATCGTAAAAAATACGATATTTCAAAACATGTATTACCGAACAGCGCTCGGAATCGTCTTTCGTCAAGCATTGGTTAATAATTGTTTACAGATATAAATGAAATAACCTTATGTATTTTACCTTCCCAACTTCTCAACAGTAGTCGCACCCGTCCCCAGTTATCAGTTCTTTTTTTTTTTATTTTATCACAAATATGTTTTAATTTAATTTTAAGTACTTTTTAATGTTTGATTTTATTACGCCCCTACCTGATCAATTTCCTGCGGGGGCCCATGCATACCTATATAAATATTATAACTATAATTCTATCAGTACCTCATTAGCTTTTTATATTTGTATGGTTTACTTCGAAATAGGTAGTCTATCATGATCATTGGATTTAAAAGTGTTTACGAAAAAAAAAAAATGAATGTTTAAGTATTTAATAGCTTCACACCCAGAGTCTAATATTTAGGCCCTAAATTTTAAAGTGTAAAACAATTTAATTTTACATTTCTCCCTCTAACCTTGTCTAAAATTTCCCCATGATGTTATTTTTATTTCGAAATTATAGTAATTTGCATACTTTAAATCGAATTAAACCGATTTTAACATTTAACAAAACAATAGTCAATGGAAATCAATATCAGTATATAAAATAGACACTGCCTACTTTTGTTATGCATATTGAACACTGTACTATTTTTACAAAATAAGTGGGTCGTAGGTGCATATTACAATAGTGCATAGTATGTGCATATACTCTCTAACGGCTTAATCGCAAACACGATCGTAATAATGAATTTATCGCCAAGTGAAATATTATTAATTATTATAGGGACCATAAAGTCACACTGGTCTGAGGATTGGGAACAAAAAAGTACCTATATAGATTGTTTCTCACGATTATTTTCCTTTCGTACACAAATATGTTGGAATATATTTAACTAAACAAAATTATATTTTACATTTCATTGAATTTATTATATTGATTGATACTGCATGTTTCACGCTAATATTAAGACGAACTATTTCAACTAGGCCTTAAATTTAAATGGAATTTTTTTAGAAGGTCATAGATTTCTGTTGGAGAAATTATAATATACGGGTTGAACATATTTTAAAAATAATAACTTCTACGGTACACGCACGCACAATAAAACTTATATTTTCTCAAATGGAAGCATTTATTTTTAATATCAGATTCGAATACTCCTAATTTTTTCCATCAAGCAACTTTGATTAATATAATATGCTTTTGTTTCAAAAATTTCCTAAGAAATATCGATTTCTTAAGTTTATTAAAAATATAAAAATATATTTTTTTAGATTTTGAGTGGAGCGAAGAAGCTTATAGTTTTACAAAGATGTTTATTTTTTTTTTTTTATCTGTACGCAACTTTTCTACCAAAAGACTTGCTCGGATTTTTACAAGTAGAATCTTTTCTGAAAAGAAATCAGTGTGGGATAAAATATGGGAAAACCGAGAAAAACGTAGGAAAATTTGGAAAATCTGCACAATATTAAACAAATATTATTAAAGAAAATATATAAAGCTTATTCAATTATTTTACTATAAAATGACATATATATTTTTGACAAAGCATCACTATCAACTAAACTCCGCTCAGAATCGTTTTTTCGTAAGCATTAGTTATTTTTTGCTTATAGGTATACATTAAACTATCTATAACAGTGACTGCTCCCGTTCCCATTTTCCTAGGACGTCTTTTTGACACTAGTATTGCATACTCGTAAAATAGCGCCCGGAAATTGGGCCTCAATGACCTTTTTCTTAAAAGGTATACGGTAATCGGGCCACTAAAATTTTACATTTACAATAGGTAGACTCGGTGATTTGTCGTTTTTTTTATTATTGAATCTGGTAATTGGGCTACTATATTTCAATGTAATAAAGTTGAATAAAATAATATATAACTATACGAATCGCATAGCACTTAATATGTTTAATATTAACAGCCAGTCAATGTATATTTAGCGACAACGTGCTTTATTAATAGGTAATCAATTTTCCAATTTTAATAAATTATCAATGACTTTGACAATGGCTATCAGTGGCCGGATTCCCGGGTGCCCTCAAAAAAAAAAAAAAAAAAACTTACCTGATTTTACCATAAGTATTTTTTTTATTAATCAATTATATATCTGAACACTGATTTGCCGGTTTATCGGTCCGTCACAGTAGACAATAATTTTCTAAGCTGCTAAATGAATCGCGTGATTTTGGATAGATATGCACATTTGACGACAAACCAAACAGTAAACACAGTACCGGTATCAGACTTTAAGCCTCTAGAAACCCTGTGGACGGGTAGTTTTGGAAAAATGATCCTAGCCCATCATAATCCGTCCGGTCAGACGAAAACCGTCAAAATGGTCAACCTTGTGTCAACGACCGGGAAGACGAAACAACTTGAAAAACAGAGAAACACAGAAAAAAACGTAATGTCGTCGATTGCCAGGTTTCCGTTCATTGTGAAATTAGAATATCTGGCCATAGACGCGCAATGGATGTACCTGGTGATGCCTATTGTGACGGTCGGCAACCTTTTTGACCTTATAGCCCAACGAGGACCGCTGGACGAAACTGCAGCTCGATTTTTTTCAGCTCAAGTACCTATATGATTTTTGCTACAAACCGTTCATTTTTTTAATAAAAATTATACGATATATATATAAAGCAGTGGTCCCCAACCATTTTATTATACGCTTTCTCTGTAGATTTACAAAAATCTATTGCCCCCCGCCCCTCTTAACAATGCGCTAAGCAAAAAACCAGTCATCAACAAATATACAATATAATATTAGTATAAAGACCGATAAGCAAACAATCTTTATAAAAATTAAAGCCCTCCCTAACACTATCACTACATTGTAAAATAATAATAATAAAATGTAGTGATACCTTAATGTGAAAAATACCTTTCTAATTTTACTTTTTGATAACTGCTTGCGTGTCCCCAGCAATGTATTCACGCCCCCCCAGTTTGGGAAACACTGAAATAGAGTATTCACACAGTATAATTAATTTATTGTCGTTGCACCGTACCGCAGATAAAATCAAATTTATTTCATCATCAAGTTTTGCGTGCGGCGTGGCGCGGGTATTTTTATTACCCCGCATTTTTTTGTTGTCGTATTAGGAAATCTGTACTTATTTTACCAGGTTTGTTTTTTTTCCACACCGCAGTATTGCCCAGATTCAATTGGGACCTAGCGTTAATCGGCAAATTCGACTGTCAGTCGGTATTACACTATATTGTATACTTATGTAGTAAAATCAAATCGAATGAAAAAAATTTCTGGTGTAAAAACCAGTCTTTTTATGTTAATAATCACAATTGTGAATAATTAATGTTTAAAAGTGAGCACTATTAATAATTTACCGGTACGCAAAATATACCCAGTACCTACGTACCTGCGTCCAGATAAAAGATCCTGGTGCCACCACTGTGTTCCTGTATGGATTGTCCGTATACATTATATCTCTCATACAATTGTGAATTTCGGAACGAGGTGTTCGTAAACGATTAGTTAGGATCTAAAGAAGGATTCCTTACCAATTGATTTTTAGTCCAATTGGTTAAAAAAACTAAACGGGTTTTTGTACTCATTGAGAGCTTATGCTACTTTGATACTCCGGTTTTGAATCAGTTTATTTTTCTTAAGATAATACTCGGCATCGAGTTCCTTCACGCAGTGGGACTGGTGCACAGAAACCTCAAACCAGAAAATGTTCTCGTAAACATCAACGGTTACGTGCGGCTGGCCGATTTCACGATGATGAAGCTGATCGGCCGGGGAAGGACATACACGCTGTGCGGAACCCCGGATTATATGGCGCCCGAATTAATCAAGTTCAAAGCGTATGGTCTGGCGGTGGACTACTGGAGCCTGGGCATCATGATTTACGAAATGATAGCTGGACGTCCGCTGTTTTTCGGGTCCGACGTCAGTATTTTGTTCAAAAACATTTTGTTTGGCGTGTACAAAATTAACTACGAGTTCAGCCCACCACTCCAAAGCTTGATCAGAGGCCTAATCCAGGCAAGTAACACCGGTATTTATACCTTCAATATTATATCGGACGATAGATTCCCGTGAGGTGCTGCAATAGTGTACGATACGTCGTGATGTGTTTAGCAACGTGCAAAATTAAATGAGTTTTTTTTTTTGAAATTTACCGATCTATTGGTTTTTTTTTGTTGCAAAATATACAAAAGTCAATATATTGCATTAAAATATTGGGCAAGAATATAAATTGAAATTTCGGGAGAGGTCGAATACTTCCAGTACGCGTTTCCCTACTCATCGTCAACTTAATTAACTCACATGTTTTTAATAAAATGTTCTATTATCCTGTAGATAATAACGCCAATAAGAAATTTTAATAAAAAAGCAGATATGTATGTTATTTATAAAAAATATATTATTTTTGTGAATATATACGTAATGGGCAGTGATAGTCCCACGAGGATTAATATTATACTAAACAAATTTACTGCAGGATACTGCATAATAATTTCTCTCCCGTGCAGTATACATTTTTTCTGCTTATTGAAATCGCTATAACTAATAAATTATATGTTAAATATTGGATATTAAAAAGCACAAGAGAAAAAAAATCTGTTTTAGGATAATGGGGATAAGTGTAGCCACTGTTGTAGGTGAGAAGTTGAGAAGATAGAAGTAGAAGAAGAGAAATTTAATGTATATTTAAAAGCAATAATAAATCATTGATAACGAATAAACGATTCTGAGCGGAGTTTAGTTAGTGATAGATTGATATATAGTTTAAGGATTTTGTTAACAATATAATATTATGGTAAAATAATTATATAGGCATTATGTATTTTCTTAATAATATTTGTTTAACATTGTATTTACTTTCCCGTTTTTCCTAGGGTTTTCCCATGTTTTTCTCGATTTTTTCCATTTATTGTGAAAACTAGTTAGAAAGTCAAAAATTACCTCTTTAAAGTACCTTTCCAGTCAGATTTCTCTTGAGAAAAATTCCTATTATAAATCGGAGCAAAATTACTGGTAGAAAAATCTTATCATAGAAAAATCATAAACATTTTTATAAAACCATAAACTTCTTCGTTCCACTTGGAATCTAAAAGAAAAAAAGACACACGATATTTTAGACCAGTGGTCTTCAACCTTTTTGGACTCGTGACCCCCTTTTTTTAGGTCTACATATTTTGTGACTCACGTAAGCTTTATAGTAGTACTATTAAAACTGAATACATAAAAATTACATTTTAGTAGGTAGAATATTTAATTATTATTAATTGAAAATGTATCAAATTCATACGAAAATACAAAATAAAATAAAAATATGATACAAAAATTTAATGTGAACTTTGTCCTTGAGTGTTTTCACATAATAAATTCCACCTTGGCTAAATTTGACTAAGCGCTATCCGTAAATGATCTTCAGTTTCAAGTCTATTTCTTTTAAACGTCTTCAAATTTGCCATAGTAGAAAACGCCTTCTCGCATAAATAAGTCGTTGGAAATATTAATAAAATTGAGATGACTTTAGTTGCTAATTTTGCGTAATTTTCCGTGCGCCCAAAATATTTCTAATGAAGTTACACAAAACATTTGTTTCAATTTGTTTTATCACACGATAACTCAATTAATTGATTTTCAATGTCAGTAGACATATTTACTGTCATTACATCTACTGCAAATGGTTGTTCAATCCACTCGTAATTTACTTGAATATCATCAGGAAAACAATAGTTAGATAATTTTTCTAAGTTTGTCAAATGTTTGTTTACTAATTCAAAAATTTCGTTGGTTAAGTTATCAATATTTCGAGAAAATACTCAAGCTATTATTATACGAAGTTTTTTCTTAAATGATATATGGTTTTAAACATCTTGAAATTCTATACGAGACTAAAAACGATTTTAAAGCTGACTGTGAAACTGATGAATATTTTTTTATGAGTTTTTTGATTTTTATGAAAGTTAGGTTTTAATGATTTGAAATACTCTATCGGTGTTTCTTTTAAATTTGGATGTTTTGTATCTAAATGCCTTTTTAATTTTGATGATTATACATTTTCATTTGCGAATAATTTTCCACAGACTATACATTGTGGTTGAATTAAATTGTTATGATCTCCCATAATAAAAGCACAAAATCCAAATTTTAAATAATTTTCATCATAACTTCAACTAATAAATTCGGATTTCTTTCTTTTGCGGGAGTTTTCCTCCGAGTTTGAAGTTGAAGGTACCTGTGATAACGTTGTCATGTCTTCATGAGTATTAATTTCACCACTTTTCCGAATAACTAATTAATCCATTTTATTAAATAATTTAATTTATTAAACAACAAAAATATATCAACGCAAAGTTAACGAAATAAACGAAAAAAACTTTTTAACAGATACGTAAATATTGACTTGAATAATAACGCGACTAACATTTATCATCTTTAAACACAGCAAAAACATCGATAATATTCATAGATTACTCTAACGATAACAATGTATATTAACTCTATTAATAGCACAGTTTATTAGTAAATTATTATATTCATTAATATTGAATCAATATTTTACTACGTAGAATCATACCAGTGTAATATGAAACATTATACTGTGATTTGATATCCATTATAATATATTATAAACTGAATTATATAATATTGTTGATACATAATATACTACAAAATTTTTTTAAACTGTATTTTCATTTATTAATTTTCGAAGTTTAATAATTAAAAAATTATTTTTTTACCTTATATAACTTTTATTTTAAAAAGAAGACTTATCGCGACCCAATTTTAAAGCTTACGCGAACCAAAAATGGGTCGCGACCCACCGGTTGAAGACCACTGCTTTAGACGATGGTTGGGCCACTGTTGAAGATGACAATTGAGAAGGTAGGATACAGAGGGAATTTAATGTACATCTCTACGCAACGATTAATACAAATAATAACGATTCTGAGCCGAGTTCAGCCATACGTGTTTTGAAAGATCGTAATGTTCACAATTTTCATCAAATTTGATGATAAAATTCTTATGAAAAAGAAACTATATTAAACTAAAATTTTTATTTTTTTTAACTACTAATTACGACTTACAATGAACCTATCAAATTTTCAAGCATTTCTGTTAAGTCTAACAATTTATCTACAAAGTACATACCAAATAATAATTACGTAAAAAAAACTCGAAAAATTTAAAATTGCATCGGGAAAATTTTACTACGTCCAGAAAAAGTAAATAAAATTTTCTGTTAACATTTCAAGTCTCTATAAATATTTTACCTGAATTACATTTAAAAAAAAACAAAATTTAAAATAATAAGAGAATTAATTTTGTAAATTTCCCCGTAATTTCTTCGTTTTTTTTGTTATTTCTCAATTATTTAAAAAAACTACAAAGAAATTCAAAAAACTACTTTTTCTTTCGCCAACTAGATTAAAAATTCAATACAACAATGATCTGTTGTCGTTTTTTTATCAGAGCACTATTTCTAGTATAAAATTGAATGCGTATAAATTTAAAATAAATAAAGGAATCATAACATCGTGAATTGGTCGGTTTTCCGGTTTCATTTAATTATTCTGAAAACCTTTTTAAAAATCGAAAAAATGACCAATACACCAACTAGATAAAATTTCCTTTCAGAAAAGCTGTTACACCTTGATACATGAAAGCAAAATTTCTGGTATAATAGTTGCTCATACACAATAAAAAAAAATAAGAAAGAAAATCACACACACATCATATGCACTAAAAAATAAAAATAAGCAGGTAAAAATGCATTAAATTCCATTTTTTAATTGCCTATGCTCTCGAAAAAAATTATCCATTATTATACGTTTTTCTCTCCAAAAAATAGCATACATTGTTATTACGTCCCAATCGGAAACTATGAACTAAAACGTATAAGAGATCTGTTATAACATATGAGGTTTATCAATTATCAGTAGAAAAATTTAACAAAAATAGGAGCCTCTTTTTGTGCTATGTTTATCCTGGTTTGTGCCCCACTTTGGGAGTTTGTGTATCAAACCCCGATAAACTACAATTTTTTTTTTAGTGGCGAGGGGAGGGGAGTGGTGGCAAGTATATGACATTGATTCAACCTACTGTATTACTATTTATCAATGAGTAATAGTAAAATAAATTACTTTAATATCAACAATATCATAAAATATACTGAGTAATATAGGCTAATAGTCCAGGTTTCAAGCTTCTTTTTTCTTTTTTTTTATTTCTAATTATTTAATTTAATAAAATATTGTACTTATACCTATTATAAAATGTATATTATAAAATTATTACCATATTATAAAATGTATTAGTATATTATTTTAATTGCGTTTTGTATAGGAAGACTTGAGCAAACGATTGGGAAATTTGAAAAACGGCATAGGTGATATTAAAAATCACATTTGGTTCAGAGCGATAAATTGGCTGCATATAATTAATCAACGGACGGACGTACCTTACAGACCGAATATAAGATTTGTATCACATGCTAAAGAACCGTCGGAATTATGGGAAGACCAAAACGAATTCACAGATTTTTAATTTCTTCTTTCTTTTTGATAAAATAATTATTTTTATAACATAATGTTGCGGAAAAAGTACAGTATAAACAACGTATTCTTTTTAGGAATTACAGTACGCTATACCTATATTGTTTTTACTAAAATAATAATCATACTGCACAATATAGGAATATTCGCTTATAGTATTATTTTTTTAAGTAATACCTAAGTACTAAAGATAATATTGAAATCCAGTTTGAAATAACGCGTTTACGTTCTATTTAAAGTTTTTTTTTTTTAAATAATCACTAAAAAAGAACATAAATAAACGCGGAGTGGGAACAAAATTCAGGGGGGAGATCATAGATGGAAATATGGGGGCTTGGGGGCCAATCCTCCCAAATATTTTATTAGCTCCCTAAAATATATTAGTGTCATGAATGATGTGTTTTTCGCATTTCGATTTCGGATATTTGACTGACTGCTATTTTTTTTAAAACGATTTTGTGGTAATTTACGAGTATTTCAAGATCAAAAATATATAATAGATATATCGACTAACCATACTGAAATAAATATGGCCGAATATCACAATCCTCGGACCATAAAAAAAATATTTTATCGCATTTTCTGTGCAAATTGTATTACTCATCACAATTTAGTAATCATGAATATGTGTAAACATTTAAAAGTAAATGTTGTTTCGCGTTCGGCCTTCTCCTGCTATTGGAGATTTGCCTTCACGACCTGGAGATAGGCAATATAGTGCGCTATCGTTCACTGTTTAATTTACTGTGTGATTAGTTATCTGGTTAAGGTAACAATGGTTGTTGGTAAAAAATTATAAGCTAATTTATGGATATTAATATATTGAGTCATATGATATGTAAAAATAAACCTAGTCAACCTCTTGGGAACATTCTACCAAAGTTCGTTCGACAACAGTGATTCAGCTGAGCATCCACGCAAAATAACATCAACAGAGTTGCTAGTTGTTGGTATATGACGCCATTGCGAGGGCCGAGTTAAGTCCAATATTTGTGCTATTCTGTTGGATGACTTTAGTGGTTTGTTACTATTGATCCAAGACATGACAATGGCCGAATTAGACCATAGGATGACATTACTGGGATCACAATGAATGCTGACACGTTCTATTTCTCTGGAAACCAACTCTACCAAAAGAAGTGCTTTGCAAAGTTTCAATCGTGGAATCGTACTGGCTTTTAGCGGAACTACTTTAAATTTAGAACAGTAATGTAATTTTTACGTCAAGCTGTTGGATTTGAACACTGAATGATGCAGAAGGTAGTACGTGGAGTCATCAGTATTCTGAGCCATCTCCATGTGGCCCATTTCAAGGTACTTGTTCATGAACTTCTTATAATCTAACGCAAGTGATTGGTTTTTTTAGAATTTTTTTAGTAAGAATAATAAAAACGTTTCTTTTCATTAGTAAGTATGCCAATATATATTAACTATATATTATACTATGTAGTTAACATAGTAATTACTAACTTCTTGTACATGTATACATGTAAACAACTCTATTGTTACAATATTTATGATTGTTAATTAAGAGTATAAATGATAGTTGATTATATGTAATATGTTCTGCAACACAGACAGACATAGTTTTGTAAGATTGCTTCGCTGCAGACCATGGTTTTTGAAGAAGTCCAGCAAGAGTTACTTATATAGTAAAATATTTTATTTTTACAGTTTTCCAAAAGATATATCTAAAAAAGCGAAGTGGCTTAAAGCACTTAATTCAACTTCGGTAACCAATTGGAATAAAGTTCGTAGCGAACATTTTAGTGCTAATGTTTTTATATTTAACAACAATCGAAATATCCTTAAATCGACTGCAGTACCAACCAGTTAGGGATCTTAAAAAAAAAAAAAATAAATTCAATTATTATAAAATAAAAATTCAATCATTATATAATTTTACTTTTTAGTAGTTATAAACTCATAGAAGAAGAAAGTTACACTGATAAACATGAATTATCGACAAGTTTTCCAACATATATAACGCTAGGAGGAGGAAAATCTATACAAATAATAACTGATCCTATAGTTGACGAAGAAGTGGGGCTTATTCGACCTCACATCCATCCATTTCATGATAATTTCAAAGACATTTTGAATCAAATAACCACTGGTATGTTGCTCATAAGTCATGTATACATTTATTATATTTATTACAAAATGATTAAACTTTCAACATATTACAGATACTAATAACTTTGATGACAATATTGTGAAAAAATTTACAATTAATGAAAAAGTCAGTAACATAATTAATTATATGTAAACCTAGTAATGTCACAGACTACATTAAATGTTTAATGTAGTCTATGGTAATATTAATGCTATGTTTTGGCATACCTCATAACTTCTAATGAAAATACTAAAACTTCAAGAACAAGAAGTTGAAAAATTAAAACAGGAGACCATGAAAATTAAAATGCTAAATTTGTAGTTTCAGCATGAAACTGGGGTAGAACGAGCATTTGATGATGATAAAACAAGAAAGCAGTAAACATATAATAAAAATCTAATAAATTTAATGTATATTCAATTTATTTAATTTGTTTTCATTATTATTGTTGATGTGTAACCAATTTAGAACAAAACCATTATAATACATAATTATATTTTTACATTTATTGTTAATATATATAAATTATATAAATAATATTAAAATAAATAAAACTATTAATATTTGTATAATACTATAATATAAATGTTTATAATATTACATTGATTTTATTGTTATTTTTAACATTTACCTTTCAAAATGACTTACTACCAACACCTACGTGCACGATTATTTTGTGTTACCCATCGATCTACAGAGTTTGGTACATAATTTTTTTTTTTTATTTTGATTTATTCTAATATACATATTATACAAATGTTAATAAGAAAGTATACGAGTGAAATTATGAGCCTCCTTTAAGCTTTGCTTATGACGGAGGCAAAAAGTGTTTATTTACTAATTTACACTGTTAAAATAATTAAATTTAAATTTAAAATAGTTAATATATATATATAAATTATATAAAAATAAGTATACAGTAATAGATTATAATAAATTTACAGATATAAGATGCAACATGAAACGAAAAATATAGAAAGTAAAGTTATCTTAGTTAAAATTAAATCTACTCATAAATATTAAGAATCCATTTAAAGACGGAATTTTTAATTTCTATACTATGGTATTTTTAACAGTATCTTTTTTTATTTCTACAAGCAAGAAATTATAGTATATAGATCCCAGATAATAAACAAATTTCTGAAAAACATACATTTTACAAAAACATATTTTGGCATCATATGCTCATTGCTCTCTTTTATTTTGAATGTTTAATAAATCAACCCAGTCATATAGGTGTTTAACAATTCACATAATTGAATTTTTTTTTAAACAACTGTTTTACTGACAGGACATGAAAAATTTTAAAATTAAGGTTAGTAGAGCCTTTTCATACTTACTTGCGAAAACAGATCCTAATCATTTTTTGTTGTAATTGTAAAGGTTTTAAAGTATTTTCAATCCCCCCCCCACACTAATAAACCATACTGAAAAATTGACTGATATAGAGCCAGATTAATCGATTTCATGGTGTTTAAAGGCACAATATATCGCAATTTATAAAAACTAAAATTAAGAGTACGTAAACGCAAAACTAGGTAATATGTATGAAGATTCAATCACATATTACTATCAAAAATTAAACCTAAATAACGAGTACTAGGAACCCTAAATAACATTTTAGAAGACGTTACATAGACTAAGATCAGCACAGAAATGTATTGGTAGTTCATCAAACTGTTTTCAAAATTTTTTATCTTAAAATTGATGAAATTGGTTTTTTTTTTATATAATTTAGTGTCAGTTTTTTATGTTTTTATTATTACCTTTTTGAAATCAATATCTGTAAAGACTAGTCTGCATTTTTCAATTCCGGAACACCCACTATTTCTAAAAAATTCACAATCGATTTTTGTTCTAAAATATTGACTCGTTTCAATAACATATTTAGATCAAGGTTTAACTTGTTTACATTTTTTAATAATTTATTTTCTTTTTTTTTAATTCATTCACCGAAATTATAATCTCTTGTAGTTGTTTCCCAAAGTCATCAAATTGGTTGCTCATAAACTTTATTGAATCATTTAAATTCATTTTAAAATCATTCAAATTTCATTAGAGCAAACAAAATTATTTAAAGTATCATCAGTAGATTTTTTCATGTTCAATTTACAATTATGACAGCACCATTTTGCTTTAAATTAAGAGTTGGTGTTCGGTTGCCTTGGTCCTCTATTCTGGACAAGGCCTGTGAAAATTAACTTGAATTGTATACTAACGTTATAAAATAATATATTATGGTAGTTTATAATACAATACTGTTATCATACATCTACTGTGAATAAAACAATTAATTTTATAATTAATTCTTTTTAAAATAGACTATATTAAATTAAAAAGGAAACAAAAAACTATGAACACATTTCATAATATAATTTATATAATAAGTATAACCATTTATTGCCTATAAATACTTTTATTTATAATCAATGGCCTATTACTAAATTAATTACTTTTATGTCATTTAGAATAATTTATCTTAATCGTGATGGTTATGGATAATAATTTTATAATAATATAATAGTAATGTAATTTTTTTATAGTGTTTGAGATCTTTATAGTTAGCACACAAAATTGTAGATTATGAAAATGATGGTAGACCATTAGGACACCAGTAAACTGCATAAATAAAAGAATGAATGTGTAGCCTGTGTTACTATAAATGTATTGTACCACTGGTTTCTAATTAAAAATGCATCATCAGGTATATCACAGTCAAAATGTTAAATGCAATTCAATATAAAAAAACTAAATATAGGAATACAAAAAAAAAACAATTATATAAATTGGCCATTTTACATAGAAATAATTTATTTTAATAGGAGATTATTTAAAATGGGTTACTATTAAACACATTCAGTTTTAGAAAAATTACATACCTACAATGAAATAAAGAAAAATTATTTTAATAATATTTTAAATGTACAAACCGATTTTAAAAATAATATTTAATATCAATACATTTTAAATAATAAGTAATAACTAAATAATTTATACTTTTTAACATATCTATAATCTATATATCTAATAATAATTAATTTTAAATAATCTTATTAAAATAAATTATTTCTATGAAAAACAACCAATTTGTATAATTTTTTTCTATGTATTCCTTCATTTAATTTTTTATATTCAGTGTGTTTCACATTTTGACAGTGATATACCGGATGATGAATTTTTATTTGAAATCGCATAATACACTTATAATATTCCAGACTATACTTCTAATATTTATATATTTATTTATGAGTATTAACCATTTTAATAACTGTTTTTGCTTTATTATTTTATTATAATTAATCATTAAAATAATTGTATATTTAAGTATAACTAGTATAGAGTAGAAATAAGAAATAACTGAAATTCATAGAAAAAATATTTATTAAAATTTTTTATAAAATCCATTAGTATTATCTAAACTAGAATAGATACTGTTTTACATACTTTGTATTTATTATATAATTATAACCTAAATATATATTATTGTAACTATTTTTAAAACATAATACTAAATATTCAACTGAGTACTTAGGTACTAAATAGTTTATTAGACAAGTTCAACAATCACAGTATAATTAACTTTTCTGAGCAATTGGTTGAATTAATTTGTTTTTAAAAATGTATTTAATTTTATAAACTTTTAAAAGAAAGTATATGTTTTAAAAGTTTAAAACTGTATAAAACAAATTTGCATTTATACATTTAGTACCATTAAAATAAGCAAAATAATAATAGTTTTTCACAGAAATATTATAAATAATTTTTGTTACAAATGTTATAGCCACCTAACTTAACCTAATTAATAATTCTAAATGTTTTAAATTTACAAATATATACAAAATAAAAGTCCTCCAACTCACTTTTCCAAGATTAAAATATCTTAATTACTTTAAAACAGAATATAAAATTAAATATCATACTTTAAATACATTTAAATTTATTAATAAATTGTACCATATTTCATATTCAATTATTATTATTACTTTATTTGTGTGGGTATATATAAATCTATATAAATTTATATTCCTTTTTAATTAAGTACTTTATTTATAATAAAAACTAAAAAAATACTGTTCATACTTGTAAGCAAGCATCACTCAAAGTATAGACAACATAGACACATTAAATATCATCTTAAGTAATATTTAATATTTTGATACTATTAAATATATTGAAATAAAATTGGTTTTCACTAGTATAAAAATTGTAAAAATGTTTAAATTAAACTATAAGTAATTTTGAGGTTAAGTTAAAAATGTATTGATTTTATTAATATTTTAAACAAAATATAATTTATACAGAATTTTATTTTATACAAACAAATATCTAATGTAGAATTGTATTTATTAACATATAAAGGGGTGGCAAATCTAATGTTTGTCTAATTATGTTTAGACCCTGAATCAAGCTTATTCGCAAGTTATAAAAGGCACATTATTAGTTCTGTAGTTGTGTGAGCAATAACAAAATAATAACTGTTATTGTAAAAATATTACTTATTATTTAGACTGACCATAAAATAATTCAATATTCAGTCATTTACACACTAAGAATAAAATGTTTAGAACAATAATTACAATAATGTAGATACAATAATAGTTCTTAAATCACTAAATATAATTGTTTTTTTTTTTTTTTATAGAACAGTAAATAAAAGGCAAACAATTGTGTATTAAAATATATATATATATATATATTAATGGGATTAGAGCAATAATTGTCATAATTTAATCTAAGACATTACTGCCGAACATGGAAATAATAATAAGACAAATATTATGATCAAAGTTAATATCAAAAGCCAATATCAAGTTATAAAGAATTCCATGGTTTATCTGCTTAAATAATAATTAATTGGACAGAAATTTGGTCTGAAGAAATCAGTCTCAACATCATACTTTAAACTTAATATTTAGTCAAAATACTGTACATAGTAATTCATAGCTTAATTTAAATTACTTGTATTCCCTTGTAAGCTGAAACCAATAATTATAATGTACGACTAGAATGGTTTCACAGGAATAGTGTTTTCGATCTGATGGTTATCAAAATTTGATTTTTGATATTGAACAAAAAATATAAATTGGGTTTTAACATGGAAACAGTAAATCTATTCGTTAATTTAAAAGAAACACTGGTTATATCTATATTGCTAAAATTAGAGGGGGGGGGTGCAATTAAATTTAATATGATTCACCTAATCTAATTAGTGCCAATAAGTGTATAAAAATCAAAATATTATATTTACAATGCAAACAAATAAATGCATTACACAACCATTTTTGCCTGGATATATTTAAAACTTAGCCTACCAAGCGATACCCATGAACCTAACCTTCTAATGGGTCCTACAAGTAAACTTGAATAGTGGCACAAATTTCTTTTGCACAAACTGGGCATTCTTGCAATTCAGCTGCACATTTTACACAAGCATATGCATGCCTACAAGGTAAAAATGCAACTTCCACTTCTTCTTTGAGACAAACTTTACAAAGCATTAGTTCTTGTGGTTCATCATCAGAACACTGTGATGAATTGCACAATAACTGGTCTGCCTGTTTATCTTTATCCCTATGAATGTATACACTCATAGCCATATTATAAGGATTTCTACATACAGCACAATGATCTAATGTCATAGCACATTGAATGCAAGCAATTATATGACCACATGGGATGAAAGCTACTTTCATTTCTTCTTTATAGCAGATCTTGCATAGCATAGAATCAGGTGTTGTCCTTGTATCTGGTTGTTGGGAAAGATTCAAATTTTCTTTAGATAGTGATAATTCTGGCTGTTTGTTTATTGTATCTACCAGATCTATTTTTCTAAAATAAAATAAAAATCAATATGAAATGTTGCATTAAAAATAAATTAAAACCTTGTATAATGTACTTCAAAAAAATGTTAAAATAATTTGGGACATGCAATTAAAATGCATTATAAACTATACAAAAGAAAATGTTTCAATAAAATTAAAAAAATTGAATATCAAAATCAAGTACTTCATAATATGATGTTATTAAAGTGAAACCTAATTAAAAAAAAAAAAAAAAGGGTAAGCACAGATGTGAATAGTATTTTGAAAAAATATTATTCATTGTTTTATTAATTTAGAGAGTAAAATAACTTAATTAAATTAAAACTAAATTCAAAATGTTAAAACTATACAGCGTGTCCCACTGATAATATTAAATTTTTATTCTCATCCACTAAACACAACTTTATCCATTCACTTTAGAACATTTTCAATATAGTCATTTTGTAAAAAAATATTATTCTTAAATATTAATATATCATATATTCATATCCGATTAATATTTTCTCAATTATAGCTGGTTTAATTTCTAGAAAATTGGCGTAAAAACAATTAATATTCAATAGATGGTAAAGAATTATCGTGCTGATTGTGATTTCTTATCATATAACTGTTATTTTATTGAATATTGTTTTCAGGAATGCTTTCTAGAAATTAACTAATTAAGAAATTTTCTTTTTTGTGTTTAGGGGATAAAAATATAAATTGAATTGTTCTCTACATCGATGACCCCCTCAAAGACAAAAATCAAAAAAATGTAACATTAACAGCGCTAGAACAGTGGGATATACTGTAACAATATATGAATTAACATCATTATTTAATATAATGTTAGTATATGTATATATACCACTATAACTACACCAAACTCTATATTACAGAGTTCACTAATGACCAAAATTTTTTCATTTTATTTTTATTTACTGTATTGAATATTATAATTTTAATAAATTTTTTAGCTATTTTATTAATTACTTTTTTAAACTTTTAGAATAATATATTTTACAATATGGCTATTTTGAATATTTTTCAAAGTGAATAGTTGTTTTCTTTTTTTAATTAGGGGATGATAATACAAATTTAATTTTTTCTACATAGTAATTAGATGACCTTTCTAAAAAAGAAGATAGAGAAAAAATTTTGAATATTAACAGTTCTAGAAATTATGTTTTTAAATATACAAAATAATATATTACAGGCTCTGTCTGCCATTGATATAATGTAATATAATATAAAGTATAGGTATGTTGTTAATTAGGCGCTGAACCTGTAATGCAACTTTCTACATGTAATGTGCTTGTTCATGTAGACATAAAACACACTACAACGGAGTGAACCATTTTTTGTTAGTTTTTGCGACAATACAAAAGGAGTTCACATCCCAGTGTGGACATGCTTTTATCATCATTGAAAAGTGCATGCTGCTGTGACTCTGAACTATAAATGAAAATGTCCATGGCAAACTGCACACTTTGACATTGGATTGCTGGCATAGTACGTATTCATAGTGAAATAAAAATTAATCCGTGTCCCTTGTGTACCACTGCATTATAAGTTCTGCCTGATCCTGTGTACCCGCCTTTAGGTGAGTTGTATATCAGGTCAAGTCAGCCAAATCTATATTTGTTCAGGAGAAATACTCTAATACAGCTCACTTTGAAAATAAACCTGAAGACCTGGAAAATTATAGTGGTCCTACGCCTAGTGAAGCCTTTACAGCATTAGTCAGCATTACCTTTACAGCATTAGATTATTATTTTCAAAAATAGGCACAAAAATGAATGTATTTTTATTTTATAGTATGTATATTATATTTTTAAATTTTAATTAATTATTCTATGTACTTTTAACATTACATATACAATGTTATATTATACATTATACTTACAGTGCATTAGTTTTTTTAATTTAATCATCATTAATTCAATCAAAATAATCAATATTTGATTATCTGTACTTCCCTCAGTCCCAATTAGTCAAACTAACAATGTTTCAAATATAAACCAAAAAGTTATTAAAGCATTAACTGTGACTGGTAATACTTGGAATTAGGCAATATAAATAGCAGAGAACTCTTTAAAACTGATTATAAAAATTGTTTGAAGAACAGGAACATAATAAAAAAAATTACTGTTTTTCAAATTTAGCAAGAATATCTCCAGATATATATATATTTTAATAGCCCACATGTAAATTCATTTTAAAATGCAAATGCAATCATAAACAGATTTAACAAAACAAAACTCTATTCATATTTTAGAAATATGCGCTGGCAAAAAAATATATATTTTACTTTATTTAATCTATAATAGATTATGGTTTAGTCATATGGGGAGAAGCAGCACAAACCTATATAAACTACACTCTTTTCCAAAAGAAAATTTTCCTACCACAAAATTAGTAACTGTTTTCTGATTAGTCACCATTGGTCAGCTACTATCAACCCAGCTGTGCATACAGAGAATTGAAAAACAAAAGATTTTGTTTTACATGTATGTACGCAAATGTTGTGTGAATACAAATCACTATGCATACAAGGTTATGGCTGAAACTGTCAGAAGTGGTAAGATTTATGTCTGCAACCCAGTGCGTTCTTATTTGAAAAAGAGTAAACATACAAACAGCAAAAAATCCCTCCCTTATAATTGTGCTCAGAAACAAAAATATTTAACTATAAAAAAAAACATTGTGCTAAATATCACCAACTTAACACAACCAATAAATCATAACAAGAGATCTGAAAATTTAATATTTCCCAAAATAAACACTGTAAAATATTATGACAGCTCTCTGATAACTGGTTTAAGTCTACATACAAACTGAAAATTCAATAATTCAAAATATCAAATTATATAATAAAAATTGTAAATAATTTGTACATTTTAAAATGTAGAGAGTAGAGGGATTGTTATTGAATAGTAAACAAATTTTAGAAATAATATAAACTATATCATTTATATTCATATATAGTTTTATGATTATTATTTGTTTTTATTTATAGTGAAATAAAAGCAAAATATTTTAATACAAGAACTTTCTTTTTTAGTGTTTGTGTGTATACTAGAAGTGTTCCAGGTACATTATTTATTAACAAACCAGGTACCCAGCATTAGTGGAGTAATAATAATTTATATAAATGCTAGATACCAAGTAGTCATCTGGTACACAATATGATATCTGGTACCCAGTTAGGACCCAATGACCAGGTAACCAGAACATCCCTAATATATACTTAGCAATTTTGTAAATTTCTCAATACTAAAAAATAAATATAAATTATTATATTGTGTACCTTTGTGTCAAATTAACTTCAATATTGTTATTCTCAGAAATGGTAACATCTTTTTGATTGGAGATTGACTTTAATAAAACCTGTACATTAATTACAACGTTTTTAATTTTATCTCAAACTGAATAGAGAATTTCTTACATCTTTGTTGATCTTTGGTAGATCAGTTTTCATATCACGTGCTTCATCAACAAATTGTTTGCCTTTATTTAACAACAAAAAACTACAATTTGGTGAAAATCGGGCATGTTCTTTCCAAGGATCATCATCATCATCCCAATCCTTTAGACCTTGAGTACAAAAGAAACACATAACCACATCTGTTTGACCATCACCTAATACATAATAAAATTAATATTATACTTAATATTCATAATTATTAAAACATTGATAATTTATAATATTACAAATATTATAAATTTACCCATATAATATAATCCAGCTTCACATAGGGCATGAATATCGATCTTCAATTGTATCACACATTTGTCATATGTTTTTAAGCGAGCTTCCATGGTGGCAAAATCTCTATTTTTGAGAGATTTAATTTGCTGCACTACACCCATTGAATCTAAGAACTGTTGAATTTCTTTTGTCTCTGCATCTGACTTTGGATATGTAGGCAAATCATAACAGCCACATACATCATAACCTGTAAAAATTGTGTTACTTAAAATGAAGTAATAAATCAAAACAACACCTTTAAGATTACGAAGTCTGTTCAAAAAGTACCAGGACAAATATTATTGCGGCTAATCTATAGTCTCTATCTTATCTCAGTTTAATATTATACATGGTTAAAACTATTTAGTTTGTTTCATTCTTCGTTTTTGTCATGTCCCAAATTAACGAACAATGTGTGTGCATCAAATTTTGCTTGAAACTTGGTAAAAATGCAAAAAATGCAACTGAAACGTACACAATGATTAAAATTGCTCTTGGAGACGATTCTTAAAGTCGCTCCGTTACTTTCGAGTGGTTAAAACGTTTCAAGGATGGTCGACAGTTAATTAAAGATGATCCACATTCTGGAAGACCATCGACATCTAGAAACGATGATGTTGTGGCAAACATTTACGAAATGACCGCAGATTAACTATTTGTGAGTTAGCAAATGAAGCAGGAATTTCAATTGGATCTTGTCATAAAATTTTAATGGAAAATTTACAGATGAGAAGGATAGCTGCTAAATTCGTTCCGCAGTTGTTGACATCGGAACAAAAGGAAAATCGTTTGACGATTTGTCAAGATCTAAAAATCGATCTGCTGATATAAATTTCATAAAAAACATCATCACAGGGGACGAGACATGGGTTTATGGGTACGATCCAGAAACAAAGTTACAGTCATTTCAGTGGAAAACAAAATTTTCCCCTCGACCAAAAAAAGCTCACCAAGTGAGATTGACATTGTCAAGACAATGCTAATTGTTTTTTTTGATATTGAAGGTATTGTTCAAAATGAATTTGTGCCCCATGGACAAACAGTCAATCAGGTATTCTATAAAGATGTATTAATACGTTTGCGAGAGAGAATTCGCAAAAAGCGCCCAGAAAAATGACGAAGTGGAACCTGGTTTCTTCATCACGACAATGCGCCAGCACATTTAGCATTATCAATTCGTGAATTTTTGGCTGTAAAAAAAATACCTGTGGTCTCACACCCTCCTTATTCACCTGATCTAGCCCTGTGCGATTTTTTTCTTTTCCCGAGAAAAAAATCTGCGCTTAAAGGACAACGATTTCAAGACCTAGAGGAAATTAAAGCAAATACGGCAACAGAACTCAAAGCTATAACTTTAGAACAATTTCAAAGAACTTTCGAAAAATGGCAAGATCGCTAGAACCACTGCATATTGTCTGGAGGAGAGTATTTTAAAGGCGATATCTTTAAATAATATGTAACTTCATTTTTGTAATTATTAAAAATAAAATCCTGGTACTTTTTGAACAGACCTCATATACTTATTTTTCTATCTACAATAATCCATTCAAAATACAAAATATTTTCTTCTTTATGTAGTATGCAGCCAATTAAGACCATCTCAACATGCATAAACCTCTCCACTCCACTCATTTATTCTTAAATTGATTTCCAGTTTTACAGTTTCTAGCTTTTTTAATATTATCTTCCAGATTCAACTTCTGACATCCTAAAGATCTTGGTGGAACACCTTCCGGAATTAGTGAGTTTATCTGACAAAATGAGTGTCTAACATATTACTACATTTTCCCTTTTCCCTGCTATCACTTCAACAATATTTGACCTTCGATACACTTCTTAAATGTCCTCAATTTTTCTTAAACTCCATTTTCTAGGTATTTCATCGATGCAAGAAACCAGCTAAAAATTATGTTTTTTTAAATTTAATAATAACCATAAATACTTTACCTGTTTTAAAAAATGCACATTGTGGCGATTGTTTTTTATGTTCAACAAGGGGATAATCACCACGCTGCCAAGAATCAAATTCTTTTGAACAAAACAGACATCGCACACGGTCTTGAACACCCAAATAAAAGAATCCAGCATCAGCCATTTGGTGAGGTGTAATATACTCTAATTTCCAACCATTATCAAAAGTTCTTAAACGATTTTTGTATACTGTAAAATCACGTAAAGATTGTTCAACATCTATGCTTGATGGCTTAGATGGACTCCCCATAAAAGGTAATGGAGTCTTTAAAATAATTTGACACCCATTTGCCAATTGAAGGATATTTTTGCTTTGTTTTACAATTTGCTTTGGGGATGGCGCCATCTGTAAAATAAATATTTTGATTTAATTAAAAAAGCATATACAATTAATATAATTAAAGGGATTAATAAACATTAATATTATAATTGCGTACTTAGGTAGGTATATATTGATTTGATTAACACCAGATATTTAATTGAATAAAAATAAAAGGTTTTTTAAATCTATATTATAAAACAATACCGCGAAGTGAAAATCAAACGAAAAACGTCATAATAATAAAAGAGGCGACATAAAAGTAAAAATTCTATATACTAAAAACAATAAACACTAAACAGAATCGCGGAATTTCTGAAAATTTTGATGATTCATGGTTCTATTCTGTGGAATGTTATCTATGCACAATCGACACCCCACATAATATTATTTTGACGCGTGTAGCCGTAGCGTTAGTTGTGTTACCACGGTTGTGGTTAGTAAATACAGTTTGAACCGAAAGATGACTTGACAAAATTTTGCCGGTATTATCAGTAAACGCATACAGTTTGTTGATGGCCCCAGGCATTATCGATTTTTCGAATATTACCAAACGGCGTCTGTCTGCAGAAACCACGAATTCGTGTCGCAAGCGCATAATCTTGTGGTCTCAACTCAGTTGTCAGACATCTTTTTTCTTCTTATTTTTCATTTGAATTTTAACGTTACTTAATGTTTCAATAACTCCGTAATAGTTTTCTGATTTACAAAAACATTTTAAGTGAACATTTAACTTTTGATGAAAACACAGTTATTATAATGGCTAACCAACAAACCTCGTTTAGAACTTTTGAAGTATCAGTGTCAGTTCAACCATCAAATAGCGAGACTTTACTTTTCCACGATATACTCGAAGAAAAGTCTTTGGCTTTACGTAATGCACTGAAAGAATTTTTAAAAACTCATCCATACAGATTATTTGATAGTGAGTTTTCAACTTTTTTAAATCGTTTAAATCGCATTGGAAATGTAGAACGTAATACAACCTCAAATGCCTTGAGGTCTACAACTATGGCTGAAAGTAATCCAGTAAACCCCATACCCAACCCTATCTCAAACATGCCAATTGCCAATAATAACAGCGCAAATGGTTCACAAATAATTGGAGAATCCAATATTGAACCTAATCCATTCAGACCACATTTAGGCGACATTTCTAAGACTCATCATCTGGCAACTATGTCTGAATACAATGACAGAATAATTATGAAAGATGAACCACTTTTCATGAACATCAATGCAGCAAGCCAACTTACTCAAAATCAGCCCGATGAAGATGATGAAGACGATGAAGATGATGAAAAGTATTTAAACAAGTGGTGTGTGAAACTGGAAGAAATAAAATCAGGCCCGGACTCTACATTTATTATTAAATTATTTGGTAAATATACATAAGTACACATTTATTTTATACCTAATGTTGGTAAATGATTTTTGTCAAGTAGATATACATCATTGATAAAACCTATAATCATAATATTAAACTAAACAATAAAATATTAAATATAGATATTTATAGGTACTTACTTATAGATAAATATAGTTAATAAACGAATGAATGCGTTGCCAGGAGTACCTATTATGTGTATTATAGTGTATTATATTATATGTATTATATTATATGTATTATATTATATGTATTATATTAGTGTATTATACGACTGGTTTCAAATTAAAAATTCATCATCAGGTGCTTTACAGTCGTGATTTACAAATGTAAAACGTGATTAATTTGACGCATTCATTCATTTATATATTTATTTACGAGTATTAACTATTTTAATAATTTTGTTTTTACTTTATTATTTTATTTCTTATAGATTCATTAAATTAATTATGTTATCAGTAAACTAAGTAAAAAAAAAAATAGGTCTTTTGAACAATTGCTTTGTTTTGATCGGGTCATTTATAATTTTGTTCATATTGTTAATTTTGTTTATGTGAACAATGAACGAATTAAACCTAATGACTACTTACTAAATCAAAATATCTTATCGGTTATCATATTGATATACTAATATAGTTTCCAATTCTCGTCAAATTTATATACTTGTATTAGTATTTTTTTTTTTAGTATAGAATTAATGCGACTTATGGTGTCCAGTTATTTATAATAATAATAAAGTTAACACAAAGGTACCTACTACCTAGGTTGCGTTTAGTTTAAAGTTATAGTGTACCTATGTATAAAGGGCGTCATATTTCGCTGTCGGTTTTTGTCCATATACATGGTTTTAACATGAAAATGAAAACCGATTGGCATAATTTTACTTTAGGGCTTAGGCAATTTTTTGTAATTTTTTTTTCAAAATGTGTGTTTTTTCGTGCTCAATTTAATGCTGTTTTAAAAAAAATTTTGTCCAACTTCGTTCGGAAGTTATGGTCAAAAAACTTTTTACTTTTTCCAAATCGTGTTTTTATGTTTAAAATATCAAAAATTAATATTTTTGGAAATTTTTTTTTAATTGTTAATATTTTTATGCTCAACATTTTAATGAAATCATAATTTACCAATTGTGCTTACTTTTCCTGTTATGTCAATAAACCATGTAAAACTTAATTATAAAGTTATTTCAAACATTTGTATATTAAGGTAACTCAAAATTTACTTTTTATGTTTTTTTTTTTTTTCATTTAATGGGTAACAATACAAAGAAGTTTTTGGTGAAATCAAAATATAGAATAAGAGTATAATTTCGAAGTTATAGCCATTTAAAGTTGGTAAAAAATGTGTATCGTCTTAAATATTATATTATATTGCTTTCATTAATTTGTTACTGGTACATTCGAAATGCTTTTTTACTTTTCATTGTTACCTACCTAATGTGGTTTTGCACAACAAATCGAGGATTATTTTTGTTTAAAATAATCCTAGACAAAAATTAATTCGATTAGAAGTACCTATACAATACAACTTTAAATGACTATAACTTCGAATTCAAAAAATCAATTAATTTGCAAATGTTTGAAATAACTTTATAATTAAGTTTCATGTGGTTTATTGACATTAACAGAAAAAGTAAGAACGATTGGTTAATTCTGATTTCACTAAAATGTTAAGCATAAAATAATAACAATTTAAAAAAAAAAAATATTCTAAAAATAATAATTCTTAATATTTTAAACATAAAAACACGATTTTTGGAAAAATTGAAAATTTTGAAGTTTTTTGACTGTAACTTCCGAATGAAGTTTGACCGACTTTTTTAAAGCAGCATTAATTTGAACATGAAAAAACACATTTTGAAAAAAAATCGACTAGGCCTTAAGGTAAAATTGTACCAACCGATTTATTTCATTATAGTGTATGGGCGGCTTAATGTTTACTATAATTAAAATAGTTTTAATTTTAATTACAGAGGGGTTGTATGACTTTTAGTCTACTTATTCTAGTCTTCACAAATTTAATAATATTAAATTCGTTGATGAACTTGTAATCATGGTTATAGATAAACTATATTCGTGGTTTCTTAGATATATGTAATTTAATACAACAATATTTATTGATGGTACATCGCTAGTATATTTTGCTACCTACTAACATTTTATTAAAAGATATATAGGATATGAACATAAATTTTCAATTGAATGTTTACTTTTATAAATTATTTAATAATTTGTTGTATCCATTACTTTGTTTTCCTAATTTAGGTGTGTTGGTAAAAAAAGACTTGGTTAAAGTGCTGGAAAAAGATCATTGTGCTGGAATTTTAAAATTTCGAAAAAATAAAAATTTAGTTCAAACTGATAAAGGATTATACAATTTAATTGGTCCCATTCGAGGAGGCTTACCAAATAATTTGTTCCTACGGTGTCTTGAAGCAAAAGGTATTCCTAGGACTTGGAAACATTTTTTAACAAGATTTTATAATTTTAGAATAATAAAAAAAAAAGTTCCTGTCGTAAATGTCAATAAAAGTTTTACCAGAAGTGGTACTGTTTATAACAAAAATATTTCAATTTCTGGAATTGAAAAATCAGATAAAAAGCGAAAACATTCTGAAGAAGAGGGATTAAATTTAAAAAAAATCAAAAGTGATAATATTCATAAAGAATTATCAATTGCATCAACTTCCAAGAATTCCAATGGAATTAATACCACTGGCGATCAAAAAACAATAAAAGGACAAAAAAGTTCTAATGGCAAAAAAACAAAGGTAATAAAAAACAAAGGTAATAATATTCGTAAAAAATTATCAATTGCATCGACTTCCAAAAAATCCAATGGAATTAAAACTACTTATGATAAAAAAACAAAAAAAGGGCAAAAAAGTTCTAATAGCAAAAAACCAAATTTAAAAAAAATCAAAAATGATAATATTCGTAAAAAATCGCCAATTGCATCAACTTCCAAGAAACTCAATGGAGTTAATACTACTAGTGATCAAAAAACAAATAAACAACAAAAAAGTTCTGAGGATGAAGTATCAAATTTAAGAAAAATCAAAAATGATAATATTCGTAGAGAATTATTAATTGCAACAGCTTCAAAGAAATTCAATAAAATTAATACTCCTGCTCAATATTTGAAGTATAAATTCCATCAAAAGTTGATTAAAACATGCAGCCTAATGACAAAAGCAAGTATGTAATATTATTGAGCATTTTCACTAAAAAAAAAAAAAAAAAAAGTTATAATTCTTACATTCCTTAATTATTTTTGTCTTTTATACACAAAGTGTATGTTGTTAAACAAATTATGTATGTATAATGTACATATATATTCCAGTAAAGTGTTAAACCAGATTTCAAAGTATTTTAAATTAAAAAACAAATTTAACTGTGATATGTATGTAATAGCCCAAACCATTTGTTTTTTCAGTACAAATAGAAATCCCAAATTAAAATTATGATAACAAAATAAATATCTCAACTTTTAATTGAAAATTAACTAATATTTTACAAAAATATACCAACTTTAAAAGTTCTTTTACATTTAAGAGAAGAGAGTTGATTGTAGAAAATACATCAGTGATACTGTCATTATTTACATGTATGTCAGGTTCACAAGCTATGTTTATTAAAGAGTTACTATTATAAGCTACCTTCATAAGTCCTAATCTAAAGTATACATTTTTACATTAATCACCAATTAGTTACCTACAAGCTAAATAATATCCAACATTTACATATTAACTCCCCGCTCAGCAATATTAGAATTTTTGTTGGCAATCATCACTTGGCAAATTTGTTCGACTAAAATTTATTAATATTCAAAATTATTTCAAAACAAAAAAAAAATATTTAATAAATGATTTAATATTATTTGATAAACTTAAAGATTAAGATTATTTTAAATTAGTACAAGATAACTAAACCTACCTATCTCTTATATTACATTTTTAACGACATTGATATTCCTTTTCATGATTTTTCCAACTATTAAGAAAAATGCTTGGAAAATCAAAAAATGACCTGTTTAAAGTACCAACTAGATAAAAGTTTCCTTTCAGAAAAGGTGCTACACTTAAAAATTGTAAAACTAATACATTTCTTGTTAATTTTTTACGCAAATTGACACAAGTTTTAAAATTTTATCTATGGTTTTATAACAACTAATAATAAGTGATGAATCATAACTACAATTTTTGTTAACAAAAACTGAATATTTCAAATTCTAGTCAGCAAATTTAAAGACCACACCTTCCCCCTATGATTTTTTTAAAGATCATCCTTATCAGTTACATTTTTGATGCCTAACAGGGTCAATTGGTTAGGTAAGGTTAATGGGGACAGATAAGTAGGATGCAAGGTAGATAAGTTGACAGAAGTGGTACTATTAATAGGAAATATCAACATTTCCAAAAAGAAAAATGAGAGGGTATAATTAGATACATAAAACGACACTTATTATTTTTTAGTGCACAGACCAGCTTATAAACAACAAAATGATCACTAATGAATTATGTTTTATTTACAGCATCAAAGATGGGATTAAATTAATTCAGTATGAATGTTATGAATTGATGGACTACATAATTACTAATTTATGAACAATTATATATTTAATAAACATTTTAATACTTTGATATAAATGGACAAACATAGCCAGGCGTATTATCTAATATAATAGATATATACATATACTACTAAATTATTTGTTTTAGTTGTAATGCTTTATATAATTTATTATTCATATGTTTAACAAATTTGAAGCTTTTAAATTACTTTTTTTTTTTTTACATTATAGAGTAGGTAAAAAAAAAAATAGTCCACTTTAAAATAATATAACATAAAATCTATGGTATTGTTTTATTTTAATTATAACTATGTTAATAAAATTGTATTATGACAATAGTGTACCTATACAAATCAATGTTCAAATCAGGAAAATTATAAAGTAGTTGAGTTCGACAAGAAATTTAAAAGAAAAGTTTAAAATTAAATACTATAGTATATGCTTACACTCTCCACCACACCTTTAATTATCTTTCAAATATTATCAGACCAGCTAGTTATTATTATTTTTTAATATTATAATAATAAACAATTAAAGTAGTACTATAAAACTTAAGTTAAATATATTACAATTTTCATTCATATTTTAATAAGACTAAAATAATTTATAAATTTAGATTTTTTACTAATTTAGTTTCAGCATAAGTGAATGTGTTAATTTAGTGTGGATACCTATATATAAGAAATTAGATTAGAGATTTCAACTTCTATATTTTTATTAGCTTATAGTATTTATATATTTAAATACATTTTTATTATTATAATATTTAACAGTTAAATACATTTTAAACGTTTTTATATTCTTATTTTTTTTTTTAATTTTCATCCTAATTTGAACACTAGTTTAAGTATAATACTATAAGTAGTAGTAAAATCTAGCTATATAAGTTTTAAAATATATATGTTTCTTAAGTTTTTAATTTACAAGTATTAACATTGTATGTTGTATGTAAGTTTAAATTATATGTATACGTAGGACCATTTGGTTGATTTCAGAACTGGTTATTAAAGTAATCTCCCCCCCCCCCTATATATTAATTTGGCGTTTTATATATTTTAATTAAATACTCCCCTTTGGAAAATGTCTGAATCCACCATTTGTACATTTTAATTGACCAATAATTCATATTATTTATGAATGTTTTAATAAATTTATTCCATACAAATTAATATTAATAATAACATTAATTTAATTTACAATTATTAAGTATACCCATATAATACCTCACCATTCTAAATATAAAACATTTTAGTCGATTTTGTCATACTACCCTCTCATATTCTTGTTTTAATGTTGATTTATTAAAATTAAAATTAAAAATTTAGGGCCCACCCAGTTTTTTATTTGGGGGGGAGCTTTTAAAAAAATTTTCATCCAGATAGAAAATAGTTGTATATGCTTGAAATTAGTTAAAAATTAAATGCACTAAAAAATACATTAAGCAAACTGACTATTGGGAGGTCTTAATCCCTGTATCACCTCCCTTTGAATGTATCCATGTAAGATTTCAACAGCAGGATAATTAGCCTGCCATCTTAATTCTTATTTTTATTGCTATTGTTTTTAATAAAACCATTTTTAAAACTTTTATTCACAATACATCACTAATTAAACTTGCCACTTAAAATAAAAATAAAACATTTCTTAATAGCCCATAGTTTGAAATTGCATGCATTAGGCATATTGACTTAGTAAAGCAGAGCCTACACATAAATAGCTTAAGTTATAAGTTAAATATTTAAGTTTTTATAATTTGTATAAGTTCAAGTTAGTAAGTTATGTTAAATACAATCCTAAAAATGTTACTAAAACTATGATTTTAAGATTTAAATTAATCTCTCAGCACGACAATAGGTCTTAAAACTATAAGTACCTGCAACTAATAAATTATTATATTATAGATATTGTATAAGTTTTTTTTTAAGTTATAACTTATTTTATTTTATATCATACTATACAATTATTATTATGAACAGTTAAATTAATTAGATACTACTCTTGATTTTGTATTACTAACATTTTTTTTTTTTCTAAACTAAATTAGTCTTGAAATAAATATTTAGATTCCATGCAAAGCTAAATGTAAAATATTCTAGTTTTACCATAGTAAAACCAAGTATTATAACTATAGTTTTTTTAGAATTATAATTCATATATTTAAATGATATCTGAGCATAATACTAGTTTTAATACTATATCAATACCTACAACAAATAAATAGTTTAATTTTAAATGATTTTTTAAGTTATAACTTATTTTTTATTATACAGTACTATAATAATATTAATTATCATTATTTACATAATAAAAAAATATTATTAAACAAAATTCTGTGTTTTTTTTTTTTTTTTTAAGTTAAAAATATGATGATTTTATAGTATATTACTATAACTTAACTATACATACAAGTTTATTTAAATTGTATGTCCTTACTTATTGTTTAATATTACTATGTTATAAATAGAGAGCAGATTTATATTCTTTTATAATCCACAAAAAGGCGAAAATATTAGAGGAGTTCAAAAGTCTCCCTTTAAGTGGATTTAACTTATAAAATAACATTTTCTAACACCACAAAAATGGTTAATAAAAAGTAATTCTTTTTAATTATATGTACGATTTTATTTAAAAGAAATTATTTTGTGTGAATCATTTTTGTGGTGTTAGAAAGTATTATAAGTTAAATTCGTTTAAAGGGAAACTTTCCTCAATCATTTTGCTCTTTTAAATATTCGTAAGTGTTTTTTTGACGTTTTAAACACCTTTTTGTGTATTATAAGAGAATATTAATCCCCTCTCTAGATATAAATAATCATTCACTTTGTTGTCATACCTACACTAACCAGAGTGGTTGATAAATTAGAGTAGATAGCTCAGTTTATAGGTAAATATTTATATCTAGAACTGTGGTTATAATATAAGAAGATGCTAGGTAAAGGTGATTATAATTTATGTTACTGATGTGAATGTTTGTCAAAAACAAAATATATTTCATATTTTCACTGCTAAAATAGTAAAACCAAATACAAATTATCTGTCCGAAAATTCTAATATAAGAACAACAGAAAACACAAGGTGTACCATATTGTAGTGTGTATATCTAATTGAAAGGTAAGTACTTTTAAATCAAATTTTTCAATTTTTTTCGTTTTTATTAATAAATTAACGAGATAATGCTAAAATAATTATACTTAACTTGGAAATTGGAAATAGGTACTTACCGAATTATAATGGATTTTGAATTAAATTTATTTAAAAGTATGTATTGACAGCGTGTATCTAATTAATTTAATTTATGGTTATACACTGCGATTTTATTTGTACGTATACAGGGTAAGGTATAGTTCTAACAACGTACACCGTGTACAGAGACGGATTTACACAATTGCCGCCCCTAAGCAAATTTTATTTAGTCGTCCATTAAACTTATCAATGAGAAAACGTATTTTTAATTACTTATTTAACATAACTACTAAAAATAATTGAAAAACATAACCAATGCATACGAATATTGATAAAAATAAAATTCAATTTTACAAGCCTGTAGCACTAAATTATCGCTACAATATTATAGTGTTTATCTACCAATAGGTAGGTTTTGGTTATTATTTTCATACGCAAGTTGATCAATAGCTGCACGACTACCATTAAAAACAGATTGTCCACAGCAAATCTAAATAAGAAAAATCCCCAGTTAATTTATACTATTTTTGAAACAGGGACCGCAAGTACGTAATAATGTGTGGGCGTCTACAGGAAAACCAAAGAAAAATAAATGTATTGTGTATTCGATCTCGGTGTTCGAAAAAAACGGTCCGTTGTTCGAAACTTCGAAAACCGTACAACAATACAAAATGTACTGTATGTTTCGTTCATCAATCGTGTACAAACATTGTTCGAACTACACCGTACCTACACGGACAATTATGTCCGTAATAATTAAAACCGTACTATGTGGCCACCTTGTGTATACCTATGCAATTTATTTTCCCCTCCCCGTTAGTCGAGTTTTTTTTTGTTGAAAATTGTATACAAATCTAGAAAAATTACAGGTACTTTATTTTTATATTTGCATAACAGCAACACGTATTTCCAACTGTGAATATTTGTAGAAAAATCGCTTTAAAAAAATTTTGCTGATAGCATTTTTGAATTCCAATGTAGATCATTGGTGAGATTATGTAATTTTGATTACAATATATAATATATAAGTATCTCATAGTTGTGTGGAGTGTCTGAATATTATCATTTATGACTGACTATAAATAATTGTGAGCACGATTATTATATAGATATTTATCTATAATCATGGTTGTGACTATCTCTACTGTGATTATATTATTTTATTAATATTACCACCCTAAATGTATAATAATAAAAATTGTTATCATTAAGCTTGAGAATAAACATATAAAAAAAAAATTCGACTCAAAAACGCCAAACTTAAAAATAAGTAGGTTATACAATTTTTTTCAAAAACTAAACATACCTATCAACTTACTCTTTTTAAACTTCGTTAGTTTATAGAATTATTCCTATATAGATATAGGTATACCATATATATTGGTTGCCATTTTAAAATCAAAAGTTGATGATTATTTCAATAGTTTACATTCATAAATGCAAAAAACAAAAAAATTGTTTTAGAACAGTGTAACCATAACTTAAATTTTTCCAAAATAAAATTCTGAAAAAAGTTGATATTTTCTAATATGTCTTATTAATTTTAATAATATATTTGCTATTTACAGGTTATATGGTTAAAAATGGCAACTGGTGTTATGCGATTGAAACTTAATTCAATTTTTCCTGGAACTACAAACTTCCTGGTAGTTGGCATTATTATTGCAAAACTTAATCCTAAAGTAATAATATCCAAAAAAGGTAAATTAATTAGATGTCTTATTTCCTGAAATTTCTAGTAATATTATCTATTAAATACAAAATATAAATGCTCTACTAATCATAATTTATGAAAAATAATTAAAAGATAGTTACCTATTTTTTTTTTCATATTATAAATAGATAATAAAGAAACATCTGTTTTTTCGTTTACTATTCGCGATTCTCCAGAAGATGTGGTTAATGTCAGTGTATGGGGATCTTATGATTTTACTAAACAATTATATAGTAATTTCAAAGTCGGAAATACTGGTAAATTTAAAAAAAAAAAATATTGTTTTTGATACACAATTTTTTAAACAATACAATTTTTTTTTCTAGTTGATTTGATAAATCCAACTATTAAATTTAAACCTGAGATAGAAGAAAGATACATGCCAAAAAGTTCTAGGTATATTTGTCAAAATATTAAAATCTATATTTTGAACTTACATATGTTATTAGTTAAGCCCATAACTTGAGAATTTAAAAATGTACAAAATTTAAAAAAATAACTGAAAATTTTTTATTTTCCTGTAAAAATTATTCAAATAACTTAGTAGTTTTTATTATATCGTAATAAAATAATATTTATAGTCATTTATAGTCTGAGCAGAGTTCCATTGTACATGTTTTAATAGGCTATTATATTTACAATTTGATAATAATACATTTCCTACATTTTCCTGTTTTTCCTACATATTTCTTATTTATTATGAAAACCCCTGGTAAAATAAAAAAATGACCTCTTTAAAATACCACCCCATTAAGATTTACTTTCAGAAAAAGTGCTATAATTGTAAATCTAAGCATTTCTATCAAGTCTAAATATTTTATCCACATATAAACTTTGCCTTATCTAGAAAAAGTAAATACAAGTTTTTGTCAAATTTCAAATCTCTACAGGTATTTTTAACCGAATCACAATAAAAAAACAAAATTGAATATAATATGTCTTGTACATTTTTCCGGTTTTTCCCAATAAAAAAAACTAACTACTTAAAAAAATCTATAAATTACCTGTTCATTGCACTTAAAAATCAGATCAAAATTTCTAATAGAAAAGTAGTTCACAGATTAAAAAATAAATAAACATCATTGTAAAACAAATTACATTACAATTAAAAATACATTCTTAGAATCCAAAATAGTACACAATTTCTTAAATATTGCAAAATAAAATTTTACAATTATCTTCTACATACCAAAAAATACATTTCTATGTATAAGTATATGAATAATGTATTAAAGTGAAAGAAGAAAATTAAAATGCATTAAGTTCTGGGCCTTAGCTTATTGCTTATTTAAAATTTAAACTATTTAATTATTTAGCTCATTTTTTTTAACATTAAATGAAAATACATCTCAAATGTTAATTCATGATGCTGAAGATTCAATAAACTATAAACATCTTCTTAGAATTCCTACTTGTCCACAAAATATGTATTTAAAAATTGAAGATATCCATTCTAGTGGAAAAGAGATGTGTGGAAAATTCTGTAGTTTATTGGTCATAGTTAGATGTGTAAGTAATAAAATGTATTATTAAGAATACAATAAGTTATTTTTTCCCCAGAATTATATGTAGAACTCCTATTTTAAATATGATGTTGTCATGTATTTACATACTTACTTAAATTTAATATTCTTTATTTTTCTAAAAAAAAACAAAAACGTATATGTTTATATGCTATAAATACATAGAGAATATGATATAGCCAATAAAATAAATGTTTTTCTATTAGATTCCACATTCTATAATTACTTATCGATTAAAATATTAAATTATTTAGGTAAAGTCTACACAGTTGATCAAAACCAAATTTGGTAAGGAAACTTTTTTAAAAGAAATCATTGTGTTAGACAAAACACACCCAACACTTTTTATTAAAATTTGGAATAATGAATTAATAGAAAGAGCTACTCACTGGATACCAAGAAAAACAGGTAACTGAATAAAAATATTATAGTAGGATTATATTATTGTTATTATTCATCAATTGATATTTATTATTTTTTTTTGATAGAATATAATTTAGTATACCTATTACCATATTAAGTTTGGATAGTTCATCAATTATAGTTATTATCTTTTTTTACTTTAATTAATTGATAACTTAACTTTAATAAAGTCGGGATAATAATTAGTTAATTTCAAAATTGTAAAGCAAATAAAATTAATTGGTATTATTTTTATATTTTATTTTATAGTTTTGAGCATCTCAGATTTATACTTGAAATGGGATATTTTTAAAAAAAACATGACTGCTGCAATTTCAAATAGAACAATTATAACTGAGGATCCTTCTACTAATGAAGCTAATGATTTGAAAAATTATGCAATCACACACTTAATTGGGTTATCTGATAAATTTACCATTAATATTCCAGATTGTAATTATACCTTAGTAAATTTATTTGTGTTACACAATATTAATATTTCTTAACATAAAATATTATTCATTCAGAATATCAATAGGTGTTGTTAAGTTCATTTTTAATATAATATGAAATCAAAATTTTCCTTTTCAGTTTTAAAGGCCAAACAATAATTAATTAAATGTTACTTACAGGGTAATCTAAAAATAGGATGTATAATGAATGATAAAGTGTAAAACCCCAAATTCCTAAATAAAACATTTAGGATTTTGGTTACTTATATACAGTACTGGGCAATACATAATCTGATTAAAGATTACGATTAACATTTTTAGTTGTTAATCATAATATAAATGAATGTAATCAATAATCACAATTCAAAGGTTTTCCAATTAAATAGTAGTGAAAATATCCCGTCCCCAAAAAAACATCGCTATTTAGAGTTGTCCATTAGAGGTTTCACTGTAATACATATAGACATTTTATTCATTATACAGTTATACACTTATTCATCTAAATACTTCTTATTTCCTACAGTTATTTATATTTATACAGGGCCAAAGGGAAAACTGTAAAGGTATTGGAGATGCCATAAATATATGGGACATCAAATTTTAGATGGTTATCAAGTTAGACAGTACACATATAATGATTACCCTAAAAGGCTAATGATAGTTAACACAGTATTATATGTACATTGTACAATTGTATAATGTATATAGTTGTAGTTATAGATGAATTTGGCAATAATGATTAATGATTACTTTGAAAAATGATTAAATGATTAATAAGTAATGTAATTTAATAAATTAATCATAATTTAATTCACGTCCAACACTGTTTATATACATACATATATTAAAATAAAAGTTAAAAGAATAGGCAGACCAGAAAGCAACCCAGATACAGAATACTATATTGGATGATTAATTTATCTTTATCTATTATTATCACACAAATTATTATTTAAATATAGTTTAAACCTTTTCATATTGATTGAAAACCAAAATCATATTTACTTCAAATATTTCAAGAAAATTTCTGGATTATGATAAATTTTCACCTGTATAATATGTTTTAAAATGTATATTAAATAGTATATGTATAAATTACTAACACAATATTTCCAGACCAACTTATTTTAAATATAATATTTTTATTTTTTGATTAGTATCAACTATAACAGAAATAATGACTTGTAAACGTATATTGATAAACTCAAATGAAAGAAATGTACAATTTTCAACAGTTTTATATGCGATTGTGAGCAAATTTAATATTGATGGCTCATCGCCATTGTTTTTAAATAAATGGTAATTCATTTTAAAATTTATTAAAATAATATATATTTAAAATATTTTCTTTTATGTTCCCTTTCACATAAAAATAATATTATTCTTTATGATGACTTTCATTTTTCCTTAACTTCTTCTGAATCATTCAGTCATACTATCCATTGGTTTCTTTTTCATATAGTTGCATTATTTGTTTTGTGTTTGTACTATGTGATGGGGTGATTAGGATGGGGATTTTTGTGTAAATACTTAATTTTATTGGACTCAGATTTTTTTAGTTTTGATTAAAAATAACTAGTTTTAACACATCAAATATTATAATACTTTTTTATTTTACATATTTCAAATATTCTGATGTAAATATATATTTTTAAATATTTTACTAATAAGTACATATTTTGTATATTCATGTATATAGAGTAGAGGTACCTGTTAAATTTAACAGAAGTATTGACAATAACATTAACTTTATTTTGGAAATTGTGCCATACATAATAATACAAAATTAATTAAATTACCTTCATAATAAAAATGCTGGTTTATGAAACATAAAAGCTATTAAAAATATTGTTTGAATAAAAATGAAAACAAATTGATGGAAATTTAATTAATACCATCTGATATATCAAGTATGAAACATGTCCTATAGAGGACAAATTAGCACTTCAGATAATAATCATTTTTGAAACCTAGTTCATTTAAATTTCAAAATCTCCAAGTGCAAATTGTTTCCAAGAGTACAACAATGAAGATGAATAAATAAAATAAAATAAACAGTTCATATAATAAACCTATGTCTTTAGTAAATTAATTTAAATTACAAATTTGTATATTAAATATTTCAAATTTTTTATTACACGTTTTGGAAAAAATAACAATATAAATATTTATATATTTCGACTTTTGTATTGTATACAAATCCATGCTTTAGTGATAATAATTGCCAAGATAAATATTTTTCTTAAATAAATAATTATATGTTGATTTGCAGTAACATATGCGGTACAGATGTTGAAAATGCATACTTAATGTGTCTCAATCCAGAATGTACTACACATTTTAATATAGCAAATGGATCAGATGAATTAGAAAGTATATTAAATATTAAACTATCATTAACTGATATTTCTGGTACTTTAGACAATTGTATATTGCATCATAAAGCTGCCACAAAAATATTGTGTAAAGTAAGTTGTCAAGAACTAGAAATGTACAAATTTGTTTTACATTATTTAATGGTATTACTTTTAAAAACTATTCAATACTTGAATATTATAATGTTATTTTTAGTTGTTGATTATAAATATGTCAATTCAATTTAATGTCATGTATACTTGCAAAATTGTTTCAAAATTAAAATAAATCATTATATTATGTTAACTAGGTAACTAATTTTCAAAATATGAGTTTGAAACAAAGAACAGAACTAAAATGGAAATATTTATTTGTAAATTGTAAAATTAAATTAATATCTACTAAATCTACTCCTGGTGAAAAGATAACATTTATTATTGTAGATATTTGTAATGAAGGACCAATACATACTTTTATATCACAAATACCAATTTATTAAATGTATAATATTTCTTATGTTATAATGTATAAAACATAACTTAGTAAAATTCAAATAAATAGTATAAATATATAAAACTGTGAAATTAATAAAATTATAAAATACAATTTTTATTCTGTTATAGATTGATTTTCTAATCACATGGCTGATAAATATAGATGTATATATAATATATTAGTGACTTTAATTTGTATGTATACAAGTAGAATATAATATGCTTAATATTCAGCTAAATATACCTACCTAGAGTACACTAAAGTTATAAGTATAAGTTTAAGTATTTCAACATTATTTTAATTAAAATGGACCTATTTCAATTCTATTATTTTTGTAAATAATTACAATGATAAACATTATAATTAAAAATAATGAAAAGATCCATATTTGAAAATATAGAAACCATTAAACATGTTATTTAGTATTACATTTAGAATAATGGCATGTCAAAAATATAATTATAGGAACATGTAAAATTAAAATATTTATACTATAACTTGTAAATAATTAAAAGCTTTGTTTTGATGGAATTGATATACATATATTTTCCAGTAAAATGTGAACAAATATTTCAGATTAATCATTTATTGGGCTATATTAGTAATTAAAAACATCATATGATAAAGTAAAACAATTTTAAAGTTATTGAAAATGAATTCCTTCCTTATTAAAGACGAGAAGCAATCTGAAAAAAATATGAAGAAACATAAATTATTTCATGGCAAATAATAAGTATTATTGGTATGAGTCTACTTTACTGGACACCCTTTGTTTTACAATTTTTTTTTTTTTGAAAATGCTTTGAAGCGGATTTCGGAACTGTTCAAATTTTTTTGCAGAAATTATTATTAAAGCAGTTATAAGAGTTGAAGGTTTTAGCTTAAATACTTATTTATTTTAAAGTCATTCATGTAAAATTAACCATGGCACATTGGTCATTGAAACTGTGTCAAAATCCATTTTGATAACTTCCAATGCTCAGTAAATTTTTGAACTTTTTTTGTAAAAACACAATTCTTAGATATGATTTAAACATTTTTATTTTGCCCCGAGGCTCATCCTAATCATTTTTTTGCCTGTAAATTAAACATGTTTTGTACAAGAAATCAAGGGTTATTTTTTATTAAAACAGCCAACAAGCGACTCCTTTAGGTCTCTAGGTGCTCTCAAAATGCTAACTGAAAAAAGAGCAAACATTTAACTGCTCATTGGATGATTATCAACTGGATACCACAGTTCCTAAGATTATACTACAGTGAATTCTGTATGAGTAATGTTAAAAAAAATAAGTGACTTCTTATCATGTACTCATGTTAAATCATATATGCTTATTGTGTACCAATTGTACACAATTATTATTACGATATTATTGTGAAAATAAAATTTAAAAAAAAAATGTATAATTTAACAAACTGACTGAACTGGAACTGTTTACTATTTTATAAATTTAATTGTTTCGGTAACTACACCTGATCTGTTAGAATATTTGTTTTTTTTATTTTTTATAATATCATGGGTATATTTACTGGATGAATTCATCAATATCCATTTTTCTAGCTCTCTTTTCACTAAAGGCATTGCAATTTAAAACATTGTCCAACTTTTCTTTGATGTCAAAGTCTTTTGATATTTCCTAAAAAATCAAACATGTATATTGAATTATTTATAGAATCTTGAAACAAAATATTTTTAATTTAATTTTTAACTAACTTGATTTTTTTGAGAACAATACATCCTGTAATTTTTCTCTAAAGTTACTGCTACAGTATTTTGTTTGAAAATTGCACCTAGTGTTTTATTTTTCCGAGAAAAAGCTATTCTTGTCAAGCCATCCCATTCTTTGAAGTTTATAGGTGGAGGTGGATTACGAGGTTCAATGCGCACTACATTAGACTCAACTTTTGGAGGGGGTCTAAAATTGTTTTTCCCAACCTGGTATAATTTAATTATTTAATATACATATAACACAAATAACACATAAATGTGTACCATACTTTCATTAAAAGATCAACTCTAGCCAATAACTGTGTGTTGATTGATAAACGACAATACAATTTATCACCAGGCTTAGCAACTAGACGATAAGCAAATTCTCGTTGGAACATAAGTACAGCGCACCGGAAAAAAGGTCTGTAAAATAATACATTTTTATAATATTATAATCATAAAAAAACATTTAAAGTATATTTTTTGATGATCAAAATAAATCTATATCAAATAAAATATAATAAATAAGTTTTACTTTATTTTAAATCTTACTGCCAGGCCTAACCAGGATTCTTAGGATAGTGGTTTGGATAAGTTACTCTCACAAAATAAGAAATAAATTAAGGTGTAAGCTTAATAATTATTTCATAATTTGATATTATTTTCTAATAACTTTTAATTTGTGGAATATCAAAATACATTTTTATCAGTTTATGACATATAAATACATGAATGATATTTTTTAATATTCCTATGTGTTTCAACTTTATCCTAATATTCCTTGATTCACATTTACTTCCATCTCCCCCTTTATCTGATTTAAAATTTATCCTTTAAAACATATTGAATAAAGCTAAGAAAAAATAACTACATATTATGGTAGGTCAAACATTTAACCATTTCAACAATATACATGTAATAATATTGGAAATGAATATACCTATAGAATAATTAATACAAACTAAAAGTTCAGCAATATAATTAATTAAAATAATTGAATGTGATTGTTACATTTCTGAACTATGAAACAAATGTAATTTACCTTAAATTTAAATACGCTATATTAAGCATGGACACATTACATTCAAGGATATCCATCATTTATACTCTCAAGAAAAACCATCTTTATTTATTATGTTTATATGTAATCCTCAATAGCCAGAAATAACATAATTATTATAACAATACCAACAGCTAAAGATTTCTAATTTTTCATAGCAACAATTTTTAAACAAAAAATGATAAACTGTATGGATATTAAACAAAAATAACATTTTTGGAAAAACTGTATGAAAACTGAAATCATGAGGTTATTCAAGTTACGGAAAAGAACCGAATCACCATACCCACATAATATGGTTGAAAATAAAATTCCTTATAGGATATTGACAATATCATTTCTATTAAGCTATGAAATAAAGATTTTGTAAAATAACAAACAAAAAAACATATATGGACTATGTGTTCACTTTAATAAAAAAGCTCTGTGTATGATTAATTTAAAATTCTCTTCTACTGCAAAATACTAATTTGACAAATATAGTTTGTTGAGTTTACTCAGTACAATTGAATAACGCAGTAATACCTGATATTTTTCTTAATTTTAACTCATATTATCAGTTCAACATTGTTTCAAGTTTAATGAACAGTTTAAAATACAATTTATAATACTTATCGAGAAATGTATCTAAAAATTCAGACTATTAAAATGTAATAAACATTATTCAGGAAATGCCTGGTTTTCAAATTTCGGTGCAATAAGAATATTACCAGAAGGTATCATAAGTTACAGATTCTGAGTAGAGCGAAGAATGTATTGGTTTTACAATGATGTTTATTTATTTTTTTAATCTGTGCACAACTTTTCTACCAGAAGACTTATTTAGATTTTTAAGTGTAGCATCTTTTCTAAAAGGAAATTGGTGTAGAGAAGTACATTAGGGAGATAATTTTTAAATTTTTTCATCAAATGTGAAAAACCAAAAAAAACTAGAGGAAAACTGGGCAAATATATGAAATAAATTACTAAATTATTACTATACCCAAGCTAAATCAATAGTTTTACTCTATCACAAAAAAATGTATCTTATTTTTATTGCAGTATGATTAATTTGATTTGTTTAGACAGTTATTTTTGATTTTATAATAAACAATGAGTAATTAACATAATATTTTTATTTTAAATCTTAGCAACACAAAGAATTATAAAATTTACTGTATCTCATAATATTTTACCTGTGTAAAAGTAATTTGAAAACCAAAGGTGATGATATTTGATATGGAATATTAGCAACACATACATTGAAAAAAGGAAGTTCAGATTTAAGAACATCTCCAATCCTTATTTGTAACTTATTTTGGTAAGGTGTGTTCATAACACGTTTCTTCAATTCAGCCACTAACCTAATAACATTAATTAAAATTTAATTATTATTTGCCTTGTAGAATTATTTTAAATAATATTAATTAAATGATTATCTAAGAGCTGAAATAGGTACTGTATTACTAAATTAAATATATTTATTTTAAATAGGTACATCATCATAATCATCTGAAGGCTGGGTCTTGTTGTGATAGTCATACGAGGGCTAATCCAAAAAGTGTCGGGACTGATAATAAACGCTCGGAAACCGAGCGTTGAAGAGCAATACGGTTTGTAAACCCAGCCTCTACGACTTATACTGAGCACGTCTATTCGTATAAAATCTCTAGAAACTTCTTCGTTTTGGTTTGACGATATTTTTCTAAAATTTGTTTTTCACGTTTGGCGATTTCGTAATGAATCCAAAAGAAGCGAAACTCGCTGCCAATCTAGGGCACATTTTCAGTTTTTCAGTTGACATTTAATGGCAAAAACCATGAAATGTTGCATCCCTCTGAAACTGGAAAAAAATGCAGACAAATTTTCTAAAATCTCCAAATCTGTCAAGTTACTATTCTTTTGGGTTTATTATAAAATCGCCAAACTCGAAAAATATATTTTACAAAAATATCAGTGAAATCAAACCGAAGAATTTTATAGAGAAGCAATAAAAACAAATGTACTCAGAAAGTCATAGAAGCAAGTGATACCATTCCTACTGCTCTTCGATACTCCTTTTCCGAATGATACTACCAGTCTTGATACTTTTTGATTAGCCCTCGTATGTTTCTATCATTTGTCATGTTTCTCAGCTGTGAATAAGATGTAACATCCATGAGATGTTTGATGTCATCATGGAAATATAATCTTCTTAGGTGTCCTCTAGATCTTTTCCCCAATTAGATTCTTCATAAATGTGTTATGTCTGAACAAACGCCCTATTAATTTCCTTTTTCTTTTTAATACGTGCCTCATTATATCCATTTTTTCTCTTACATCTTTTAACACTTACTCATTTGTTTTTCTTTCAACCCATGATATTTTGTTAATTTTTCTCCAGATCCACAATTCCATTGCTTCAACTGTCACTTTATCTGATATTTAAGGTTTCAAAATACAGTCCATACAACAACACACTCCACACAAATGTTTTTATTTATTTATTCTTAGCTTCGATGTTGAAGTGTTTGCTAGTTAATAGACTATTTTTATTTCTGCATGAATTTTTGTTAGACAAGAGTTATTTTTTTTTTTTTTGATGTCATTGGCGGAATTATTATTATAATAATGTAATTGTGTTTCCCAGATAGCAGAACTGTTGACTTTCTGAATTACAATGTTGTTTAATATTATAATTGGGGGGTATGTTTGATCTCTTCGGACTATCATTTTTAGATTCCAAGAGTAGGGAAAGATCAATTTGTTCTATGATGTGTGCGTATTTTTTTTTTCTGTCTGTTCTACAAAAAAACTTGATCTGAAGTATAGACTGTAGCACCTCTTCTGAAAGGTGATTTTTTTTTAATTGGTGCATTGGAGAGGTCATTTTTGGTTTTTCCTCGGATTTTTGAAATAATTGGGAAAACCCGAAAAAAAAAAGTATAGGTAAAATGTCAAATAATTTTCATTAAATTCAACTTATGTTTTCAGACATATTACTTCAATCAAATGAAAAGAGATCAATTTAATTTTTTTTAACACATAGTCACTGATAGAGAAAGTCGCTTTTTGATATTTGAATTATTTTTCATAACAATTAGGAAAAACCAAAAAAGACAAAATGTACAATTTTTTCAAATTACGGAAAAACATTTCATTATTTTAAATTTGCACAGCTTATATTTTCTACCAAAAATATTGTTCCAACAGCAAAACATCAAGAAATCTTTATTGTAGTTTATTAAATAATTAAGTAAAATCAAAAAATACATGGAAAATAGGAAAATATATGTAAATAATTATTTTATTATTTTTAATTTTTGTAATGTAATTCAGTTTAAAATATTTGTAGACTTAAAATGTTGACAGAAAACTCATATTTACTTTTTCTGGATCTGGTAAAAGTTTCTTGATAAAAATTTTTAATTTTGCTAGTTTTTTCCATAATTTTTATTTGATAGGTATTTATTAAATATGCTTAAAAATTTGATAGGAGGTTCATTATATGTTGTACTTAGTGGTAAAAAAAAATTAATTTAATACATCTAGTATTTTTTTTTTTTTAGGTACATATGATTCATTTATTTGATTAAACATTTAACAAGTCCATATGACTAGAAGATAGGGACAAACCATGAAACACACTATTTGCGGTACAAGTTTTAACTAATACATTAAAAATAAAAAATATAAATTGACTTCAAATAATTTTTTAGGAAGGTCTTAAATTTACATCTATTTTTAGTTTGTAGTTCAAAAAATATAAATTAAAGTAAAAACAATTATAATTACCTGACATCAATTTCACATGCTATTACTGTTTTAACTTGTTCTAACAACTTTACGGTTAAGTTGCCTGTTCCTGGACCAATTTCAAGTACAGTGTCCGTAGGTAATAAGGCTGACTTGTCCACCATTCCTTGTACAATAAGTGGATTTTTTAATATATGTTGCCCAAAGTCCTTTTTAAACATTATACCTATAACATTTAGTGCATAGTGTAACTATTGATCATAAACTTTATAAATTCAATATAAAACTGAGTACCTAAATACTTTGTTTCATTATCGATCATAACTTTTTATTATTTTATGAACTATTGTGCCTATCTAGCATTGGATCCAATGAAATGTTGGTGGAAAATACCTAATATTATATCCTCATTATTAGTATTGCAGTCATTTCCACAACAACTCTTGTGTGGCATCCATAAGTAATTGCACAATTAAGTTTTAAGAGGCGTTTAAATCTTTTACTATAAATTTACTAAAGTTTTAAAACTGTGGCGTTTAGAATAATGTTAATATGATAAGGTAATTTTTAAAATAAATGTTAGTATTCAGTATTAAGTAATAACCTTCAATCTCGCCTTCAATTTCTCTTAATACCATATCCCAAAGTTTCAAGTGTAAAATTAATTGTCAATTATTGACATAGCAATTTGAAAAAAATTAAGTTCAACTTCTTTTTTTATCAGTAAATAATATTAAAAAAATCGGGTTTGTAAAGGTCCTATAATTTTGGACATCCCATGAAAAATCATCCAAAATATGTCACTTACTATGGACTGACTAGTTGATTTAATTGTTAATTTAACTATTGTTAAATTAGATAAACAGAAAAATATACTTAAAGAATTTGTAAATGTATTATTTGCAATATTTTGCATGTATTATTACAGAAATAGTAATATAATTTAATACCAGCAAGCTGAACTTATTAAATATACAGGAATAATCATTATAAATAAAAAAGTATATGCACGTACATAATATTTAAATAGATAAAAATAAAATATTGCATTAGACGTGAATCATAAGTAGTATTCATATTTATGATTCCTACTTAATTTATATAAAATCTAGAACTAAGTAAAAAAATTACTATACAACATTTGACCAAAATAAATATCGTTAATAATTAGGTATAATATAATTTATGACTACTATGTACATATAACGTAACCTTTTACTTAGCTTATTATTTATTATTTAAACAAGTGTAAATTATTGGCAATCCAAACTGGACACGACGAGCAGTAAAAAAAAAAACTATCAAAAATTAAATTATTAAGTAATAAATGTTTTAAGTGTTTTTAAATTTCTATTGAAAATTTATTTTATGTAATTATAGGTAGATGGTTAAAAAATTTTTGATCAAAATCAACTTTTAAAAATTGTAATCTTACCTTGTTTTCCATAGTCACTAGGACCCTTCTCTTTTTTTACTTTAGGCATATCGAATAATTTATGTTTTTTCTTTATTTACTCGACTGTAGTTTCTTAAAAAAAAAATGTCATAAAAAACAATATTTTAGATATAACAATAAATTTATTATAATATAGTAAAGTTAATAACAGCTATCACATATACACGTGTTTTAGCAAATTGTTACCGTATCAATATTATCGTAATTATCATTATCTATAAGCCTTGTCTATTATTTACACAGCTGTTGTATACTGTGATCGAAGTCTACTACTTACCATAATGGTTATATTAGGTTATTGATACTGGCTTATGCCAAACAACATTTTTATCAATCTGATTTGTGATTAAGTTCAAAAGTTATTTTTTTTAATAAAATCTAAATTATTGAATCATTTACTTTAGAGTATTATTCTATAGATTAATGGATTATCCTCAATTTAATACAAATAATCACAGATGTATAATATATATGTGCAAATCATAAATAAGATTATTATTATCCTAATTTTTGATTTCGATGGGCGCTAGGTCAGTACTATATCACTTGTGGTTGATACTATCACACCGTAGTTACCTGTATCTAACTACTTTGGTTACTAATGTGCACACATGGTAGCTTTGTACGTTTCAACAAAAATTGAACACTTTTACTATATTTTTGATAATTAATACATTACTTAATTAATACTTATACTCACGAACTTATAGATTTAGCCTTATAAATATGGATGTACTTATACCAGTCACACCATAAAATATGTAGGTATAGAATACTACCTATATACACTAGAATGTAAATTCTATGTAAAAAAAAAGAAGTGTACAACGCAAACGAACAAAGCTGGTATATTCTATCCTTAGATTTTATACAATATTTTACGTATATGATCTAAGGTTATATCCATATCACAGACTTTATTTGTGATCCATTTATATTGTATACATTATCTATGTTTTTATAATGAATTTTTGTACTATTTATGACCATAGATTGTTTTATTAGAATTGTATAGAATTAACTTATAGAGTAAAAGTTACTCTATGAGTTAATTATATAAGTATATAGTTATAATAATTATGATGTAAATGTGATTAGGAAATTAATGATAATTGATAGAAAAACTAAATTAAAAACAGCAATTGAATTTTGAATATTCATAAATATTACATTGACATCAGTTATCAGTGTCATCACTCAGTTTAATTTTTGTATATTTAAAATACAATTTTTTATTTTAGCAGTAAAAAAAATAAAAACCTCATACTTAAGCATTGCACGAAAAACTAAGTTTAAAAAAGGTAAGATAAAATTTAATTATTGTTGAAAGATTAAGAAATATGCTCAGTAGTTAAATGTAAAACAGTACTCAGTCTTCAATGACATTATTTTAGACTTTCTAATAATTAACATTAGTAGAAATATTATAAATTATGTCCATTGAACATCAATTATAAAGCATATTCCATTATTAAAAAAAAAATAGTATATCTGACCCCTATGTATTTGAATTCTTAGAATCTTATTAATTTATTTCCATTTTATATATCTTGCATTGAGGCTACAATAATCATCAAAATCTTATGTCAGTATTAATTAACAAAAACAAATGTTATAAATTATAACCTAGTAATAATACATCTCCTAATCATAACTGATAAACACAATTAAAATATATATACAAAAATACTTTTTAATTACATAACATAAGGAAAATCAAATACATGGCAATCACCAAAGGCATAAAATAGAAATTGTTACCTTACCAAACATAATAAAGTCCTATAACTAGGGTAGATAACTGTTCTTGTGATATTGATATGAGTTAACTTCCTAAATAAAATAAATTAATTTGTAGGAATTGAAAAAAGTCAACAATGAAAATAAAAGATTAGTCTCTAATAGACAAAACAGAGTTATAATATTGTAACATGTGACCATCACAACTTAAATTTACAATTTAATTTAAGTGTATATGATTTTCTAATATTATAAAATGTATAGGTACCATTTTGATAAAAAAAAAAAAATGTTTACACTATAAATCAACAAAAACTATATTAACTCATTTTTTAATAAACAAAGAATAATTAAGAACAGTAATTTTAGTATCTTAATAATTTTAAATATCGACTGAATTTATATTATGTTAATAGATCATTAAATAATTCATTTTAAAATAATTTGTATTTGAAATACTATTATAAAAAAAATGTATACCAAAATATATTGCAGAACAATATAATAATACAATTTAGATACCTAAGTTCCAAAGTTCTTTATAGCAAAGTTAATTACCAAAATTTGTTAGCAACAATAAAGATTTTTAAAGATTTAGACTTCTTACATAACAAAAAGTAAATGTACAATATATATTATAAAGATTTGATTAACTAGTTAATTCTATTAAGTACTTACTTGTCTATAGCAATTCATTTTTTTAAAGATGATATCATAGTTGATACTTCCTTACAAAAACTTCAAATTGTTCCTTTATAATTGCACATAGTAACCATCCTCATACAAAAATCGAAAAATGTTGCAGGAACGGTTAGGATGAAATATTTCGTAATATTTATAAGACAATACCTAACCATAATAATAATACTATTTGATCATAATATTTCTAGTATTAGTACTAGTAAATAATGTATTTACCAACCTATTTTTAAATTATAGGTGAAAAATAAATGTTCAGAAATTGGAGTTCTGCAATTACATTTAAAGAAATACCAGATAATATTCCTTTTGTATACAAATAATAAGACTGTCAGATCTCTTACAGTAAATATTAAAAATATAATATTCCAAAATAGGTATTCACCATAGCTAAATTGTGTATTAATTATAGAATCCTCAGCAAATCTTCAAACTCATCTCAACCTAATGTCTGAATGGTACACCGATTGGAGCATTAAACCGAATCCCAATAAGTGAGTACATACAACATTCACTCTATGCCACTCTATTTATCCTAATGTCTATTTACATAACATCTTTATTCCCACATCTGACACAGTTAGATATCTAGGACTTAACTTGGATAAGTGCCTCACTCGAAATAGCCATATCCGTATTAAGAGACTTTCCTTAAACGCCCATCTTTATAAGCTTCGAACTTTATTGGTAAATAATAAACACTCCGGATTAAAAGTAAAAGTTCTTATGTATAAAATATTACTTAAACCTCTATGGACATATGGTCTCCAAATATAGGGTACTGAAAAACTGTCCAATATCAATAAAATTCAACAATTTTAGAATATTGCCCTTAGGAAAATAATGAATGCTTCACCCTTTGTTTCTAATTACACTTTGCATAAAGACCTGTCAATTAAAACTCAGCTACACGCTTCTACAAAAACTTTCATGCCTGTCTCCAAACACACCAAAACCCACTCATTAAAAACCTTTCCACCCAAATATTACCTGGCAACCCCAGGCATTGTCTAAAATGGAACTGGTTCTGTGACTTGCTAGAAAACTAAACTGGGAGAAAAAATATATATATATATACAGCTAGATAATTATTCAACTTCCAGTCAAGTGCCACTAGTGGGTGGGTTGCTTCTTATCAAGTACTCATGTTATCTATAGCCTTTAGCATATATGCTTATTATGCACCAATTGTACAGATTGTATATATTATTGTGAAAATAAAAAAATAAAATTATAGAATACAATACATTGTAGGTATGTTTAAATATCTAGTGTGTCATGTGTAAGTAGTTAAATTATTTTATTTGAAAACAGTAATTAAAATAATATTCAAGAGCAAACCATTTTTAAAAATTATCTTTGTATTAATAATTTATGAGATAAAACAGTATATAACATATTGTAATACATTTATTTGCTGAAATTCAAAGTTGTATAAATATTAAATTTATATAACATAAGATATACCTATGGCATATTTTTACTATGTTAAAAAAAAACTATATGTACTTACTATCTACCTACTTTTTAGTTTATTTGATCATTCAATTTATATACTTCACTCATATTTTAATCGCTGATTTTTAATACAAACTAATATATTTTTTTGTAATTCTTACTTATAATGTTTAATTATTAAACACTAAAATTGAAAAAAAACAATTATTTAGGTAGGTACAATCTACAATGACAAAATTTAAGTGTTCAATATCATGGATTATTTCATAACTATTCAGTTAAACAAATAATACAAAAAGGAAATGCAAATGATTAATACATATTCACATATTCTATACACATTATATTATTTATTAACATTTAAATAATTCAGTTTTCGGCAAAATAGTAAAATTCTTAAAAAATTCAAACAATACAAATAAATATAGCTCAATACAAATATTTTAAATAAAGTTACATAATTTTTTGAGCACGTTAATATAAACAAATAAAATAAAAATATATTTATACATATATTCAGATCAAAAAGTAAATCTCATCAATTATTAATTAAATCCTAAAGCATTATAAAAATGTAAATAAAATCCAACATTCAATAAAATTAAGTTAAAATACGAACTAGATAGTATAAGCTGTTAACAATAAAGCAATATACATAATAATAAATAATTTTCTCAATAAATAAGCATTCTTTGATCAACAATAAATAATTTATTCCCTGCCCTTTAATTTTTTTTTTAAATTTTTTCTCGTTTTTTTTTTGCATTTGTGTAACATTACTTACTGTTGTAATAAGCAGTATTATTATAAATAAAATAAACTAATATGGTGCCAGACAATGTAGTAAAATGTAGGTAACAAAAAAATATTACAAAAATTCAGAAGATAACATACCCTTAGGTTTTTCAAATGATTCAGTAAATAGACTTTTTGATAAAAAACTATTTAAACGAGTAATAGGTCCACCATGTCCAGCAGGTGTAATAAGAATAATTTTTTTCAAATATAATGAATTAATATATTTTAACAATTTAATGAATTGTTTTCCATACTTCTGATGCATTGCAAAACTAACAATACTTAGGAATTCAACTAACATGGTAGCGGTGATGTCTGGCATTGGGTTTTGATTCAATGTACCAGCCAGAAAAATCCATGCTTGACTTAGGGCTATAACTGATTGATCATATATTGATGAAGTAAGTATAAGGACTGCATAAAGACGTAGAATACCTGTCATACGCTTTAGGTATTTATCATGAGATTCAATATTTCCCAATGAATCAAATTTGTAACCAAATGAGTAATGGTCTATTTGTTGAACAGTTAAATTTTTTGCTATAGGATAACAAAATGGAACTAATAAAGGGCATTTTTGTTTTATCTCTGCAACAAGTATGTTTCCGAATTGGTGATGCACTTTCCAAAGTTTTATTATAACTGCTGAGATTGCAAAAGCTGCTTCAGTTTTGACACATATTACTTCTTCTGCATAACTGATAATTTTTGTAGCTAAAGTTTCCAAACAAAATGCCAACACTTCCTGATTATTACCAATCATAACTTGTGTATTTCCTACATAAACCAGTTTTCCACTTAACAAATCATTTAATTTATTAAATTTGTCATTTAAATGAACTGCATTAGTAGATGATATAGTATTCACAAGTGTAGTAATAACTTTGATTAAATTTTGCCTAAATAATTTTTTAGTAGGATCATTTATAAATGGTACATTTTTTATTTTATTTAAGTTTTTAATTAACGCCCTATTGTTTTTAACCAAAGAACCGTATTGCCGCTTAATAGGTCTTATATTTTTTTCATTGGGAATATTGACAGAAAAAATGTTTAATGGATTTTTTTTTAATTTGGTGTTTGCCTTAATTGTTTCTAGTTTTGCTTGAATTGGGATCATTACATCATTTTTATATAATATAAGATCTTTCAATAATTTTTCTACAGCAATTAAGGAAACTTCTTCAACAACTTTTACATTTTTTAAAATATCTAATTGTGATTTCATCAATTGGTAATCATTAATTTGTTTGTCAATATTTATTATTAACTGTTGGTTGTTTAAATAATTATTGATGTTATTTACAATTAAAACTGCTTTGGTCAGGGCGCCTTTAAAACATATTTCTCTATTACGCTGTTGGGAATTAAATACAATTGTTTGTTGAATGTTTGTTTGATTTTTGATTTGATCCAAAAACAGTTGGTAATTTTCTTTTTTAACAATAATTTCTTCATGTTGAAATTTTGGTTTGGGCGAAATGTCATTTTTTTTATTTTGTAACATTTCATCCTTTTTTTTCTGCCACATTCTAATTATTTCTTTAATTGACTGTTGTACCATTGTCTTCCGTATTAACTCCAATCGCGAAGATGTATTGGAACGAAATTCACAAAACCATTCACTTTCATTATTATCTCTCCCAATAACTTTAGAGGATGAAAATTTATTAACAGATTCAATGAGGTTTTCCTTTAAATAATGACTGTTGACTTCAGAAAAATTGCTTCTAATCAATTTTAAACGGTTTTTCAACAATGTTGAAGTATAATTATTATTATACATAAACTGTTGACAAATATTTTTCCGGATGAGAAGGGCATGATTATTGAGGTTGAAATTAAAAAATGATGCGTTCGGAGCCATTATCTTATAACGAATAAGTAGATTTATTTTTTTTTTTCAAAATGTAATAATTTGTACTCACGTGGTTTTCATTGAAAAATGCGGCATAATCCAACCTGGAACAATATTTCATGCAGTAACCAAAATGCATTCGCTCTTAACGATAACTGAACTAAAACTAAAATATTTTCAACAACATAAACATAGGCACCTATCTAAAATTCTTAAGTGCAGCATACGCGATTACGAGTTATACGTCGCCCGTAAAAGAATAGTCATAATTTATAACTTTAAAAACCGGTCTGACCAGGCGATTTAGCGATTATACACAATAGTAATGTGGCCTTATCACGTATTAGAACGATAAACTAAATTAAATATAGTCAATGCTGGTGAAATACCATTTTCCAAACAATATAGATATATTTATACACTGAAATGTTACCTACATCGAACATAAATGGTAAGTAGATAGGTCACAGTGTTTCGTAATTGATCGAAATTTCAATGTTAAAACTATTAAGTAGGTACCTACTTTAGAAGTAAAATAGAGACCTAATACAATAATATAAATATAGATAATATAATTAGCACCAGTATTTATTGATTACTATAATTTCGGCTATATTCAAATGATTTTTGAAAAAAAAAAAAAATAATACTTTGGTGGCTAATTTCGCCGGGAGAGGACAGCATCCTACACTGTTCTTTTCTCGTAAATACGCATGCCTATACACCGTAATGGTTGGTAATAATAACTGTTTTCTTTTTCATCCGTGTTGACCAAGTACGGGACTCGTAAATCAATATAATAATAATTCAATAATTATTGTCGTTCCAAATATACCAATAATCCTGTATTAGTTATCCTTTAGGTTTTAAAGAAACTGGATTTAAAGAAAAAAGAAGTATCTTATGTGTTAACCCAAAACATATTCTACCTGTGTGCATAATTTCATACAAATCATTTAGGCCATTTTGGTGTGATTGGAGCACTATTCAAACACCGTGCGCCATAACGTCATTGTATCAAAAATGATAGGTACCCCTCTACTGTCTCCCTTACCTAAGCATAAAAGTGGAATATTTCGTCAATGGGTCGACGAAAAATAGACATTTAAACACCAAAATATACCTATTTAACACTTCAAAAATGTATGACATTTTTTAATATAAATTGCCACTTGAAAATTAAAATTAGGTAGTTAGTTGTTTCTCTCCTAAAAATTAGGGTGACAAAAAATAATGATACCATTCTAGTGAAACCATTTTAGAGCTGCTTTTTTCTTAAATTTTTAAAAAAAAAAATAAAAAATTCATATAACACACAGTGTTATTATTTAACAGCCAAAGGTTAGGTTCTTAGTTTAGATTCTACATCCAGTAACTCTCTGGTTACATCTATTTATGATTCTATACAGGCCAAAAAACAATAGAAAGTGAATTTTATAATGCTATTTCTCACGGTTTTGTATAGAGTTCAGCGTAAAATAATTCGGAGAAACTTTTTCGACAAAAGAATATTATGTTATTATTTTTATTGAATGCATTTTTCAACAAATTAATATTATTTCTGTTAAAAAATATATAATATACTATAAACAACCGTAGGTAGTTTTTGGAAATAGCAAATCAATACTCTTCTGAATAACTTGTAAGTATATGTGCAAAACAATTATATGTTCTATTCGACACAGCATAATAATATTATAGTATATTATGTCAATAATTTAAGAACGTTGATTTTTTTCTTATCTGGAAATCAAATAAATAACAACTACGAATCGTTAAAAAAAAAAAAAAAAAAACCAAAAACAAATTTACTCGTGGAAATCTACCTACACAATAATATGATATAATAACGTCCGTGAAGTAGGCCTCTCCATATTAACGTATCAACTCCAAACTATACCATTATTTTGTAACAAATTTGCAACAATTTGTAATCAAAGTTTTAGAATTTGCAACTAAATATATACGACACAAAACCGATTTAATTGATGGGGGGACCAACTTCACGCAGCCCCCCCCCCCACATATCGGCCTATTGACTCTAAATTGGTATCATTATTTTGTAACTGATTTGCAATTATTTGCAACCGTTTTCAGAATTTGCAACCATTTTTTTTTCGCCACAAAATCAATTTTAAAAATGTAGGTAAACAATTGGTCTCAATCTCTTATCTATGTTGAACCACAAAACTAACACACAATAAGTTTGAGGCATCCTATCCATTTCTTTATTATCTTGTATATGTTACAGTTAATGTTGTAAAAACGGTTAATGTCGTTACATTTATATTTTTTGAACATAAAAACCGATTCTATGCTATTAGTTTAAATACTAAAATGTATGAGCCTATTATCAAACTTAAAGGAAAGAACATTGTCTGTTTTTGTACGTCGGTTTTTTTTCGGTGTTTTAATTTTCAAGTGAGTTAAAAGCATGTGAAATATTACAATTTAAAAATTGTCGAATCTAGATTAAAAATTAAAATATTGAGAAAAAAAGTTACGTACAAACACAAACAATATGCTTACCCTTAAGTTAATACGCCAAAATATTCCAATATTAAAACGAACAGCATAAAATAGGTTAAAGTGTAATTATAACAACATTAACCGATTTTACAATATTCACCTTATATATATATCCGATAATTGCGACAAAGTAAATACAAACGAAATTTAAGATAACTCATTTTCTGTTTAGTTTAAGAGTTTTCACTTTTCAACAATGTTTGTCGTAAATTTTGTAATAAACTAAATATTTGTTGTACTTAGTGCTAACAAAAAATATTAACCGTAATGTAGTAATTTTTTTATGAGCAATTTAAAATCTTAAAAACTTAATAAATTCGCGTAGATAAATTGAAAAGTTGTGAAAGGTGACGCAGTGTTATTGTAGTATAGTACTCAGGTATTTACAAGTATTGGTTTTTTTCCAGATAAAGTTAAGATAAAGGTAAAACATGGAAGTGTACCAATAATAAATAGTCCCAGACGTGTCCTCATAAAATTAATGGGAAAATTAAAGGAACTTTTAAAAATGTTATGTTCTAAGAAAATAATTGAGAAAATTTAAGAGCCAAGTGAATGACAAAACAGTTTAGTAGTAATTGAAAAACCGGATAAATCACTTAGAATGTGTTTAGACTCTAGGGACTTGAATAAGAATATTATGAGAGAAATGGTTGAAATTCCAACCCTAGATGAAGTTAGAAATAAATTAATAAATAAAAAATTGTATACACTAGTGGACTTGAAAGATGGGTTTTATCAATGTGAGTTGGAAGAAGGTTCAAAAAGATATTGTGCATTCAGTACACCATATGGTACAATTTTAATAGACTACCATTAGGAATAGCGTGTGTACCTAAATTGTTCCAGCAATTGACAAATAAATAATTTAGAGATATTCAAAATGTGTGTGTGTGTGTACATTGATGACATTTTAGTTTATGGTAGAACAAAGGAAGAACACGATGAGGCTCTTCAAAAAGTAATGGATAGAGCCAGGATATTAAATATATAATTTAATCCAAATAAAATACAATATCAAAAAAAATGAAATAAAATGTTTAGGTTTGAAATTTAGTGAAAAAGGAATAGAACCAGATGAAGATAGTATAAAAGCCATATTAGAGTTAAAAAGTCCTACTAATTTGAAAGAAAAATGGTATGAAGGAGAGATTGTAAAGAAAACAAAATGGTCCAGGTCATACTATGTGAAAAATGCAAAAGGGAAAGTATTGAGAAGAAATAATTGTTATGTAAAAAAGAAATTTAAGATTAAGGACAAGTTTATTAATGATGATGTTATGAATATAGATAAAAAGAGGATGATGACAGTAATGAGAATAAAGGTTCTGGGAGTCAGACGTTAATCACTGGCAATAATAACAAAAAACAACTAGAGGATAGTAAGAAAAAAGAAGTGACAGGGTGTATTAGAACAAGAGCTGGTAAACAAAATAAAAACCAAATAAACTTAATTTGTAGAATCTTAAGAACTAGTAATTAGTATTTGTATTGTTTAGTTAGCAAGCATCATATTTAAGTATTGTAATTTTTAAGCATATAACATATTGTGTATCTATATTTATTAAGTTTCTATATATTGTATTCCTAAAGGAGATGTTGTAATGATAAGACTATGATAAGATATTCATAAGATTGTAATAAGCACGAGACATCACATACGTTATTAAATATGTTATGTAAATATATAAGGTATTAAATATATTATGTTATTATACGAGGGCTAATCAAAAAGTATCAAGACTGGTAGTATCATTCGGAAAAGGAGCATCGAAAAGCAGTAGGATTAGTATCACTTGCTTCTATGACTTTTTCTGAGTACATTTGTTTTTATTGNTTCTGAGTGCATTTGGTTTTATTGCTTCTCTATAAAATTCTTCGGTTTGATTTCACTGATATTTTTGTAAAATATATTTTTCGAGTTTGGCGATTTTATAATTAACCCAAAAGAAGAGTAACTTGACAGATTTGGAGATTTTAGAAAATTTGTCTGCATTATTTTCAGTTTCAGAGGGATGCAACATTTCATGGTTTTTGCCATTAAATGTCAACTGAAAAACTGAAAATGTGCCCTCGAGTGGCAGCGAGTAGCTGCACCTATCTCCAATATCAGGTTTTTTTTTATTTTATGAATTTTATAAAATATTGTACTGATGCTTCGGTACGCTTCGCTTTAGTCGAGTTCCCTCTTGAAGTTATTCCCACTTTATGCACTACTGCCACTCACTAATCGGCTTACGAAAATCAATGAAGATGTGTGGTTAAACATTTTCCGATTTTCAAAAACGTTTGTACACATCATTTTATTCAATGATAAATTGTTATAAATAATATGTTTTACCATAATTATAAAACAATAATTAAGTAACAAAATTATGCACCAAATCAAAGTAGTTAAGTACTATAAAAAACCGAACAAAGTACGCAAAATACGAAATTATTTAATAAAGTTACCTTTTCATACTACACACTTTCTATCTCACACTCATAAAATCTTACTATATTATAAGTATATCGCCTCTTTCCCCCGAAATGGACATATTTTAGTTTTTGATGAAGAGAGAAATTTTTGATTAATATATCAATGAAAAAATAAGAACTTACAAGTTAATCTTAATTTACTTTTTCCTCTATGTATTATCATAATATTGTAACAATTAAATATTTTATCCATGTATTTCAAAGTAAACGAACAAAATATAGGTTTTCTACAAACAATGCATGCGTGTATGAAAAATAATGTTGAAATTGTTATGATAAATTTGTATATACAAAATTGTAAATGAGAGATGTAGTTGACTATTGTGAGAGTCATGCAAAGGGAATTGTGGGGGCATAGCCTCCATGGGTTTTTGATGCTTCTATAATTTTAGCACCTCCAAGTTGGTAGTCTAATTGTACTAATATAATATATTTTTTTTTTTTTATAAATTTTAAAAATATAATTTTGACATAAATCATAAATATTGTGATCTTTAAAAATATGTATAACCGAAATTCGCTTTGAATCGTATTTCGTTGGTAATGGTTTATCATTGGTTACAATTATAAATAAAATAACTTTATGTATTTCACCTTCATAACTACTCACCTACCACAGAGGTCACACCCGTATCTATTATCAGTTATTTGTATATATTGAAGGTTTTTATTGAATTTTTTGTAATTTTGAATTTTTTATGTAATTAGTGAAATAATTGTAGACAAATTATAATTTCTGAAATTTCCAAGGCTCCTTTTTAGGGGGCTTGTATACAGCCCTTTAAGTCCATCCTTAATTATCTGTGTATAAGATATATATACATTGTTCTCACTACGAAGTTTGAATTATAGAAAAGTGAAATCATTTTCGAATATTTTTAACCAGCGCATTAAAATAATTAATTATTCATTAAAACGAATTAAAATGAATTTAATAATTTATTTTTATTTTGTATTTTACCGGAAACCTATATAATATTTACATACTACAAAATGTTAATGGCACGTTAACATCGTTTATTAAAACAATTATTTCCGGCCGTATCATTTTTTGATAAATCATACTTGTATACCTACACAGATCTGTATTTAAGCGCAAAGCAGTATCGTTATTGGGCCTGCACCATTGGCTAGCTTAGGAATCAATATATCCTAAGTACGACTCAGTAGTACAGTATCTGTACAAGTATAGGAATTCGTTTATAATTCTTTCCTGGAACGTCATTTAGGAAGGGGGGCAGGAAAATCAATTTTTCCAATCCTATATTTTAAGGTTTATTTGGGCTGGCTGTCTTATATACATGGGCTGGTTATAAGGACGTCAACATGAACTGGCTATAAAGCAATATCATTATTACGAGTATATATAAAATGCCGTAAATGGCGCGAAAAAAAGTTGTTGGGTGATTAAAATTGAGTGATTAGTGATAACCTATTAGTCGGTATCAGTTATCGGTATCATACAGATGAGAAAAAAAGTCGGAGGTCGGCCGTCAGTATCATAGATATATAAAACAATATATAAATATATATTTTATAATATATTTTTTGTTGTCAGTATAGATCTAAGATGATATCATCTCTTATGTTCATGGATGACACACACGTGTGTATTATCTAAGTTTTAGCTAGTATATGACGAAAAAAAAAATGAAAATATATTAAAATCTCAAAATCCCGTATTTTAAATGTTCGATAACTCGCTTCTCTCGTTCCTCGTATGTTGATCTGAAAATTCCGAACCCGTACGAGAATTATCGTACGTATGGCAACCCTAATATTGGTAGTTGCTGTTATCACCTTATTATTTAAGAGTTGCACAAATTCAGTCAACAGATGGCGTTGTAAACTAATGGTCTGCATTGCAACCCCCGTACGTCTTGTCTCTTCTATCCTAATTTGGTACCACTGACAAATTTACACCAGTGCATTAGATCTTAGTCCGTACACACAATCCACACATTCATCATTTTACTACCGGTATTTATTGTTGTTTAAACTACTTCAAACTTCAAACTGCCTTTGGTCACTTTACCGCGCCACAATTCGTCATTATTCGAATTCAACATTATTAGGTAAGATGAAATTGTGTTAATATATTTTATTATATACAAAGGTTGATTTTATTTATTCAATTATTGCAAACAAATTTTTGCGCATTCCTATGAAAAATTATTGAAAATTCGAAAAAAGGTTTTCATCATTATTTTTGTTCGGTTTAAGATGCTCACAGAATCGGAGCGGCAGAGGTAGCAAAATGTTTGCGGTAACGGAGTGATATAAGATACCGCTGAAACTAACCTACTCAGAGCGAAATTTAGCAAAAACCTCGTGGTAGTGGTTATATCTCTTCTATATATTATAATTTATAATTTTTATCTTGTTTAAATATTCGACTAATGTTAACTATTATATCTACACATGGACCATGTATAGAATTTATTTTTTATCTCACACGTGACTTGACAGATAGGTCATTGTTGTTGTATTTCAAATCACGACTGGACAACATCTTTAGATATTCTCGTACTATAATTAGATATTAATTTTTCATCATCGATTTTAGATTCTGAGCAAAGCGAGGATTGTATTGGTTTAACAATGAAGTTTATTTTTCAAATTTTTGGTTTTTATCTGTGAACAACTTTTCTACTAGAAATTTTGCTCCGATTTTTAAATGTAGTACCTATTGTTTCTGATAGAAAATTTTAGCTGAATGGTACATTAAGGTGACCATTTTTTGATTTTCCAAGTAGTTTTCATAATAATTTGGAAAAAACTTAGGAGAATGGGTAAATTTACGAAATGTATTATTTTCAGCTATTAATATAGCCGATAGTACAATATTATTACATTCATGTAATCATATTAGGAAAAAAGTAAAAAAATTACTCATCAATTACGTATTAATCTGCAACTCTGAAAAAATGGTGGAGTAACAATTACTATCCCTTTAATATATCTACTTCTTTAATTATATATATTTCTATCGAGGTATGTATTATTCATAACGGGTCACTTCCCCATAACCATTTCCTCGAAAAACATTTCTCCGTCCATTTTTATCATCTTATAAGAATAATAAAATTAATTAAAAAAAATATTAAAAAATTTAATCTATAGATCATGTAAATGGTAAATATAATATATATTTTATTATAATATAATGCATTTAAAATGATATAATCTATAGATCGTGTAAATATAATATATATTACTGTTGCCGTATAAATCGTACATAATATTACAGATAATCCATTATCCATAATATATGTTGATTATTAGTTTATCGGCGTATTATTTGAGTTTTGCACAGATAACGAAAAATTTATAACAATACATGTTTTGTTGTAAACAAATTGAAGCCGATTTAATTTAGTGAAATAGTCGGAGAAATATTGAAATGTTGACGTATAGAATATATTGGTTCTACAATCTACATAATTATATGATGAACGTGATTTAGAGGAGTACTTAATTGGCGTATTTTTTTAATTATTTATTAATTTTATTATATATATTATATTTACGTGATTTAGGTATAGATTAAATTAGTTTATAATTTTTTAAATTTATTATTATCATAAGTTTTTTTAAAATTAAATTTTGAATAATTTGAATAACTGAATAATTATATTTTTTAGAAAAGAATACTATCAGTATGATGAAAGTGTGTATTTTCATCTTTGGGATATTCACAATAAACACGTATGACTGCGAGGTTATACAAGACTTACCATCATCTCAGAAAGAAATAATATCTACAAATCTTGATGGAATAAAAATGATTGAAAACTGTGGTTTTAGACATAAACCAATACTGGACTATTGTTCGAGTTACGATGAGTCCAAAGACCAATACGGTATTATGCTAATATTTAAACTAGATTATATTTGTAATGTAATGCTTAGATAAAGATGATCCTATGTAGCCTCTAGGTAATTTGAGTAAGCTGTCTGTTTATATAATAATAGTATTATTTATATTTAGGCGGGTCCCTGAGGGGGGGAGCGATGGGATAGACCACCCCCCACTCCACCCAAGAGAAGTAGACTTATATTGGAATTTTGCATAATCTGCAATGGTCCAAAAGTAGATATAAAAGATATGATTAATATATTATATGACATTATTTATTAGATTCTGAGTGTAGTGAAGAATGTATTGGTTTTACAAACATTTTTATTTATATTTGTATTTATTTATACAGTGACAAAAATTTCTACCAGAAATCTTGCCCCGATATATACGTATAGCACCATTTCTAAAAGAAAATATTACCTTAGTAGGTCATTTTTTGATTATCCAAGTGGTTTTCATAATATTTGGGAAAACTCGTGAGAAAACGGAAGAAAAACGGAAAATTTACTAAAACAATCCTTTTTATTATTTTCAGTTGTGTTATTTGTAGTAATTTAGTTAAAAATATTCATAAACTTTTTTTCTAAAAATCGAAAAATCTAATAACAATTAACAACACATTGTTTTTTTTTCCATTTATTTCTGAATTACTTTATTGATTATACAATATACATATTAAAACAGTTTACCAAGCACCGTTTCAATGAGTGTACAAACTAAAAAACCAAATATTCTATAGGTACCTTCCAAATTGTTTCTACCCACAGATATATATAGTATATATCCTTTCCCATGAAGATATACCTATTGTAATATCTTAGGAGATAATCAATTTTTTTTTTCTATATTACTCACTAGGATAATGTCTATGAATATTTAAATTGCAATTAATTTTTATGTTTTGGTAAAAAATAAAAAAATAACTGTTTATTATTTTTGAAAAATTTGAAAACAGCCATTTTATAGAGATTATTCTTTTGGACATTTGATGCATCAACTTTATTTTCATTAAATTCGTGATTTTCAATAATTTTTTACTGTTCAGAGAAAAGAAGTACAGTTAACTTATAATAATAATTAATTAGAGAATTTGATTACAGCCAGCAGCATAATTACAGACACTCTGGACTTTAAAAGATTATTAAAAATCGCAAATTTAATAATAATAAAAATTTGACACATACAAGTTTTTAGAAAAATATACTCTATAAAATTAAATTTTTCAAAAGTAATAAAACAAAAACTAATTTTTCAATAATTTTTTTATCAAAATACAATAAAATGAATTGCAATATAAATATTTGTAGTTCTTATCCCTATAAATAATATAAAATAAAACAGAATTTGATTATTTTTATTATCTCTGGAGATATTACAATGGGTCTATTTTCATGGGACATTGTATCTGTGTTTTTATCTATAACAGTGGTCTATCCATGGTATTATACTAATTTTATATTTTATATATATTTAAAAAATAAAAAAAACTTCTATAATTTATGTTAATAATAATGTTAATTGTTGTTATTTTTTGTTGTTGTTTTAGGAGAAGAAGCCCTCTACCATGTTTTTGAACAGTGCCCAGCATATCTTAGCATAAAGGGCTGTTCGATTGAGTGTGTTGAATTTTTTTTTGATTTGAATTGTAAAAGGTTAAGCCAGTAAGTATATGAACCCAAGTTATCATTTTGGATAAGGTAATAAGTACTTTCTACCAATTACCTTATTTAAGAGGAAGCCCTACTTGCATTTTCTGTCTAAATAATCTAATTAATGGGAAACATGGCAAATTTGCCACTTAGAGAATACACTGTAGTACAAATTTAAAAATAACAGTATAAACATAAATTAAAAACAAAATTTAAAGAAGAAATTATTTTCGAAGGTACTATGTTGTTGCTTTTCAAAAATATTGTCAAACCAAAAGTACACAAATAATTTAAAAAAAAGGAAAAACTAACATGATTGTGACCTATTTTTATTTGACAATACTTTCTTAAAAAATAACATAATGCTCTCAAAAAATTCTTCTCCCTTAAATTTTGTTATTTTAGTTTTAATTTTAATTTTATTCTGGATGCCAGAATTTTTGTTGAAATAAGTAAATTATTTTGCTATGTTGACTATGATATAATTAATAATTAATGAGTATACTTAAATAATTCTGTCAGTATAATTTCATAACCCTTATTTATAACAATTTACAGGGAAAAGCTACAAGAAAAATATAATAAGCAGGAGAATGATCAATTGGAATTCAAGTATATGAATTTTTTAAGGCTGTCTTCTATAATTGCGTAACTTTGTTTACTGCCTGACAATTGATACAATATTATACAGGGATATTTTTTAAACAATCATTCTGATGTATCCTAACTAGGTATTTATATTATAAATCAATGTAGAAATGACAATTAACTTTTTATACTTGTATTAATTTTATGCAATTATATCTAATAAAGTAATAACTAATTTTAAACTAAAAAAAATACACTTGTAATATTTAATATTTGTGTAACATGATAATATGACTATTTTACAATAAGTAGATAGGTACTATTCTATGTACCAGGTTATTCACTTAAGTGGGTACACTCATTATTTCAAAAAGTATTAACTTTTTTGGAATTTTTTTCCAGAAATTGTATAAAAAAGCTGTCCTACAATTTTATATTTATGCAAATTTTTGTCACCCTTATTTTTGGGGGTAAAACCATTACCTATTTTTGATTTTCAATTGAAAACCTAATAAGGATGACAAAAAATAACATAAATATAAAATTGTAGAGCAGCTTGTTTCTTAAATATTCTAGAAAATAAAATTCTGTAAGAAGTTAATATGTTCTGAAATAATGAGTGTACTCACTTAAATGGATCACTCGGTATACCTATATATAGGAGATCTTATATAGTGATATATTTAACTATTACCTACATAAAAACTAAGCCATATTCATTGAGGTCTATCACTATTTAGCAAAACTCTATAATAGTGTCCTGCTAGAAATCAGCAGTGTTGAGCATTATCTAGGTAAATTATCTAAATAAATTATCTAGATAAATAATTGATCTTTTGTCTTATCTAGATAATAAAACAAAATTAGTAATCTGATAAATTATCTTAGGTGAATAATTGAGTTATCTAACATAATTTATCTAAATAAATAAATATATTTAGCTATCCAATAAATTCGAAAAAAATGAACTTGAAAGTTAAAACCCATGTATTATTGAACCATTCTTGTATAAATACAGAACAAAATTAAAAAAATAAAGAAATAGGTAATAATATTATCTGGGTCGCTTATTTATGTAATTTCTAAATTCTAATTATATCTGGATCTATATAGATTGATCTAAACGGAGTTGACTGAGTTGACTGCTTATAGATTTATTTTACAATTATCAAATTAATAATTAAATTCAATTAAATATTATAAATGATGAAAAAATCTATACATTATACCCAACCTTCGAAAATAAACATTTGAATATGGCTAGTACCTATGATTTACTGACAAAAGTAAATAAATATAAAATAATTATCAATCAATAATAACAATAAAAATTAATCTTAAAATTTAAATGAAATAATATATTCTAAATGTTTATAATTATTGAATATTATATACCTATTAATTATTAGATCAAAGTTAGGTTCATTTTATTTTATTTTATATTTTTAGTAGAAAATGACAATTTTATCTTTTTTTTATACAGATAAATGACAATTTTATCTTTTTTTTTATACAGATAAATAGTATTTTATCTTTTATTTCTATCTAGATAAATTGTATCTAATTATCTTTTATCTTTATCTAGATACATTTTTTAGTTATCTTTGCACAATATTGTAAATCAGTGAATGCTTGAATGTAAGCTTCTAATACATTTCTGAAAAATATTAACACAGACTATATGAATCATAATATTATGGGAAAAAAATCATTGGTTTCCAAATTTCGTCATAAATTTTTTATTATTTTTTTTGTCTGTTAAGAAATTTTCTGTCAAAAATCTTGCTTCAATCAAACAGCAAGTCACCTTTTTTTTGTAGAGAATTTTATTTTGTTTAATGCATTGAAAATGTAATTTTTTATTTTCCTTGTAGTTTTCTTAGTAGCATAATTTATGTTATTTTGTTATTACACTAGTCAACACCCAATCTATTTATTTATTTGTATGATCTAATTAACACACACTAACAATGAAATATAAGTAAAATATGTAAGATAAATTAAATAAATCAAATTAAATTAAATAGAATAAGTGATTTTTAACATCAATAAATTGTTATATCTTAAAGTAACTGAGTTATATTATAATTTAATGTCCAAGTCTTTAAGGTATTTAATTTAATCAGTAGCTTTATTGAGCTCGGCTAGTCCTCCTTGTAATCCTCTAAAAAAAAAAATGTTCAACAATGTAGTTAGAAGCTTGGGTTTGGTGTCTCCAGTCACATTGTGGGAGGCCCTTAAGGCCCATCGATATGAAATGTATCTAATACGATCATATCCTGTACTGAATCTGTTTAAAGCTATCCATTGTCTCCTTAGGGAGTTAAAATTCAAGGGGTTTATCTGTAGGTTGATCAAAAAGATAATTTATATCAATGTCGTTAGTTTTCCAATCTTCAGTCCATTTTGATATTATTAAATTTATCTGTTATTAATTTATCTACTAGTTTCCTAGATTTAAATATTTATGAAGGGCTCTCATTAGTGCAGTCGTTATGAATAAGTAGAGTGGGGCAATATTATTATAATTATTTATAGATAAAGTGATATTCGGAAAACAAAATTTTAAGCGGGGACTCGCATGAGCGCTGAGCCCGGCTTGAGTATTCTCCCACAGTGAAGCATAGTGTTAACACAGACACTCTAAGGGTATGAGCATTTGCTCCCCAGTTTAATCCTATCAGTTTTCTAAGTAAATTATTCCTAACGCTGATTTTTATTTCATATTTTCGCAGTGTTTTTTTTATATGTAAGGGATCTATCTAGGGTACTTCCTAGATACTTAGGATGGGATGTGTGTTCAAGTTTGACACTTTTCCATGTTACATTCAATTTCTGGTTGGCTAGCCTATTGTGGAGATGGAAAGTGCAGACTTTTATCTTTGAGGGGTTTTGTCTCAGATAATTTGAGTTGTAGTAGTCACCTACTAACTGTACCGAACTTCCCAGTGCTTTCTCAACCACCCCAAAATTTTCATCTTGGGCTGCCATGGCTGTGTCATTGGCATAAATAAAGTTTCTGATGCCTAAGAAAGATAGTATAGACCCGCGTTTCTCAAATTATAGATAGCGACCTAGTGGTGAGTCTTTAGTTAATTTTTAGTATTTTGGAAAATTCTTTTGAATTATATAGACTTCAAAAAATGTATGTTTTTAAATTCTGAGAGTGAAACAAAGAATGTATTAACAATAATGTATTTTTATTATTATTATTTGTTTTATCTGTAAATAACTTTTCTACTAGCAATTTTACTCCAATTTTCAAATGTAATACTTTTTGTGAAAGGAAATCTGATTGGGGCGGAACTTTACAGAGGGTTTTGATTTTTCTGGCTGTTTTCATAAACTACTTTTTGAGAAGTGAAACCATGTGGGTCGTGATAGATTTTAGGTGGAAAATTTGGGTCGTGGTTCTTAAAATTGTAAACCACTAGTATAGTTAGTATATATATTGAACAAGATTGGAGATAAAATATTACTTTGGAGTCATTCTTGACTCCTCCACCTGCTATATTTTGCCTGTTTTGGAGTATCGTTTTTATTGATTTGACTAGTTTGCTGTCTTAGGTTAATTTGTGTAGTTTTGATAATAGTAGGTTATAATTGATTGTATTGTATGCCACAGACTAGTCGATAAAAGTAACACCAGTGAAACTTATTTTCAATATGTTGTGTAAGATCTAGAACTTATCCAGTACAATATCTACCTGGTCGGAATCCACCTTGATCCCTAATAAGCTTATCACCAATATAGACTTTTAGTCGATTTAGTATCTGTCTCTCAAAAAGTTTTTAAAAGTGACAGAGCAAAGAAATTGAGCGGAAATTTTTTGTGTTATCTGGAAACTTTCCTGGTTTTATTAGTGCAATCATTTTGATTCTTCTCCAAATTTTGAGTACCATCTGCATAAATAAAATACCATTAAACAGATCTAGGATCCATTTTTTGCTATCCAAAATTCTTATATTTTCAGTATATATGTGGCCCAGTCCTATGCTTTTCCGGTTTTTAAGTCAATGGCTTTTTGAAGTTCAGATACTTAGAACATTTCTTTCAAAATTCCCTTTTCTGATTCCTTATCTTTTTCTCGACACTTCAGTCTTTGGGTCATTGCTTTATTTTTTGTGATTTTCCCATTCAAGAATAATTGATGTGCTACCAGATTTAATGGTACGGGTCTCAACACTTTTGGTATTGATGGATTACTGTCGAGTTTTTTTATTAATCTCCAGGCTTTCTTGCTACTATGTTTCATGTCAGTGAATCTTATAAGTAAGTGCTAGTTTGTTCTTTTAGTGTTTGATATTTCTTCCATTAACTAGTCTCTTTTTTCAATTGTTTTTTCAATAAATGGATCATTATTATATAGCTCTGTGTATTTTTTAAATATTTCGAACATTTCTTGGTATAAACCTGGGACATGTCTTATTTTGAAACGTCTGCAGATAAATGTCCTCGACATTTGCTTTACTATTTCTACAGACTTTCCATAGTTTTTTTCTGTTGCTCCCAAGGTCTTTACTTTGATGTCTATTTCTTCTCAGAATTTGAGACAGTTTACTTTTTGAAAATTAAATCTCCTTTGAAAGAGTATGTTGTTTTACCTTATCCTAGTTTGATATAGTATAGGGCGATATTCTGATTGTGCTATATGGTGACGAATTCGCTTGAAGGTCTGTTGTTTTATGTTTTCACTTACAAAAATTTGGTCCGGATTGTATCTCTTTCTCATCTTTAGTTTCTGCCTATGTTTTTACTCTGTTACCATCGACATTATTTTCTTTATAGCCTCATATACTGCAATGACTATTAAAGTCACCCACAATAATTTTTGTTTTTTGATTGTCAATTTGTTCAAGATCTTGGAAGATGAATGGTTTCGCAAGGGGCTTATAAATGGAAGTAACTATGCAATTCTTCAGTTCAAAAGTTAGAATTTCTATGTCGAACTGTTCCGTGTGATCTGATGATAAGATTTGTAGGTTTCGTTTAGTTTCGCAAAGATGGTGCTACCATATTTCTCCCCTGGTCTTTCATCTACGATCTGCATACCTTGAACATTTAGTCTACTGTTATTGGCTGCCTGGTGGGTTTCCGTATGAGAATATTGCATGCAGTGTTATAACACAGGTCTGATAATAGTTCTTCTTTTCATTCTGATAAACCCCCAATGTTATTTGAGATCGTTTTAAACAACTTAGAGATTATATTGCATAAGTCATACCCTATATTTTTCAAGTAAAAAGTTGTACTCTGCATATTAAAAGTTTTACAAGTATAAATAAATTATTATAATGGATAAAGTTAATAAAAATATTTTAAAATTAATTTTACTAAAAGACGAAGATGATGATGCGGTTTTAATGTAATAGTCAGAAGATAAAAGAAGGGGTCGAAGAAGGTATAGCTAATGTTGTAGGTGAAAAGTTGGGAAGGTAGGATACATGAGATTATTTCATTTGTCTGTAAGCAATGATAAACCATTGCTTGACAAAAGTGGATTTCGAGCGTACTTCGGTAATACACAATTTAAAGTGGCATAAATATTTTTGAGATTTTCTTTTAAATTTGATTTCAAACCACTTATTAAAAAAAAAACTCGTCCATTGATTTTAAAAATTTTACCACATCTAGATAAGTCCAATATAAGTATTATTGCTAAGTTTCAAGTCTCTATGTGTATTTATAACTGAATTACAACAGCAAAAAACTTCAAAAAATAAAAATTCCTTAAAAACTCAAAATTGGTAAAAAAGTTTTCGTAATGATATCATAAGAAAGTAATTCAAAAAGACAACAAAAAAGATATCATGTGTTTTTTCGATTAAATCATTTTTTCTGGTATAAAAGGTCGTCCGTGTTTTTATAACCTATTGTACCTTTGCGGTAACATATTCATTATAAACTACAAATACTTATATAGATACAGACTGATTCATTCAACACACAAAATTCATTATTTTAAATATTATTCACTTTTTTTGGAATTCACTTTTGGAAAATTCTTGAATTTTTTAGTAGTAAAATATTTTTAGTCCCTGGATCTACCCTAAATGAGTATTATTTTTTGATTTTTAAATAAAAAACCCTATTTTTAATACCAAAATTCTATGAGGATAATTCCAAATTTGATTTATAAGAAAATTATCCTAATACATTTCTCATATATTTGAAACCATTTCTCGAAAAAAAATTCTAAATAATAAATATTTTTTTAAATGATGAGTGTTGGGTGTTAAATAAATATTTTAAACCTGTATACTTTTATATTTTTAAGCTTTTGTACATAGTTTAATTTTTGTTGTATAATTATTTCCTTGCTTTCTATGCTTATTAGATTAAAAACTTGGTTGAGACATCAAATGAGGCAAACATGTTTGACTGGTTTGGTGCTTCTGAATAATAATAAAATTATTAATCCCTTTGCCAAATCAAAACACAAAATCAATTTCATTCTTTAAGTAATTAAATTATATTCAGATTCAACAAGTTTATTTTTATACTAAATGAGATGTAAAAAAGTACCTATAATAATTGCAAATTGTTTTTTCTCACTTTATTACCAAAATACTTCTATTATTAACTTATATTTAAATATATATACAAATATTTTTAAATACAGTGACTATGTTAATAAGCAACTCTATTTTTCCCTAAAAGCCGAAAATTTAAAAGTTTTTATTTTAATATGATTTCACTGTTTTTTGAATCTATAACCATGCCTGTGCCATATATGATATTACACACCCTAAGTAAAATCATGTTACCAACATAGTAATTAGTGTATTTATGTATATATATAATGTATGAAGGTTGGCCTTATAAAAGCATCTAGGGACACCACTGCCTTTACCTATATATCTATCACTGGACAACAAAGTTGTTTAGTATTTTTAATTTTATTTACACAAAATAATTGTACTCTTGCTCTGCTGAAAAGAAATGTGTGACATGTTAACTGATACTACTGTTAATATGTCTATAGTTATGAATAATAATTTCCTAATATATTATATACTGACTCCTGTAAATATATTGTTAAAATTGAAATGTATTTTAGATATAGATAAAAGAATATGGGTAATTAACTTTAAGTCATTAACTTTAAATAAAAACTATTTTCTTGATTCTGAGTTTGTGAAATTTGTGAAGTTATTAATGTTATTCTACCATGTGGACATGGTTGGTGTTGTAATCTTTGTGGTGAACTATTGACTAACTGTCCCATCTCCTTGATTCAATTCCCTAGAACTTTTAATGTAAGTATTATAAATTATGGTATGTATTTGTTATAATAATGTAATTTAATGGCTAATATTTAAGTGTATTTACTTCTTGAATAAAGTTTCATGGATGAGAAATAAAATATTAACAACCTCATGAATCAGAAAGGCAGTAACTGCTGTTGGGCTTTCAGATATGCTCTTAATTGCTCAAGGTACATTTACCAGTATTGTGGTCATGAATGGAGGTGTGTTGATTGTACCATCTCTCTCCCAGACATGTGTGAGGTCTGTATTAATAATATGGAAAATATCATATAAATATTTATTTGTGAAATGTATAATAAATAAATTTTATAATATATTTTATTTTGTATAAGAATTTTTTTTTCTAAATCAACAAATAAATGTACATTGTTCTCTGAAATCATTAATTTTCATCTACAATTTGTATTATTATTATTCATCTACAATTATTATATTTTGAGTGCAGTATAATGCAAATATGAGTAAAAATGAAAAAAAATTTATAAAAAATTTATAAATAGATATATTTATTTAATATTTATATAAGAAAAATATTAAACTATTATAAATAAATATAAAAATGTTCACAAATATACAATAAAATAAATCATAGCCTGGAATATTACAATTTTAGTTTGTTTTATGATAGTTTTAAATTTTAAAAATATCACCAACCAATACAAATTATTTTATTTTTTATTAATTGAATATAGGTAGGTATTTAATGATTATTTGATATCTACAGTATTAAAAGTTAATCATTAAACCTGAATGTTTTAATAGGATTTTAGACTTAATACAAAAATTCTGAACTTATTTTATGTTTATAAATATTGTATAAAAATTAGTCATACAGTTGGAGCCAAAGTTAGCTTGGTAATACTAATTAGCACTTTATATCAGTGGCGTAGCTAGGATTTTCTGAAGGGGAGTGTTAATTATAAACATTAAATATTATATATAATACGTACAAACTAAAACTTTTATTTCAATTAATTAATTATGTATACATAATGTCTGTATGGTATTATCAATAGATAATAATGAAAAAAAAAATATTTTATAAAATAAAATCCATTTTTGATTGAATGACAATTTTTGTATTACTTCTTCTACTATTACTTCGACTTCACGATGAATATTTAAAAATGCTAATCCATTAAGTCTAAACTGGCCAATAGAATTTCTAAGATAAGTTTTTATTTGTTTTAATGTAGAAAAACTTCTTCCAGGTTCACATGATGTCACAGGCAATGTTGCAAATATTTGAAGGACTTTAAAAACATTTGGAAATAGGTTTTTATTGCAGTTATCAAGAGCGTCAAGAACACTTTTTATGCTTAGTTTTTCCAAATGTGTATGCCATAACTTTACTTCTGTTTCAATAACTTCTTGATCAATATCATCAGAATAAAACTCACTTAAATCTTTGATAGCTTGTTGATTATAATTTTTATTAGAAATGAGAAAATAAAAGCCAGCTATAATAGTTTTGTGGTTTATAAATCGGTCATTTAATTGTTGCACTAAATTGACCAGAAATGGAAGGAATACATTTATTTTAAAATATTTTTCAGGATTATCTGTATGATAGTTTGATCTATGCTTTTGTCGTTTGACCATTCTAGGAATGTCAATTTCAAAATCAATTTTCTTTGATCTTTCTGTTAATTCTTCAAAATACTTATGAAATNGCTTGAAATAAATCTATGTTTTGTTTTTGTAAATATGTGCAAAGATTTTTTGTATATTGAAATATTTTATAAATAATAATAAGACTTACATTGAATTCCGATGTTTGAATAGCTGAAAGTAACTGAGCTGCTTTTGATGATGATTCAGTATTTGAATATAGTATCATTTCTTCGAAACAAGATATAATTACGGGTTGAAAATCATAAAATACATCTATTGAATTGTGTCTTTCAGTCCATCGAGTAGGACATAGTCTTTTTAATTTTTCTTTTTGACTTGAAAAAGAAGTATCTTCCTTAAATTTATTTAAATGTTTTGTAAACTCAAATTGTCCCTTTGGAGTATTGAGAAATGCATAAATGCTTTCTATTGTCCTCATAGCATTTCTGATACTGGGAACACTACAAGCATATGATATAGATAGGTTTAAGTTATGTGCACTACAATGAACATATATTGTGCTATGATATGACTCCCTAATACAAGCTTGAACGCCATTGAATTTGCCACTCATAGCTGCAGCCATCGTATCCTTGACCTCTAAGATATTTCAAATTAATTTTTAATTGTGTAAGTTCATCAATAATTGTTTGTGCTAAACTTCGGCCACTCAGGTCAGTAATAGGAACAAATTTTAAAAATGTCTTGTGGATTTTTTTATCTTCCAAAGATAAAAAGAAAGCGTATATCGTGATACCGCAATTACCGCCGCAATCGCGTTTGTTAACCTGTATATATATTATGTAATTAGTATTGTGCATTATTTTATATTTCATATTCTATTTACGATTTAGTATTTACCTATGTTCCTATTTTATTATACATAATAATGTATATTGTAATATATATGTAATAATAATGTAATATATGATACGGCTCAAGGGGGGTGTCATATCCACCAAACACCCCCCTTGTATACGCCACTGCTTTATATAGGTATAATATATATATATAACATTAATCCCTAACCTCTTCTCTCATCTATTTGGGGTCAGGTACCTTAATCCTAAATCTCTACTTGACAATCGTTCTCCCACATCATATTACACAAGCTCTAGAAGTCTTTATATCTCTATCAATGGTATTTAACTATCTATTTTTCCATCATTTCCTGAGATAAACATTCAATTGTAAACTACTTTAACAGCCTCGACTCATATCTTCTCATCTTATTTATTTTTCTGTATGTAAACACCTTTTCTACCAGAAATCTTGTTTCAATTGTAAAAAACTAATAGATTACACATTTACACACATTTTTTTTTACCACTAAGTACAATTTAAAACCAATATCATGTTAAATTTTCAAGCATTTCTATTGGGTATTATTGGGTATATTCACCAGCCAAACACTGAGGGAATTCACTCCTAGTCATTCTTCGCCTTATCATTTCCATTACTGCCCATAGAGACTTAAAAGTGAAATATCTCAAAAATGGGTTGATGAATATCAAACATTTCAACACCAAAATTTATTTAAACAAATACGTTAAACTTAATACTTTAAAATGTAGGTAACTTATTGAAAATCAAAAGTTCATAGTCGCTTCACCTCCGAAATTACGGATAACAAAAAATAATTAAAATGTAACATTTAAAAGATGATTGTTTCTTAAATATTCAAATAATTTTTTTTTTTTTTTAAAAGTCAATACTTTGCAAAATAATGAGTGTTTAATGATAAAAGAATCATGGCATAGATTTAAAAAATATAAGTATAGGATTAAGAAATACCAAATACTATTTAATGTAATCTACCTAATAATAATTGAATGAAATTGGTATGATGTTATATAATATTGTTTGTGAAAATTAAAAATGTATTAATATCATGATTAAATTATTATTACCTAAATACTGGATTTTCGAAAATTCTATTTACTCTTAACCATATTCTTCTAACTTCATAACAATAAAATAGACTGTGGCACATGAATGACACTTTAAAAGTGCATGCTTCATATTGCTTAAATTAATATTATTGTGAATTTCATATTATTTAAAAATTTAAAAAAAGTATTTACTTAGAAGAAATTTGTTTGGTTTCACAGGTCACACTGATTACAAATCGCCAATCGGTCCAAAATTTTGTGACCATCTTTGATAGACAGTGAATTTTCATCATCCCCTCCAGAACTATTATTTCTCCTCGTTAAACCATCGGCGCGGCATCTTGTTATCATTATTATCGTATTCCTTTAAGTTGTTGATGCTGTCGCAGTTTCATTGTCTATCGTACAAAATTAGTCTTTTCTAATTATTTTGTAACAATAGGAGGGGGTAATTCATGGTCATCCATAAAGGATGTAAGTTAAATGAATATCTTTATCGCCTAATCGGTAACTATAAATTGTAATCGTACCAAAATGGTATACTATCAATTTATGACCGGTAACTCTCAACGAAGTTGAGGCTACATACCACGGATATACATACCTATTATGATAATAATTATATTCACTATACTATTGATAAGGTAATGTTAGATAGATAACATTCGGACTTTTAGATCAACACACGTTAATTTTATCCCGTGACAACTAGATCCACACTGTTACCAAAGGTACCTATGGTTGAGATCTAAATTACCCGTGTCCTATTTATTCATACACCCTGAAGATCAGATCCTCTAGGCACCACTTTTGATCGTGATATCAAAATCGCCAAGACCACTTGTTTATAAAATACAATAACAAGATTACATTTGGTCATTAGTACCTTCGAACATATAAACTTTATAACTTTATCAATTTATGTGGTCGAACGGTGCATCTACAATCGTGGTTGTTAGTCAAAAAGAGCCAAAATAAATAATACAAAATTAATAAAATACTCATACTATATAAGGTGTCTCGGAGATCAGAAATATCTTATCAATAACAAAAAATGGTTACTTTGACTACTTGTTAGATTAATCATTTTCTTATCATCATGACTAATGTGATAATATATTTATTGCTTGGCTGTGTTGTTTACAAATTTAGGATAACAATTTACAATGACCAATTCTTAATGTTTTTCTGGTAACTCGCAAGAAAATGTTGAAATGTGTTTTAAATAGGTATTATTAACTAAATCAGCAAAAATGGAAAATGATCAATATCAAAAAAGTAAAAATGTATTCATGTATTCAAAAAAAGTCTGTTTTCAGAAACGTGTGATAATACATGTCCTACCTATAGATAATAAAGAATTCATAATAATGTTTTTATCATGGTGTATCAATACACCTTAGTGCAATCCATTTTTATTATCTATTGTTAAAATAGCGGGAATTGATAAGTGACCACTGAATATCAATAACATGACAAGCAATAAGTTTACACTTTTCTAGTTGGTCAACTGAATTTGTTAAATAATAAATTGTCATTAAAAACGCAAATTTTTGGCAGTTTAGTTTATTTTTCAATTAAATTAATTTTAAGATCACTTGATCATGTTGGATTACTAAACTTAACTGTTTAATAATTTTATTATCAAAGTGGAATGCTGATAATTTTCCACTTCAATTATAAATAATTTTCAATTCAGATTATTTAACATAGGAATGTTCAATTTTTAAAATATTCAAAGTATTCACCTGGATTGTAACGTGATGTAAGTAATTAAATTTCACTTTAACAAATGCCCTTTCTTAGGTTACGTCATTGTCAGTGTATTCATGTGACTTCTGCAGTTTTGTGTTCCTTACTCAAAACTCACCCACAAGAGGGTGCAGCCCGTCAACTTTTAGCAGCACCTTGCCACCTTAATCAAATACCCACAAATCCAAGGCGTGCTACGATTTATTTTATAATTTTTTACCTGATAAACAAATTTCTTTAAAATATGGACTTGGACTATAACATAAATAAATATTTGCAAAATCGTGAACTTGGTTTTAGACGAAATTGTTATGGTAAAGTATATTTTTAAATATGTAATAAAATAAAAAAATTTAAATTTACTCAAATAAATTGTATTTAAAAATGTATTTACAACAATAATTCCTTTTTATTTGAGTATTTTTATTTTTTTAGCTTAAAAACTTAAATTTATTTGTTTGAATTTTTGTAAAACTGATGATTGATACTTAGGCATTGAACAAAAAATAAGAAAATGAAGGTATCCGTGTTTTGTGATTAGATTAGAGGTTAGATAGAATATTAAATGGCTAAGTACTTACTTATTAATAAAATATAAGAGATAGTCTTGTAGTGGCGATTTTAGCAGGGAAAATTAAAAAGAATAAATTGAGATTAGTAAAGGTGACAAAGATGAAAATGAGTATGGATATGTATAGAAAATATTGTAGTGTATCACTCTGTGAATTCTTACTTATTTGAAACTTAGAAATAGATGGTCAGATTGGTTGTCACACAATGTTTTATTAAATAAATACTATTTTATCTAGCTGACATTCATGATAAACAGTATATAGATGTAAAAGTTGTTTTTTTATCCTGATCAATATTAATATGCTAAGGTATATTTTTGTAATTTAATAAATGCCTTACATGAAAATGTAAAGGTGGACCTAAAAAAAATGTTGTATTTAACTAATTATGTGTACTCTAACAAATTGTATTTATTTAATAGGATTTAAACAAAATATTTCTGAAAATTTGATTGAAAAAATGAGATGCACAGCTTATAATATGAACAATTTAGAAACTTATATTGGAAGTACTTTTTGTTGTAAATTCAGTAAAAATAAAAATAATTTACATATGGTAGCTTGTTCAACAGACCATGGAGAAATAATTATTCAAAATACACTTGAAGATAATGAAATGAAGGGAGGGGTTGTTAATATCCTTGATAATTATAAAAGAGGTAAAAAAAACCTGATGGTTTTAATATTTTTAATTGTTTTACAATTATTTAAAAGATCTTTGTTTTTTGTACTTGTCAGCTGTTTTACATGATAATGCTATTTTTAATCTGGCATGGGCTGAACCAAACATGAAATTAGTGACTGCAAGTGCTGATCAAACTTCTAAAATAATTCAAGTATTGCCATCTGGAAAAATGGAATTACTAGTTACATTCAATTATAATTCATCAGTCAAAAGTGTTATGTTTTGTCCTGGATCATCTGGTATATATTAAAATAATTATTTATATGAATTATACAAATAATACATTATTATCTATTTTCAATTTTATCATGTATGTTATATAGATGTATTTTGTGGAGGGAGCCAAGATGGCTCTATAAAAGTATGGGATACTCGTGTTAATAACAACAGATTTGTTATAAACTGTTTAGGTTTAGAGCATCATATTCCTAATGCACATGGTAAATATAGAATACAATATTATTTATATATATTTATATGAAATTATATCAGTAATGTAATAACAAAATAAATGTATTTCCTGTTTTCATATAATACTTACTTAAACTCTTTATTGTGTTATTATTTTAGGTGTATATACTAAACATAACCCATATAAGAGAGCATTTAAAAGTTATGGAATAAGCTCTGTGATATATCAAAATGATCTAAGTATCATATCTTGTTCTTCTAATGATCCGTATGTATACAATTTGCACCATAATTAAATTATAATATACTATATATATTTATAACAACTTTTTATTAGTGCTATAAATGTATGGGATTTACGAAAATCTTATCGACAAGTTAAGGGTAATACTGAATCTCTACCACTCAAGAAATATTACTGTAGCGAGACAAGCTCTCATGGTTTTATAGATATACACTTAAATCCACAATCTTCATTGTTATATGCAAGCAGGTTGCGAGATAGTATTTTTTGTTTTTCATTGGATTCTGCTCAGAGAAGTATTTTTATTTTCTTTCTTTTTTTTTATTTCTTAGCTATTAGATTTTTAGTATTAAAACATTTTGCTTTGTTGTCATATAATTGTTTTTTTACCTGAGTTTATCATTAGTGAAAGCCTTCAAATAAACCCCCTCATCAAATACACACTAGTAACATTAAATTACACAAAAACTGCATTTCCATTCAAATCCTTATTTAAAAGTTTGAAAAGTATTAAAAGTTTATGTACATTATTCTAATAGTTCATTTTAAATTATCCTGTTACAAAGTAATTCTGAGTGTCTTTCCTAATGCCTAATAGTATTTCTTATTTCTTTATATAATATTTACATTTAATAGATTCCATCTATAGATAAAGAAAGTATAGATACTCATTTTATATCTGTGCAAAATGGTTCAGTTAGTTTTAACAAAAACATTTTTCCACTCGCTATGCTAGTTTTACATTTCATGGACAAATTACTGAATTTTATATTATCTATGACAAACATAGATATGAAGACAAAATTATAAAAAGATACAGATATATGTTGCAAAATGTGTGGGCCACTGTTATAGGTGAGAAGTTATGAAAGTAGAATATAGAGAGAAATTGAATAGTTTAATTTAATGATTAATCTTTGCTGACAAAAAAGGATTCTGAGTGGAGTTCGATTATACATGTTTTAAAAGACTGTAATATTTACATTTTTAAAATAATATATTCTATATATTTACCCATTTTTCCATTTATTATGAAACCCATGAGAAAATAAAAAGAGGACCTCCCTAAAGTACCACCTCAGTTAGGTTTCCTCTTGGAAAATGTGTTATACAATTTCTGGTAGAATAGCTGTCCACAGAAGAAGAAAAAGCTAATCACATTTGGCAGAGCTGAGTTAATTTCCTTTATTTTTGATTCCATTATCCAAAGTTGAGACTTATATCTGTCCTAAAAGTTAGAATTTCTCTAATAAATATTATGATTATATTCTAGACCAGTTTCCCTAACTGTAGTCCCATAAAATTTTGAAATATATATTTAAATGTATAATTTTATAGATTATTAAGAATTAGTTTAATAATAACTAGAATATAAGATTTTTAGAAATAGAATTAAAAGTAAATTGTCGTTATATAAATGTCTTTACATTTTGAAAATGAATTAATTAATATAAATTATTTATATGTTATGGTGAAAGACATAAATTGGTAAATGTTGTCATTTCCCCATTCAATGACATCGTTTACCAAATTGATTTAATTATATAGGTAATTGTTGTTGAAAAATGCATTTTAAATTCAAATGTACATCTTACATTAGTAAATGATGTCATTTGTCAAGTTTGTTGGTTAATGATAACTATAGGTTATAATAGCTTTTTTATTTAAATTTTTTTTTTTGAGCATTAAATCTGTAGATTGGTGGACAATAAATGATCTCTCTAAGAATCTCTCGCTTATGCCTTATCCTTGAGTTATTTGTATGAACCAGCTTTTGCATCTTTAATTACTTGACTATATAACTTGTTCTTGGTCTTCCTCTCCATCGCTTCTCTTCTATCATACCTTCCATGATAATGCTATGAAGTTCCTCATTATGCCTCAGGGTATGACCTATTATGCGCCATCGCCTTGACTTTAAATTACTTAACAAGGTTTTTCTCTTCTATTAACTCTAGCACTTCTTTGTTTGACTTCATTTCCGTCCATTTTATTTTCTCTATTTTCTTCCAGCACCACATTTTGAAGGCCACTAAAGTGTTTTAATTTTTCTAGTTAAACATCCATGTTTCATTGCCATATATGCTATGCTCCATACATATTAAATATTTAAGTTGTTTCACCTGTTCTATATTCTGTTTTCTTTAATGGATATATTAATGTTTGGTTTAGTTTGTTTGCTGCATACTAGTACTTTTGTTTTTGTTGTATTTATATTTAATTTAAATGTTAAAAAATTTGTCAGCCATGTCAGTAAGCGCTGTTTCTAGATTTCTTTGAATGTAGGGAACAAAACTATATTATCTATGAATCATAACATAGATACTAGGATTCCTCCTATCACTACTCCTATTCTCCTCTCTTCTAGTTTTATTTCTTCTATGGCTTGCTCAATATAGATATTGAATAAAGAAGGTGACAGTGAAAAACCTTGTATCACTCCTTTTTGTATATTAGCTGTTCTTACTACAGAGATCAATTATAATTAACATTCTTCAACCTAACTGGTAATTGATGTCAATAACTGAGGAATGACTAAAATTACAACACTTACCAATTTTTAGGGAAATGACATCTTTCACTGTAACAAATATGAAAAAACAGATCATTAGTAAATGGCAGGTAGCCATTTATAAATTTCCATAATTTGTTATATTATAAATAATTTGGGAACCTATGTTCTAGAAAATAATTTTGATTTAATGTACTCTATAAGTTACAAGTATTAATTATTAATAATATTTAATTAAATATTTTCAGCTCCCATACATTGTTATAGTGGTCATTGCCAAGAAACTAGCTTCTCAAAAATCAGTATTAGTCATGATGGCAGGTACATTTTTAGTGGTTGCACAAATAACACTGGAGTTATATGGACTACAGAATTACCACACATAGAGAAACCTATATTTATATTAAACAAAAAGTTAAGGGATCCTTTCTCTGTGCTCGATCTTCTTCATCAAGAATTAAGTGTTTCGGACTGGTGTGCAGATCCAACAACTCATCCTAAAGTTAGTTTTCCTATTTTATTAATTAAAAAATTCATGATAACAATTATAAATAATTAATCCTATTTTTAACACGACAAAATAATTTTAACTACCCAAAACTTTTTTTTTTATAACCACCAAAAATGATACCATTACTTAGAATCAAAAATACAGAAATAAATATATAACTAAAACTATAGAGCAAATTAAATACTATTTTAAAGACTTCGTGGGAAAGAATTCATTTAATCAAGAAACCAAAACAAATTAAATTTTTATTCTGTAACATCTAGAATTTTATGCACAAGACATAAAAGATAGTACAATAATGTTAAAGTGGTTTTATTTTTCTCTAAATACAATTCAAGCTATGTATGATATACAGTAGATGTGACTTAAAAAACTCACTTTGGGGCTAGCACAAAGTGATTCTTATCAATAAATGAACCTTATAGGTGAAGGATAGAATGTATTTGGATATGTCCAGAAGGTCCAAGTGATTTTGAGTTTTATAAGCAACATCTGTGAGTCTAATAAGCAGCATTAACTGCTGCTGCTGTATTAATATGTTACCTTAAACTATTATTGTGTTTATGCTTGTATTATGAATTATATTAACATTAGATCATATTATTATTGTTACATGTTTTATTTTTTAAAGTTGGTTACAAGTAGCGATTCAATACCATTGTTATGGTCAGTGACAAAAATGCAAGTTAAAACTTCGTATCATAAATTTATTAAAACACAAGAAGGAAAAACAAAAAAAATGTTTTTGAATAGTACACGTACTGTCCCAATCAAATTGAATACAGAACTTAAAGAAAAATTTGGAAAAGAAACAGGTAATGTAGGAAAATAGTTGTTCATTATTTAAACAAATATAATTTTAAAGCTATTATTATGAAGATAATATTATTGGAAATTAAAATAAGTGTTTATTCTTTAGTATAAAATAGTTTTGTTTTTGCCTTTAATCATTTAAAATATTGTTTGTAGAAGAACACATGAAAAATTGGCACCTACAAGAAAAAAATTTAATTCAAAAAAAAGATATTACACCACTAACTTCTAAAAATCCGTGGGATTTTTTATTAACAAAGACAAAATTACCATCATCATCTACTCAGCTTTCACCTGTGCCAAATAATTCATCTATCAAAAAAATCCATGAAGTGGTAACACCTAATTTAAATGATTCTTCTGTCCAACAAATATCTGAAGTGGTAACATCTAAGTCTCAAAAACGAAAAAAAAACCATTTATCTTCATTAAATTTAATTGAACATTATTTGGTTGCAAGCAAACGAGAAAAACTGGATGCAGATAATCCAATTTAATTTAATCTGTCCAAAATATCCATGAAGTAATAACACCCAATTTAAGTGCTTGATATGATTTAAACTACTATTCATTGTTAATTTAATTTTTTTTATATTGATGTATGTATAATTGGCACAAATGTGTCATTATGACACAATTTATTATTTTTTTTTTACAGCTATAAGTAAATATAAATTGTTTATGCGAATATAGAAATAAAATTTAAATGTTATTCATAAAAATTGCAATTAAACTAACATGATTACACTTAGGATTATTCACACTAACAAAAAAAAAAAAAAAAACATTTATCTGATTCTTAAACTGAGTTTATAGCTGATAACCAATCACAATAGGTCGATTATCTTATAAACCCGTTTAAAAATCAAAATTTCTGTTGGTGCAAATGGGCCTTAATCTAGAGCTGAGTGAGGGATCTATTGGTTTTACTATAGGCGTGTATTTTTTTTATGTTATTTTAACAAATGGCCCCTGATAGAGAAAGTAGTTTTAATATATTATATGTAGGTATTTATAAGTATTTTTCATAATAATTGGGAAAAACCAAAAAAAGATGAAATGCGCAATTTTTTTTTCAAATTACGCACACTGTTCAACTATCAATTTCATTATTTTGAATTTGTATAATTAGTGTTTTCTACCAAAATTATTGTTCCAATAGATAAATGACAATTGACCTTTTGTGTTGAATTTTTAATCTAGTTGGTGACCAAGAAGTTGTTTTTTGATTTTCTTTGTAGTTTTTTTTAATAATTGAGCAAGACTGAAAATCGGTTACAGGTATAAATTAAATAACTTGGCATGCATTCCCCCTTCCCCACTATCAACTACCCACATAAAACACTGGCCGCACACGTCCCCAGTGTCAGCTTTTTCTTTTTACAACATCTATATTACAGGCGTTTAAAATTCAAATTTGAATGGAAGTCGTTTAAATCATGTAATTTCGCTTACTGCTTTTCGATTTATGTGAATTTAAATTTTTGCCCTAGTCGAAATGTTTGAAAATTTAACGCAAGGTTCCTTTGTTCACCATTTACAAGTTGTAGGTATTTGATGTAAAAAAAAATGTTTAGTGTAATGTAGGTAGTCATTTTTTTTACAAGTTAACAAATCTTGTAAAAATCATGAAATTGGAAATTACCCATGTTTTACCGAACTTTTTTCAAAATCGTATTTCATCAGCAATATGGCATATACAGATAAAAATAAAATAATTGTGTTTACTTATCCTTCTTTTCCAACTTCCTTCTGCCATGGACCAACAATGGCCCACTCATGCTCGTACTGGGTTTTACTTTTATACCGAGTTATTAAATAAAACCCATGTATGTTTATACATGGGTAATCATAAATCATAAATAATCTCCAAGTGCTAGCTAACTTACCTTCATGCCCACCTATATACCTACCTAAGAAATCGCAAAGCTATAATAGGTAATTAAAGGAAATAGGAGTAGGAAAACTTGTATAAATCAGGGACCTATATGAGAAGGACTAACTGGGAAATTCCCGGTACCCCGAGGGGGCAAGTATGCGCCTGGGCCCACTTGTCAACAATATTGGCTCTTTTATTTTTAAAACTATCTATTTATAAATCTAATTGTAGGTCGTAACTTTATTACTCGACTTTTTATTATAGGTACCCATCTACTTTTAGTATTACAAAAAATACGATTTGGCGCGTTGTCGTTGTTAAGAAGTTTGGTTTAGAAAGTGGACAAAAGATAGCACCACCAGCTCTACAGTATTATATAGATATAGTATGATTACTTTATTGTAATAAGGATTGTAGATGTTTTCATTATTATTATTATTATTATTTCTATTTGTCACGGCGACCTCGGCCGTCGTCGTCTCCCGAGTGTTCCGAGTTCCGACCCGCCGCCGTGAGATTTTCACTTTATCATCTCTCCGATTGTGTTGCCTACATTTGTGTCGCACACACATACACGTACATATATATATATAATTTCTCACAAACACACACACACACACACACACACATTTAGTTACGAACTCGCACACTCTTCTCCTTTCTATTACAAAGAAATAATAATTAGAATATTTTCTATATTTGATTCCGTTTTTGTTATTGTTATTATTATTAATTTTTTATTATTATTATTATTACGACAATAATTGTTTATTTTACAATTATTAAGTACTATTAATTATTATTATTATTGACGATATATCGCGATTTAACGTTTCGTTAATATTTTATTTCGTGTTATTTCGCCGTCGTTGTTTCTGGATCCCGTTTGTCCGTATCTGCTAGACCATGTTTTTTTACTCGTAGGTACACATATAACGCGAAGAACAACGGTAAGTGTGTTAATGCGCAGATGGACCAAATTATTTCATCAAAAGTTGGTTCAACGCAGTGGGAGTACGCCAGTGAAGTCGGTGAGTAAATAATAATAAAACAAATTGTTAAAATATAGGTATCTTATAATAAGGGTTAGCTAGTGAATAATTATTATATAATACCAATAGTAACTGTGAAAACGGATGCGTTTTGGCTATCAGAAAATAATATTATTACCTATCCTAAATTCTTATTCTCTTCGTCTAAAATTCTATTATAATTTCTTCTTTAGCAGAGTCTTTGTGTTTTACCTAAATATAAGAATTAGATTGTACTAGAAATTGAGTGGGTGTATGTGTGTAGTGTTAAATGATTGCACTTGTGACTAATAATTTGGTTGATTGGTCCAATGGTGATATTTATTTAAATATTTATTCAAGAGCATTTTTGAACAAAATATAATATGAAGACAGTTTGGGTTTCAACATTTTGGTTTAATATTCTTTATTATTTATTGATTAAATAGCCCAACTAAATAATTTATAGGTGAATAGGCTACTTTAAAAGCACATATTTACCACAAATCTACTACGGGATGGTTCTGTCGAGAGCCTTGAATAATTTGATTTTAGGACTATAGGAATAATTTTTATTTTCTATGGGACATAGTTAGGACATCAATACGAGATGTGTCTAAGACAACATTGCGATGATCTTATTTAATTTCTTTATATATAAAAATTTGTATGTAACGTTTAATTATTAGAATTTTATAATTGTGTTTTTTTGTAATTGTATCTAAAATTGGTATATAATTATTATTTATTTATGTAGGTATTTGTAAATTTTAAATTGATCGATTTATGTATAATAACTTAATATTTTGGATTTTAACACTATTATATATCTAGTGAAATTTATTTTATACTTGTACTTACTTCTAACCTATCCAATTTTTAACTAGCTAACTAATATTATTGAACTTAGTACATTAGTTTTGTAGGTAATTCATATTATACGATTTAAAAGATAAACTGAGTTTTATAAATTTGTGTAGGGAACTAGGTATCTTAATTAATATGGATACATAGATTTACATTTTATTAATACATACTCACCTATGTGAAAAATAAAATATTTCAAGTTAGAAGACATTTAAGATAAATTTGGAGCATTGCCATCAGAATATCTTATTCTAAATTCTTCTAGTCTTAATTATATCTTGGATTGATTAATGACGTGTCTATACTAAATTGAATAAAATACTAATACTAATTTAACTGATTACTGATTGTCAAATCAAATCTCTGGAATAATATATCCTAAATTATAATTAGGTAGGTATGTTCTATTTTATTATTTATGAAGGTAAACATTTTTTAATAACATCTGAAATATAATGAAATGTTTAAAATATATACACCTGAATTACTACATAGTATTTATTTTATAATTTTTACATTTCACTCATTGTCTTTGTTGAATTATTCTACATGCATCACCAGATACCTACATATATATTAAATAATCTCGTTACTAAATTAATTCAATACTTAACATAATCTTCAAAATAGATTTCCTGCAATTATTTAAATATTTATTGCACAGCTTGTAAAGGAATATATATCAATGTAAGCTATTTTTTAGAAAGCACAAAAATTTTAATTAATCTATAAATACCTTAGTACCTTTTATTTTACAGTAAAATTAAATGTTATCATTTTTACAACATAAAAACTTTCCGATTGTTGTATATTTTTTTATTTTAATTATGAATTCAAATTTATGTTTGTCTTAAAAATATAAGTGCCTATTAAATATATAATTTAAATATTTATTAGATAGGTACCTAATGCCTATATCCAAATTTAATTTATTTTATTTTATTTAACAATTTTAGGAAGAAACCAGATTTGAATATAAAATGTGTATTCTATTATAATGGATAGTCCAAGTTCAATAACTGGTGGTCGTCGAAGGCTTCCAACAACTCATTACGCTGAAGATCAAGCATTTGACCAAATAGCAAAAGAAGTAAGAAAAAAAATTAATTTTTAATTATTACTTATTGTACTGTATAAGCAAGGCCAACTTAAAGCATTTTGGTCTGTCTGGGCTTTGCAATGGCCAGGTAATTTAAATTTAAATCCGAACCAGGCCAGATATTTATACAAAAACTACTGATCATCTATTATATTTTTATTTTTAACCTAATACTACCAGTTTTACAAGAATATAAAAGTCACATTCATACAAAAATGATAAAAATAAATCCTGGCCAAACCGGCTTTGAAAAAAAATGTTAAGCGTTTTTTCTTTGTCAATAAAATATCTGACCTTCAGAAATTGAAAAACCCACTTCTCATATTTTAAATTGTAAAGTATGCAAGACTTTTTTTTTTTGTGAACGATTCAGTTTCACAATTAATGTATGTACTGATCATCTTTTAAAATTAATGTTTATAAATGTAAATGATATGCTCTTGAGTGAATAGCCAATCATAAAATTATCTTGTACAAAACAATCCAGAATGGTTAACACTACCTCGCACCACAACTACTTCTAATTCCCTAAATAAAAACTTGTAGAGAATCAAACTAAACAATAATTTTGACCCTTATTTGGGTATGCACTAATTTATTTATGAACTACACCACTGGACTTAAAGAACTCAAAAAGCAGGTAACAATTACAATAGTATAACAAAAATTAAAATATCAATTTAATTTTAAACCAATAAGATATAATTTTTTATGAGAAGGAACATAGTATAATTTTATTTGATTTATCTACATTCCGCTTATTCGGCTTTATTGAAAAAAAAAATATAATTTTCAATATTATTTATTACATTATAGGTACCTATTGGGTGTAGGCAAGGGAGTTGGGTTTTCAAATTATATGTTTTGTTTTTACTTAAAATCAATGTTATAACCAGAGACCGGATTTATATGTTTTTTTATAATCCACAAAAAAGCACTTAAAGACGTCAAAAAGCCTTGAAAAGAATCAATTAAAAATTATATAAAACTGCAAAAATAATAGAGAGGTTTCATAGTCCCCCTCTCCCTCTAACGGATTAAATTTATAAATACAATTTTCTAACACCACAACAATTATTAATAAAAAATAATATTTTTTTTATAATACATACAATTTAATTTAAAATAAATTATTTTGTATGAATCAATTTCGTAGTTTTAGGAGATTTGATTTAATAAGTTAGAGCCATTAGTGGAGGGGGACTTTTAAACTTCTCTATCATTTTTTCTTTTAAAATTTTTGTAAATGCTTTTTGCAGAGATTTTTTGATGTTTTAAAACACCTTTTCGTGGATTAAAAGAGAATATAAATCCGACCTCTAGTTATAACCGATTTATTATTTTTGTTAATTTTTGTTTATATTAACAATAATAATATCCCCCCCCTAAAAAAAAAAAAAATGTTTACTATCTACAATGATAATATAATATATTATAATTAAAGTTTGAATGTTTATGAAATTGCATATTATTTCTGTTTATCCAATAAACCTGGATACAAATTTGATTCATATTCAACTGAATCAAATAATACTAGTTTTATTTTGCATATTTTAAGAATATAAATGCAGATTTCAGTATGTTTTTAAAACTTTTAAAAACCATTTAAAATAATAACGAAATGTAAAGCAAAAATGCATAAGATTTGTAAAAATTAAAACCATTAGTGTATCATACTGTAACGCTTTTATTGTAAATTAATAGGTACCTAATATTAAAAAATTTCTAATAAAAATTAAATACTTGAGGTAAAATGTATTGTTTTTTTTTTTTTTTTTGCATATTTTGGTGTTTTTATTAACTTAAAATGTATATTTTTTTATTTTTATATGCATATTTTGATTGATCACACATATTACGGTTATTTTAAGTGCATGGACATCTACACTAATTATAATATATGTGGTAGAGTTACTAGCTATAGCCATGTTAATCATTGTTCTAGTCAAATCATACATTTGTGATTTACTGATTAATAGTTTAGCCTAAAAATGTTGACCATGTTATCATCATAACATGTATACCACTTGATTAAAATTGTAGGTATACTAATTGTAGGTAACTAGAATACACTAGCTGCGAACTAGTTTTTATTAGTTTCTGTGCATCTGATATAGTAATCAATCTACTAGTGGCCACATAGTGGGGAAAATCTGGCGGTTGGGTCAGTTGTGATGCACAAACCAGGTGTATTCTAATTTGAGACAGGCTAAATATAATTTTAGCATCCAATGTTTTTTTTTTTTATTGTATACCTATTTCCCCCATTTATGGCCAGAAAACACCAAGATCAGTACACTTTCCTACCTAATACTAATGGTAAAATGATACTGCAGTTATTTTCGGATGGAATTTCGTATGAGAAAGTTGATAAATATCAATGGCACCATGGGTAACTTGACTTGTATGAGATAACCAACAATCAAATAATTATCAATGTCACACAGATGAGACACAGATCTCTGGTATAAAATATAACAAGTGGAAACCCAGCTTGATGTACAATATTTTATTTTTTTTTTATTAATATACAATAATTCAAAAAGACCAAAATCAGACGAATATTTTATCGCTCATAATATTGGTCTGTGTGTGAAAAGGTTCTAAGTATTATAAATTCCGTTTTATTGCATTTTAATTTTTTTTTTTCCAATCAGAAGATGGCACAAATTGAATAATTGTCTAAACCATTAATTTTGAATGTAACATTCAATAATTGTAAATGATGTAATATTTTAATGGAAATTTTGAATAATTTTTATCACAGATTTGTTTATAATAAAACTTGATATTGCCGGCAAATGGTGTTGGGCAAACATATGAACTCTACTGCTGTGGTCAGTAAAATACCCATTTATAGCCACTTAAAAAAAAATATAATAAATGTAACTGTTATGATAAATTATATTGTATTTGATCATTATAATACATATAGTTTATCATAAAAGAAAAAGTATACTGAATTACTCAATTGTGTGTTATACTTAAAAATAATTGCATAATATTTTAAAATTCAAATAGGTGTGACAGTTAGCTGACAATATTTTTTTTTTTTTATTGAAAACATATTAATATAGGTATTAAACAGTTTTAAAATGATAAAATAAACACACATAAAAAATAACTAATAATTTTTAACAAAAATATTACCTACTGTGTTTAAAATAACAAAGAACAATTTATTATTTTGATTATGAATTACCTATTTTATATTATTTAATTTGATATAAAAATATAAAATAAAATTAGTAATTTAGTAACAATTAGTAAAATAATAATAACTAGGAATATGAAATATAAAAAATGTGCAAGTGTCCATTAAAGGTGCTTTATAAGGATCTATTTAAGGCCATGACCTGTCCATAAATGAAGTTTTCAACAAAATTGAGTTCTCTTCATGGCCACTCTATAAAATGCAGTGTACAAAATAGTATTTTGAAGAACCATAGTATAATATTATTATATGTTATAAAAGGTACTTGATATGTAGTCAACACAAATTAAATCATTTTTTCGTAAAATAATAATTTAAAATTTACATTTCCTTACCAGTTTTAATAAAACACAGACAATAATATTATAAACATATTAATTTAAGATAAACCAAAAAAATGACTGACATACTTTGCACGTGGGTGCAAATTTAAGTTTTCTGCCCAAGTTTCAAGTCTCTACGAACATGTTGAACTAAATTACATTAAAAAAAAAATTGAAAATAATTAAAGCATTATTTTCCTAAATTATCAATATTTTCCAATTATTACAAAAACCATATAGAAAATCGAAAAAATGATCTTCCTAAAGTCCCAACTACATAATATTTCCTTTTAGAAAAGGTGCTACACTTAATACATCAGAGGAATAATTTTGTTAGAACATTTGTACACAGTATAAATAAAAAAAAAAAATTTAAAAACAATATACTCCTCACATTGTTCAGAATCTAAAAAAACGGTAAAATTTAATTATCTATATATCCACCTTAATATTCAACTATAAGATTATAATTGTGGAATAAAACTACAGCTAATAATTAATAATGTTTTAAATTAAAGTGGCCATTTTTGAATACTGGTAATAGATGGAGAGGATTTGTTGAATTCATTTTTTCTGGTTTATCATTCTGGTATATAATTGATTTGAGTATGGCACATAAGACTGACTCTATTTTGTCGAATATCATAAAGCCTACATCATACATACATACATACATACATCATACTTAATGAAGGGCTCAAGGGTGTGCCCCCAGGGGGAAGGATTAGTGGTTATTTTATCTCCCATTCTTTTCTTTTTTTTTAACCAACCTACAAACAACAACTTTCATAAACAATTATTATACAGACAACAAAATACAGATTACTTACAGAGTTGTACGTACACAGCACTACAGTAAAATGGCTTATTCACTGACCATCAATATGAATCTAGCAAATAGCTGTTTTTAAGACCCTAGCGTTTTTAGTGGAGAAAAGAAAGCCTAGGCAGACTATACTATTGTCTCAATTTTCGAGAAGAATTTGACAAAATACCTATAAACCATGGAATAGATATAATCATCTGTATCCGTAATTTAACAGTATACTAAATTTAACTGTACACTAAATTAAATGTACACCAGTTAGTGACCAGGTATCTTTAGCTTTTCAACATAGTTGAGATAAGCCTTTTTGATCGCACATCACTGTAAAATACGATACACCATTTTGAAACCATTCAATCTATAGCCTTTGCTGTAATATAAAACAATGAATACATATATATAGTAGATGCCTGACTCTGTCCATACTTAAAAGTCAACAGTCATAATGTAGATTGGGCAATGTTTACAAGCCCATGTTATTAATCTTAGTGATAACCAACAAAATTATAATAATTTAAAATATTAACATTTGAACTAAATGTAGACTTAGTAGTATTTAAAACTATATTTTTAATGATTTGTAATTATATTATCATAATAATATTGATAACAGATTGTAAACATTGCCTAACTTATTTGGCTTCAAATACCCATTCACTGTTAAATATATTGTCTGAAATCCAGTATATACTATATATCTGTGGCGACGAACAAATGCAAGTCTCGAGCTGCTCTCTATTATCCCGTTCATATAGAATAATGATTCGGTTATCGTCGTCATAACAGAGAAATTCCACTATGAGCGCTACATATGCGTGCGCCTAACAATATCGCAATAACCGATAACAACGACACGTCAATACAGAACTTTTGAACTGAAATTATACAAATTTTAGATTTACTATAGATTAGTCTATACTCTATAATAATCTTTGGGTCTATATTTCCTACATGTGTATCTTTAACTCAGTTACAGATTAAAATTCAACTTTATCTAATCTGCGACTGTATACTAAACATATTTATACTATTAAAAATCAAAGAAGTAACTTCATTATACATTTTAAATTCTGAGTTTAGCGAAGAAGCTTATAGTTTTACAAAGATTTTTTTGTCATCAGTACGCAACTTTTCTACCAGAATACTAGCTCGGATTTCTACGGGTAGCGCCTTTTCTGAAAGGAAATTGTCACGGGGAGGTACTCTAAAGAGGTCATTTTTCGATTTTCTCATCAAATTTGAAAAACCGAAAAATAAAACGGGAAAATATAAGAAATGTAGGTATTATTTTAAATATATTACGGCCTTCTTTTTTTCTGTGCACCTGGGAGAAATCATTTTTCGATTTTCTCATGAGTTTTCCTAGCAAATGTGAAAAACCTGGGGAAAACGTAGGAAAACTGGAAAAATCGGTACAACATTAAAAAAATATTATTAAAGCAAATTATCTTACTATAATATGGCATATATATTGTTGACAAAGTATCATTATCAACTGAACTCCACTCAGAATTGTTTTTTCGTAAGTTTATTGTTGCTTACAGGTATGCATTAAATTATCTATAATAGTGCCTACACCCATCCCCATTATCTTGGGACATCTTTTTTTTTTTTTTTTTGCTGTGTACCAAAATTCTACCAGAAATCTTCCTCCAAGCACCTTTTCTGAAAGGGAATTTTCCTGGGGTGATACTTTAGGGAGATCATTATAACTATTGTTATAGTGTCATAGGAAAATGGTATACATATATGCTGCCTATATTTGAAGAAAAAGTAATATATGGATTTTTTTTAGGTTTTTAAAAATTTATATTTTTAATGTATGGAAAATAATATGAATCATATTAAAATTAAATGATATGATGCTATGTAGTGTTCATATTTCAGTTCAGAATATTCAGAATAAATACCATAAACTTATAATATATCATAAATAACCGTGAATTGTGATAAATACGTATGTTTACAAAATGTACGGTAATAGTGATAATACAATAAAACGTCCTAAAAAATAAAACTATTAAATACAACATATTACTAATTTTATATTGGATTCGGGAATTCGATTACGTTCAAAAACTGGTTGGGTTACTGACAAAACTAATTGGACTAAGCCCACCTAAGCCCCCTCTCCTAATTGCGCATGATTTAAGCAATCAAAAACTAGAAATATCTCAATAAAAACAAATTAATTGCTTTAGATGAAAAGGAAATTACCCAACATCTAATATTTTTATCCTGTGAATATGTAAATTTTATAATTTTATTAACTATTTAATTGTTAAAGATATTGATTAAATTACATGAGAAGTTAAGATTACAATAATGTTTTGTACCCAATTGTTTTTATTGACATAGTAACGCAAACGTGTAAAAAAATGATTCCATTATTTATTCGTGTATGCAATATAATAATAATATAAGTAGGTACCTAAGGTCTACTTACGTCATGTTTTTCTGCTATTCTGTACAGATTGTATATTTCTCCTCAAAAAAAAAAAAAAGTTTTTCTGTGTTTGTGACCATAATGTTCACTGGTTTTTCTGCTAAATACACTTGTCCTAAAAATAAATTATTTGAATAGTGGTTAGTTTTTATAGTTTTGTTGTTAATTATAATCATAATAATCTTTAAAAAGTAATTCATATAAATTTAGAATTATTTACTCCACAAATGACGTTTTTGTTGTCTATATTTCGAGTTCCATGGGATTTAGGGAGTAGAGTAATATAGGTTAGTAATATTTAAAATATTTGTAAATAAATGTATTATTGGTGATTAATAAATTGTCGTCAAATTTAAAACTATTAATATCTATTAAACCTAAGTAAAATGTAAATTTTACTCGAGTGTTGCGATGAAAAATACTTACCATAACAAAACTACAGCTATACTTGCGAAAACGCACAAAATGTTCTATGTGTAGTTAGAAGGTGTCATTCGGTTTTGAAAATAATATATAAAGTGTATAATTAATTAAATATTCATTATTAACCGGTGATTTAAAATTTTGTTCCTATAAACCTATAAATATGGATAATATAATATATGTACCTATATATTATCTATGCCTATAAATCGTGATGATGGAATGATTACAAAATAATTATTTCAAACACGAATTAAGATTTAATTAAGATATATCTTAATTCATGATTACAAATAAACGTAATCATAGATATCAATGATAATAAACTGAGATACTGTTCTTGATTATAAGCACGGTCTTAGAAGATGTAACTGACATCTGGTACAATTGTTTAAGACGTTGTAAGTTCTTAGTTCTTTGAATTCTTTTGAATTCAAAAGTTAAACGCAACACTCAATTATTGGTCATAAATAAATACATTAGGGGATAAATATATTGTTGTTGTCAATAACTTGTTGACACAATTATTTTATTATGTACACGACCGTGTACTAATATATTATTATATATTGGTCTATTATATTATTATTCCGTAATTTTAACGTCATTTAACTTGATCTTGAAATGGGGGGGGGGGGTCGCGATAGTAAAAACACTGATATACACCGCTATTAAAGATATATATATATATAGAAAAAACTATAATCATGGTTGCTTAGATCGGTGAAAGAATATTCATTCGATGAACTGTATGAACTGATTTGTTCATAGATAGTGCAATCTAAACCAGAATGCAATTGAATGAATGAATGATTTCAGTTTATTTCACCAATGAAGTCCATAAGATCAATAAGATCCGTTCGTTTGTGAACAACCAGTAGCGTACGCAGGGGGGCTTAGGGGTTATATCTCTAATAGAGACCACTAAACCACTACAACATAAAGATCATAGACTATAATAAAATAAGCAATATCTGAAAATTATAACTGTATGGTAAACCAATTTTTAAATTTTAAATGAACCAAATATCTTATATAATTAACTAATGTACACGTGTATTAGCTGTTCGGTAATAACCTATTTTTAAAAAACTTATGATACAGTCAACACATTAAATTAAATAGGGGAATAATTCTACATTTTTTAACAGGCTGAAGCTCGTTTAGCCGCAAGACGCCAAGCACGAGCTGAAGCACGAGAAATTCGTATGCGTGAAATTGAACGACAGCAAAAAGAGGCTGAAGAAAATGCAGATAAAGCTTTTGATATGAATGTAGCAGGCAAGTATTACTATAATTTTTTTTATTAAATATTAAATACTTGGTTGCGTAAAACTTGTTCATAACTATTTATAAATTTAGTGTTAATTATTTATATAATGATAAATTAATGTTTTAACATGACATACTAAATTTACGAGAATGTTACTCAATTATTATTTTATATTCAGGTTATTACCAGAATACTGGTTAACTAATATATAGTTCCTATATATCGGCTGTAGAAGTAATGCAAAACATTGATAAAGGAAATTTAACTATACATATATTTAAATCCAGATAAACAAGTTTATCTCTATATAAATATTTGGTGCAAAGTGCAACCCAGCATTAGTATCAAATATTTATTAATTATAAGTTTTTAATTTTTACTATCAATTTAATTAGTTGATCATAATTACATAATACATCTTATATATTAATTTGAAATGTCACTATAAACCATATTATTGTAGTATTACCACACGTATATAATATTTCAAAAATCATGCTATTAAATATTAATTACCTAGATCAGTGTTTCCCAACCTTTTTAATTAAACGCCCCTTTTAGATTTAAAAAAATTCTCACCGCTCCACAGTGAGCTGAAATGAAAACTAGCCCTCCTAAATTAATACCCCTTTCATTTTAACCATTTTTTCAATATTTTACAACAATTTATAAGTTTTAAGGATCCTGAACCTAAATTTCATATCTTTTTTTTTGATTAGCCCCTAATTAAGAGGAACTAGGGGCAGGATTTTAGCTATCATTGTAAAATTAAGTATATTATTACTTTATCAATATAAATACTATCCCAAATTTGCCAGAATATATTTTGAACATTTTTGAAAATAAAAATCTATTGACTGAATACTCTGCAGATTGAGAAGTTCATTGTTTCTCAACATTTTAATCATATCAAAATATATCTAATGTTTCTCTTCTGCTTAGAAGAAGTACCTAAAATAGTTTGATTCAATTATTAAAAAAAAATTATACCAGTAAAATACAGTACTTCTGTAGTATTCAAAATTAATACCGTGCACAGAGGCAAAAAAAAAAGGCAAACGAAACTATTATGAAATTAATAAATAATACTAAGACTATAATATAGAGGTAGTTTCAATGAGTAAATTTTTAAATATTTACCTTATTCTCGAGAATTCATTTTATTGTTCCTAAAATGTGTCAGGTTTTTTAATTAGGTTCAGCAGTTTTTATACTATGTCTGCCCTTAGCCCCCATTAATAAGGAGCCCATCAAAAAACTAATACGAAATTTGGGTTCAGCGACTCTTAAAACTTATAAATTGATGTGAAATATTTAAAAATGGTTTAAATGAAAGAAGCATTAATTTATGTGAGCTAGTTTTCATTTCAACCCGCTGTGCGCCCCAACAATAAATTTAAAAAAAAAATAACCATGTAGTTTGTATAATTCAGCCATATAATTTAAAGTGAAAAATAAATATTTTCTTCACATTATGTTCTTGAACATTTTATTATGATTACGAATAAGTATAACATACACGCACTTTAAATTATAATTTCTTATAATAAATGCAAGTGTTGGTACAATTATCGGAAATATCCATATGAAAATTGAACTAAACGAAGCCTATTGGTATTGATATGATAAGATAAAAGCTTGTTTATTACCATTCCACAGTTATTGTAGTGTGTTGTGTGTGCAAAATATTAAATTATTTTTTAATGTATGCAGATATACATTTCATTTCAATAAGTTATGATTTTGGTGTTAATGGTTTAATAATAATATAATTATTTTTCATTACACAAGTCACAGTAGAATCGCTCCTAAAGTAAAAAGCCCCACCTCAAAATTAAAAAACCCCACAAGGGAGTGGTATCGCCCACATTAGGAATCACTAACCTAGATAAATACTAAGAACTAATTTCGGAATGAGATTGGGACAAATATTGAAAAATTATAATATATTATATTAGCTTTATAAAATAAGAAGAAAAAGTTAGTATTTGTTGAAAAGGGTTTTTATTTTAGGATACCAAAAATACAATGAAAATAAACTAATTCAAATTATAGGTTCTTACTTGTTTTTTTATTTTTTTTTTTGAAGCTGATATACATAACTTTAAATAGAATTTATTAACAATCCCATAATATTACATACTTTTTCTTTTTTACCATTTTCTTCTATTTTCACCTCTGCACCTTCAAACAAATTTACTTCCAACATTTTATTTGGGACACTGTATATAAATTACCTAGTTTTAAAGTATTTTGTTCATTTGAATAAGTATTATCTTATGTTTACTTTATGACAACTAACACTTCAGTTTTATTGTATAAACCTATAGCTTAAAGAATTTTCTGATAAAGAGATAACAAGTGTTATTTAAATATTGACAATAAAATATAATATATTCTTTTACAGTTTGTAATTCTTTTTTTTTAGATGGGTCTAGTATAAATCGAGTATCTCGAGTTGTTTCATCAAATACTCCTCGATCAGCTAGTTCAATAATAAATTCAAACAGTTACCAATCTAGTCGACGTAATTCGGTTGACTCTCTGGATGAAACAACCCCAAATTTCCGAGATTTTAGGGTATGATATAGTTATACAATTAAAGTAAACTATAATTTTATAAAATTATTAAATAATCAATTTTATAGATGGAACTAAAAGACCTTGAAGAAAAGTTCCGGAAGTCAATGGTTCAAAATGCTCAACTTGATAATGAAAAAGCTGCTATAACATATCTTATTGAATTATATAAAGATAAATACACAGACATTGAAGAAGAACTAATACATATAAAAGTAATTAAAATATTTTACAAGTTATTTATAAACTATTTGTATTATTTCTTTAATAAAATATCATATTTTTTGTTTAGCGTGAATATAAGGAAAGTACAAGAGAAAATGATAAGTTAAAACGATTATTGGCTACTCAAAAATTAGAATGTTTAACTCTTCGACATGAATTACAAGAACGAGATAGACTTATTGAGGTGAAATATCAATACTAATTTAATTTAATTCCTATTATTTCCATTCAGATACAAATATAATTGAATATCTTTAACAATAACAAAAAAAAGAAAAGAAATAGATTTTGTTTAATTTATGTGCTTCTAAAAATATTAATACCTATTAGCTACAAATCATGTTATTCTTTTGAAGAATAAACTTTGATAATTGTTTTTCGTATTGATAGATCATTTATTTTATTTAAAAATGTAATCGCACCCTCTTCATAAGCTAATATAAAATATAGCCTACTCAAATGTGCATATTTTCTTCTCCTTCCCCTTCATCTCATTTATTTGGGATCAGCCACCCCCAAATGTGCAAATTATTAGTGTACAGTGTAACCTTTAAATACCGGACACTTTTGTCAACTATTCACAGGTATTCGTTTTTTAGAGGGAACAATTGTGTTTTTATTAAGTCAATTAATTGAATAAATTTTATTTTTACATTAATTAAAGACATCTTAAAGTCAACCACTGGATGGATAATAAAAAATATACAGTATAACAATGTACATTCATAATAATAAAAGATAACTTAATAATGTAGGCTTTTAGGTATTCTATAATTATTCTTAATTTACAATAAAAATGATCAATATCAATGTTAAAAAGTGTCTATTATTTAGTGTTCTGTTTTTAGAGGTGTCCATTAAGGGAGGTTTCATTATATATAATTTGTAATATCTAAACAAAGATTTTATTTTAATACAAAAATAATAGTAGAATTTATTGTTAAAACTAATATCTAACCATTAATAATATTTTTCTCAATTTTTCTACTTTGAGTTTAAACACTATTCAAAATTACTTTTTTTCACTAATTATATATTATATATTAGGTATTAAACATTTGAAAATGTAGAAACAATACCTTTATAATATAATGTATTCAATTTGTGTTATTATTATTATTATAGGAAAAAGGATTAGTTATTATCAGTACAGAACAAGAAGTGCCTCATGATAATAATCAAAGCAATATTAAAATAAAACGTGCATTAGTTACTGTTGAAAATGCTCAGCTATTACATGATGCCGGAGAAGGTTGTTTAGGTAAAAATTTTGCCCCAACTTATTAATTTCTTGATAATTTATTTATATAGTCTTTGTTATTTATTATAGCAGTGTATGTAATAAAATGCTAAAATACACATTTCAGTCATTTATAATTAAATTTTATATGATTTAGATAAACCTGATAAACTGCTTTATTTATTTGACACTAAAAGTAAATATTTTGGGGTTATTCAGATGTACGACTTAAAAAATTCACTGAAGAACGAGATAACTATATACATGAAATTAATCGGCTCAAATTAGAATTGCAAGATGCCAAACGCCATAATGATCGTAATTTTAATGGTACAGACTCAGATGATTTGGAAGATGCCCAAAGTAAAAATTGGCTTAGTTTCAATAGTAATTTAAAAAGTGCCAGTAAATTTATTTGATGTTTTATTTTTTAGAAGAATCAAATAGAGTACTTGGAAATTATAAGTTCAAATGGCAAAAGGCTGAACAAGATATTTCTACATTACAAGCAAATGTAATTTAACTAATTAATATTTATATATTTATATATTTATATATTTATTGTTATTAGTATTATACATGATTTTTCATTCACCTATAAATATATTAATTTATTTAAATTTAGGTAGCTAGACTTGAAAGTCAAGTTATTAGATATAAAACAGCTTCTGAAGCATCTGAGAAAAGTGAAGACGATCTCAAACTAGAAAAACGAAAACTACAGCGTGAGGTAACTAATTAAATTTTGAAAACCTATTAAATAAGTTAGCTGAGGTCACTTTCAGGGTATCGAACTTATTTTAAACTTCTTTTTCTCTAAATCGTGGCTATATTTTAATAATCATATGTGAATTGAACATGATTAAAAAAAAATGTATATATATATATATAGTAATGTATTCCCAATTTTTCTTGTCTGTGAATCACTTTTCTTTCAGAAATGTTACTCCATTTAAATAATAACGAGTTTTTTGACAAATATCTGATCTAGTTGATGTATTTGGGAGATCATTTTTTGATTTTTCAAATGATTTTCATAGTAGTAAGACATACCTGGAAAACCAGGGTATCCTTATGTTACACATGTAATTAATCTTAATATTGAATACTGAATGTTTCTAAAGTTTCAATCAATTTTAAATAGAAATATAATTTATTATTTAATGTTTTTAATCTGCTCATAAACAATTTTAACTGAAAATATTTAACTATTTACCAATTTTAAAAATATTGCTATGAATCAAGTGTCATTTAATATCTAAAAAGATTGACATAAAAGTTACCCCAGCAGAAGGACACATTTTAAAAACGCAGGGATTTTTTGTTTCTGGGTTGGCAACTCTGTTCTGTTGTTTTTCTTGTCTGATAAAATACCCTATAAATTATTGCAAAGTAGTTTTTGGCATTCATATTTCAAAGAGATTTCATGGAGAGGTTCACAGTTAGACAACGTGTAACCATAGTGAAAACGCAATACAAGTGTCTAGGAATGTTGGGAAAGTTTCAGACAAAACAATCACCCTTTGCAAGTGACTGTAACTCATTTGTTGGATAAATTCAAGAAAACTGACTCAGCTGTGGACAAGAAAGCCACCCATCAGAGGAACATTCGATGGCCAGAAAACCATAGTGTAAGACAATGTTTAATTGAGGTGGCATAAGTCTGTTTACAACTGGGTATGTCTCTAAGTTCTGTTCATTGTATGTTGAAAAATGAGCATTATCTGCATCCATACAGGATCCAGTTGACACAAGAATTGAAGCTAACAGATCACGGTAAGAAAAGAATCGGTAGAATGGTGAAATGGGTAAAGAGATGTATGTGAAAGTGTATCACCAGTTTCAACAATAACACTACTGCATGTAAGGATCATGGATGTGGATGTTCATTCAAAATCATTTTATATCATTGAATTGGAAATTGTTATAGTTACAATACATTTTTTCTCTTGAAATTTTGATGGTTTTTTGCTGAGTTATTGTGTTCTTAAAATTGCACTTCTGCTGGGTTACACAATACTTTCTACAGTGGGTAGACCATAGTCAAGAACGCCCATAGGCTAATTTTAACATGGGGAACAAAACTAGATTTTCAAACCTATTGATATCATATAGATAATAGATTAGTATTTCTTGAAAAGAAATGAAGGAGAATGGGTATGTAATTATGTAAATATTAGCTTTTAAAAAAAACTATTAAGTGCTAAAATCAAGATATTATAATATTTTACTATTTATAGTTAACATTATACATTTGGAAGATAATTAGATTATTTATACTTTAATAATAACACTATAAATAGCAATTAACAAATATCATTGTATAAGAACCATAATATGAAATACCTATTTTACATTTATTTGTATGGGTTTAAAGCATACATCTTTTTTTTTTTTGGATATTAATTATAAGGTATACAATTACTTTTACATTGTGACTTATACAGTTCAATACATGATATAGATGTCATAAAAAGGCCAAATCTTTTTTTATAAATGTAATATTGTTTTGTCATACTGTATTTACATGATGTTATATAATATTCAAAATAAAATATACATGTCTCTGCTTGTTGTCACCAATGAGGTTAGTCAATTAAAAATACCCAGGCAAACAAGGTAATACTGTATTATACTGGTGTTTTTTGAGTGTAGTATATTACATTAACTCATAGTACTAATTTTATATTTATATTTTCTACAAATTCTACTCATACTATGTGTATTTCTCATCACTAGCATCACCCACTCACCCATCCTCCACTAATAAATTTAATTGGGACAAATTGGTACCTCAAGTTTGGTGCCACTTTTTTTACCTGACTACACAGAGAATATTGTGTTCAGGGTTCATATAAATGAGATGACCTACATTATATCAGTTAGTCACTGATATTTTTCTCGGCCTTTTTTAAAAATAAATAATTTAAGGGCTATGGAAACCGATAATAGTAAAAAAAAATTAAAATAGGGTAATTATAAAATTATCATTTTGTTATTTTCTTCCAAATAGATTGATATCTGAATCGAGTTGGGTCATAAAGATCACAATCCGTGATACAACAAAGGTTTAAATATATGGTTCAATAAGGTATTAATATAGTTCTGAAACTTTAATTAAAACTGCTATACTGAAAATTTTAGGAATATTAAATATTATTTTCCCCATAGCCCTTCATATGGTATTAGTGTTTTTTCTATATTTATTTTCATTTTCTATCATAATTTATATTTTTGCTTGAATTATTAGAGTTAATTTAATTTGGTTTCATATTATTATTTTTTAGCTTCGAGAATCTCAAACGAAAATTGAAGAATTGGAAACATCGAATATGCATCTTTTAAAACGGTTTGATAAACTTAAGAATGCAAAATCAAGTTTATTAAAAGATTTATGATTAATAATTCTATTTCCGAACAAATTGATAGTAAGAATGTCTTAACACTTAAAAATTATTACTTACTAATGTGTTTTTATTTTTTTTTTTTTTTTTTTTTAAATTATTAGTAATGGTAAAATGTACTGTACAATTCATATGTATCTATCATATAGTGGAAAGATGTCTAAAATCTATGTAAACAAATTAAATTATTAAAATAATTTAGTAAATAATTTTTAATAAATAAATTTTTTTTAATACTTCTTTAATAACAAAATATTAATAACAATAGCAAAATATAATTAATGTATAAATTATTTGATTTTAATAAAAATTATTTCATAACATTTAAATATGTATACTGTACAATGTATATGGTTGAAGCATTAAAAAGAAATGGTATAAATGGTTTACAAGTTTTCGAGATACTACTTCAGAAATTATTTGTTGATGTAATTCTTGTAAGAGCAATGTTTTCCTCTATTTGTTGGGTGTTTAAGTTCCCCTATATTTTTGAGTGATTTAAGCCAATAATGAGAACGAAACCCTTTGTTGTCAGCATTAAATGATACCTATATACTGCAAATATGTTAATGTTGAATATTTTACTTATTAGTATTGTTCTCTATAAGTTATGGAGTATAATAACTAATTTAAAAATATGTGTATAAATATTCAGCTTTATCAAAGTTGTCTATTTTTCGAATTACTAATAATAGGTCCCTATGTATTACGGTATACATAAGACTAAATAATGAATAACATAAATAATTTTATTGGATTGTAAAAGTAGTTTTGAAGTTCCTGATTTTAATCATACAGTTAAATGGAAATAACTTAGGTGCCAATAATAATGTAATTTGTATAACATTTTTATATTAGTCAAGTCATGAAGAATCATGATATGTTTTTGAACATAAGCAAAACTATATTTTACGCTAAGTAATATTTAAACAATTATTTCTTATAAGGTTCTTATTAAGGTATTTTGCAAAGAAATAATTGAATAATTGATCTATTCATATTTCTTTTTCAGCACATAATAAATAATAGATACAGGTGTTATGAATTTGATTTTTAATCATTTCATTTTTGTTGAGTGTAACAAAGAATGTATTGGTTTTACAAAAATGTTTTTTTTTTTATATATATATACTATGTACAAAAATTCTACCAGAAATCTTGCTCTGATTCAAGTAATAACAATAATAATGATAATTTCTTTACAAAAAATATTTCAATTTAAAAAATGAAATAATGACAGTGTAATGTGTTCTAAATAAAAGAAAAATAGGAAGTCCTAAGATAATAGGGTCATTTGCAGCCACTGTTATGGGTAATTTAATGTATATCTGTAAACCCTGCTAAACCATTTTTAACAAAAAAAAAAATGATCCTGAGCGCAATTCAATTGATAATGATGCTACGTCAACAATATATATGCCATATTATGGTAAAATAATTAAAAAGGCATTATATGTTTTCTTTAATTATAATTGTTTTTCACATTTGCTGGGAAAACTCTTAGGAAAATCGAAAAGTGACCTCTCTAAAGTATCTTCCCAATCAAATTTCCTTTTAGAAATAGTCTTATCATTGTAAGTCTGAGTAAAATTGCTGGTAGAAAAGTTTTTCACACAAAAAAAGAAGACCGTAATATTTTTTAATTAATACTTAAATTTCGTACATTAAATCGTTTTTCCTCAGTTTTTCCTGGTTTTTCCATATTTATTGTGAAAACTCCTGAGAATTTCAAAAAATGACCTCCTTAAAGTATCATGTAAATAAAATTTCCTTTGAGAAATTAAGCTACACTTGATACATCGGAACAAGATTTCTGTTAGAAAAGCTTGCCCAACAAATCTAGTATTTCGCGATTAAAATAGTTCGATGAGTGATTGGGTTAGGTTAGGTACACCCAATACACCCAAAATACATTTGTTTTTTTTTTATTTAGGTAACAGGAAAACAAAAATCCAAAAAATTTGTTTCGAATTTCGGGTTTGAACTCATGATCTCTAAAAATTCGCACTTGCTAATACGTATTGTAGTATTATTCTAATACTACAACTGCAAACATAACAACAATGGCACCAACCACATCAACTTTACTTATAAAAAAAAAATCTGATATTGATATTAATAATAAACTTAATGATATATTTAACTCATCTACTACAGAAATAATGATAATAGATTATTATAAAGCAAATAAGTGGATAATGTTATTAATAACAGAATGTCAGGTTAGCTGATTTTATTGGAAATCGTATTATTGCTATGTTCCCTTCAGAAGTAAAAGTAAGTGTTTGGTGTACCATTTTGAATTAATTTATAAATTAAAAAAATAAAATGGTGATGTTTGTTAATAACCTATTTAAAACTTTAATTTTAGGATACATACTTTACAAAATATGAATCTAATAAAAATGCAAAAGGAAAACTACGCAAATTTGTGTAACTTGATGAGAACTTCAAAATCATGTGGCCTAATATCTCTTAGTTCACGCTTCAAAATTCCTAAAAGATTAAATAATCAAAAACATAATGCACATTTTAGTAAGAATTTGTTTATGCTATGATGTTGACAGTGTTTTGTAAAAAAGGTATAATCAACGCAAATTAGGAGCAATAAAAACTATAAAAATGTTTAATTTAAATTTTTTTAAATTACATCCTTGATGAAATTGTCTATTTCTTGACATGGAAAGAAACTGGAAAGCAACTACAAAGTTCGGACTAAATAAAATCCAAAACACTTTGAATACTAATGACATACTTGAAAATTGGAACTAGTTTACAAAACCTCATAGATACAGACTAGTACAATTTATTTAACAAAATTGCATTATTATTGTATTTTTATTTTTAAGTTACTTCATATAAACCAGAATGCAATAATATAAATAATGTTCTTAATAGTGATTTTGAGCATAACTTATTTGATATTTATACTGTAGTATTATGTAATGTAAGTGAACAGGAAAAACAGTTCAATGATAAAAATAATAACTAAGGGTAGTTTAAAAATATAAAAATTAATGACTGTATTGTTGAATTTGAGTTATACATGGGTTCGAATATTGACATTTTGCCTCTAAGTCTTTTTCAAAGAGTAAAAAATAATGACATTTTTAAAAAAAATTAATTACAAGCATATGGTAGACAAGTTCTAAAGCTGGTTGGGACTGTAAATATGAATTGTATTATTTCTAACAAAAATGTTATGTTCAGGTTCATAAATGGCGAATTACAAAATAAAGTGTTCCTACTATTGGATTAGATACACGTGTAAAACTTAATTTGGTTAATAAAAGAAAAATAAATAGTATTAAAACAAGAAATTGTGTATATGTCTGGATCCATTAGAATTGAATAAAATTATTATTAAAGAACATCATAGAATGCCTAATATGCATGCAATTAGAGCAAATCTTAGTAATAAAGAATGCTATTCATTATTAGATCTTAAAAATGGATTTTGGTAAATTAAGCTAATAGAGGATTCGAGTAATATTTGTACTTTTAGTACACATTTTGGGTACTTTAGATTTATAAGACTTCCATTTGAACTGTTTAGTGCCCCTGAAGAGCTCCAAAAATAGAATCAGAAATGTTTTGGTGATATTCAAAATGTTTTTTTTTATTTTGATAATATATTAATTGCTGCTGAAGATGAGAAATCACATGATTTAGCAGTGAGGTTAGTATTGAAAAGAGTGAGTCTTTGGGTATAAAATGTAATCATAAAAAGTTTGTTTTTAACAGAAAAAAATTATTTATCTGGAAATGGTATTTAGTAAAAATGAAATGAAAGTAGACCCTAATAGAATAGAGGCTATAAATAAATTGAAAGACCCCAAAAATAAACTAGAGTTGAAAAGAATCATTGGTGTGTTTAATTTTCTTAGACAATTTATACCTAATATGTCTCAGTTAATATATCCTCTAAGAGAATTGTTAAAAAAAAAATGTGTGTTGGGCATGGATTCATACTGAAGTAATAGATAAGCTAAAACATATAATTCACCAGTTCTTAGTAATTTTGATCCAGAGAAGGAAACTAATATTCAATGTGATAGTACCAGCACAGGGTTAGTATGTTGTTTGTTGCAAGAAGGAAATCCGGTGGCTTTGACTTCTAGAAGTCTAACGAAGTCAGAGAAACAGTACCCGCAGATTAAAAAAGAAATTTTAAGCATAGTTTTTTTTTAAGCAAGTTCAATAATTATATATATGGCTATCATACTAAAGTTTGGACAGATCGCTTACTACTAACATCAATTTTTAATAAAGTAATATCTAATAGGTTACAAAAGATGAAACTTAAACTTTTAATTTATGATTTAGAAATTAATTATCTGCCGGATAAAGAAATGCATATTGCAGACTTATTATCTAGAAATTTTATTGACTCTAAATTTGAGAATGAAATTAATATTAAAGATGTAGTTAACTCAATTGAATATAAAAAATGAATTTGGTGAAAATAGTACTAGACAAAAAAAGTGATCCAGTATTATCTAAAGTTCTAGAGTTCTATATAAAAGGTTGGCCTGTGAGTAAAAAGTTAACTAGTGGAGAAGTTCAGCATTATTAGAGACTTTGTAATGGTAATTTAGTGGATAATGATGTTATTTATTACAATAACAGAATAGTTATGTCTCATACTTTAAGAAGTGTAGCTTTGCGACAACTTCATGAGGACCACAACGGTATAAATAAAACCTTGCTTAGAGCTAAACAACTAGTTTATTGGCCTGAACTGAATAACGAATTACAGCTATTTGTATTGAAATATAATAAATGTGACAGGTTTAAGAACTCCAATATAAAAGAGCCGTTAATTCCACATCTTGTGTCTAAACTACCCTTTGAAGTTATAAGTATAGATATATTGACTTATGGAGAATGGAACTACATTGTAGTATTTGATCATTATTTTAAATGATTAGAATTATTTAGATTCAATAAGAAGACAGCCAGAAGAATTATTTTGCACTTTAGAAGTGTTTTTAACACACATAATTATCCAAAAATTATTTATTCTGACAATCAACCATTTAGTTCTAGTGAATTCAAAAGTTTTTGTGGTGTATATAATATAAAACTTATAACGTCTAGTCCAAGATATTCTCAATCAAATGGAGTGACAGAAAGAGCTGTTCTTACTGCTAAACAAATGTTAAGGAAAGCAAACTTTAAAAAAAACAGACATCTTAGACATATTGCTTGAATATAGATGTACACTTATTCCACACCTTGACTTGTCACCTTGTGAGCTAGTAATGAGCAGAATGCTAAAAACAAAATTTCCAATCAGTGAGAGTAATTTGAAACCAACGGTACATAATAATATTGACAGTATGATAACTAATTTCAAAAAACTTATAAAGAATATTATAATAGGAAAACTAAAATAATAGATGAATTTGTCGTAGGTGATAATGTAGTAAAAAAGGATAATTTATGGACACCCTTTAAAATTATAGAAAGATAAAAGACTGTCCTAGGTCAGAGGTTCCCAAACTGTGGGTCGCGATTATATTTTTGGTGTGTCGCGTTATATTTTTAAATATTACATTTTTTAAACATCTATTACTTTTCATTGTTGTTCAAATTCAGTTTTATCGTCAATCGTTATCTGTGAGTGTGNATTTATCAGAACACACAAATTAGTAGGTATTTGCACGACGTTCAAAATTTTTGATTATTTTCAGTTACACGCGGTACATTGAATACGATACATGTACGCAGTTGTATATTTAATATTATTTTTTCTCAAATAAATTCGTTTTCATTGTACTTTTGTACAACTATGGACAAATGGTTAAACAAATAGTCAATGACTCAAAGTTAAGAAAAAACAAAAACAATATCTGCGTCAACAGTTAAAAAAAGAAAATTTAATTATGATAAGCCTTCAACAAGTTCTTCTGAATCGAAACAAAAAAATTCTTTAAGAAAATATTGTTCTGAATATTTGCGAATAGGATTTTCGTGGAATGGAGACGAAGAACACCCACGTCCACAATGTATTATTTGTGGATGTATACTTGCAAATGAGAGTATGTGACCAAACAAACTACATCGACATATAGATACGAACCATCCAGAAATGAAGAATAAACCATTCGATTTTTATGGAAGAAAACTAGAATCTCTAAAAACATCAAAAACATAATTTTTAATTTTACTGCAATTAACCAAAAAGCTACGTACGCCTCATATTAAATAAGTTTACATATAAATTGCTCAAACTGGCAAGCCTCACACAATTGGTGAGTCTTTAATTTTACCATCAATAAAAGACGCAGTCGGGATCATGTTTGATCAAAAAAGTTGAAAAGTTATCGCTTTCAAATAACACAATTCCACGTAGAATCGACGAAATTTCTGAATGGGTAGAATATAAACTGATCGAAAGAGTTAATTTGAGTATATGGTTCTCATTACAACTAGACGAGTCCACAGATATACAAGACTTATCTCAGATGATTGTTTTTGTACGTTACATATGGATGAATCGAGGTGATAAATGTCAGCAAAAAAAAGGTCATTCATGATAATGTGGGTCGCCAAATTTTAAAAATTTCCCAAAATGGGTCGTACAATAAAAAGTTTGGGAACCTCTGTCCTAGATCATATAAGATAAAGTTACAGAGTGGTATAGTGATTGGACGAACGTCTTATAATTTGCGTCACACAACTAGCCAAAATTTTAATGAATACTATGTAGATAATGATGATATTCTGTTTGGACAGTATAATGACAAAAATACGGTGGGAAAAAAAGAAGTTAATGAGAAGAATGATTATGATTATGAGACATTAGAAAGGACAAGAGTAGGAAGAGTTATTAGAAAACCAATCAAATTAGGTAATTATGATTTAAGTTAATCATGTTAAAGTGTTTGTTTTAAATAATAAATTAATATATTGTTGTTATTTTTGCGTGTCATCATTAAAAGTTGGAGCAAAATTGCTGATAGAAAAGTTGTAAGTGGACAAAAGAAAATAAATAAATAAACATATTTGTAAAACTATAAGCTTCTTCGCCCCACTCAGAATCTAAAATTATACAAATTGGTCGTTTTACATAGAAATAATTTATTTTATAAGAGAGATTATTTAAAATGGGTTATTGTTAGACATAGATATGTTAAGAAATATAAATTATTTGGTTATTATTTTTTATCTAAAATGTATTAATATAAAATACTATTTTAAAAATCGGTTTGTACCTTTAAAATGTTATTAAAATTATTTATTTTTATTTCATTGTATATATGTGATTATTTCTAAAACTGAATTAATGTAAATGTTATTTTGGTGACTTAACATTTCTAAGTCTGTATTAATACCAAAACTTATATTATAGTTATTTTCTAAAACATGTTTAGCGAAATTTGAATTGGGAGCAGTTTTTTTTAAATTTTATTTCAGAAATGTGATCTTATTTTAAAATTTCTATCTGTCTTACCTTTATACAATTTATTACAGTTACAAATAAGTTTATATATACCAGCATTTTCAAAAGAATGAGGATTTTTTGTGAAGTTTTTAGTTCTATTATTTATATGTTTGTTTAAATTATTAGTCTTAAAAGCGATTTCAAGAATATTATTGTTATTCTGTCACTATCGATTAGTAACGCAAACAATGCACTGTTGTTTTTCCCCATATTCATATCGATTTGTACTTGGCGGTTTCGGTTTTGTATTCAGTCTTTGACGAGTTGCCATGGTACCAATATTATTACGGTAAATCTGTAATAGTTTAAAATATTTTGTCTATATTCCTGCTATAGTTTTTCAATGTACCAGCCCGATACGACGTATCTACTATCCGCGTGACGTGTTTCATTAAAGCTCTAGCTAACTATGTCGTTGCCAGACAAAGATCACATTCAGATGATAGTGAAAGGGTGCGCTGAAAGAGCCGGGGTGCAAGTGTCGGAAAAACTGGCGTCCGTATTTGTAAGTGCTCTGTATTATGTTTACAAAGTGCCCAGTGGCCACACGAATTTACTTCATGCAAAATGATTTGACCCGAGACTATTTATTGATAAACGACTCCAACGTTCCCCATTTTATATAAGTTATATAATACAGCATATAAAAGTATTATATACCTATATGTATTATTATTATTAAATAAGTCGCCTTTTACAAAACCCACAAAATTTAATAGTATTGTAGGTAATGCAAGTACCTACTTCCTACTTTATTAAATAATGCCCACCTAGTTGGCTAAGTCACCCATGCACTTATTTAAAAATAAAACTAACGAGTTTTCAGACTCGGAAAATTACTCTCACGCTACCACTTACGTTTTATTACATGAGAAATATAGGCTGTCCCACGAAAATATAGCCATTGAATATCTCCGGAGGTTATGAGATTTGAAGTCCTTATCCATGTGAATAATATTAAAAAAATCAGAAATTGATTATAATTATTATCTTCGTGGACTCTGTATATAAATATATCAGTGTCAGATCTGTATTAGTGGCGTAGCCGGGATTAATTAGTGAATTATATTATATTATATTATATTAGTGAATTAATTTAACAATTAATATGGTTAAGTATTCATTTTACATTTTAAGATATATTTTATTGGGTGAAAATCATAAAAAACACATATTAAAAAAAAATCATAACTCAGTAATTAATATCTATTAATTTTAATTCGATTAATAACCGTTTTAACTTTGAGTTGGTCTTTCGAAATTTTATAAATATTTACCCGCCTTAAACAAATAAATTAAATTAGGCAAGTACTCACCTACCTAAACTATTTATACAAACACTGCGTATTAAACACTTACGTAAATGATCATAATATAATCTGTCCGGTTCTTGGATCGACCACATGAACGGTTTTTTCCTCCGAACACCTAACACCAAACAAGTTGAACAATTTTTAATCAATCGTTGATACTTAATTGCATACTGCAGTAACAATAGTATATGACAGATAACCAAATAATAAAAAATCTGACCTATAGAATAATGGAGACGGGTGCAGCGTTCAGCCACTTTTATAGGGTTGAAGCTGGAAGGTATTAGACTTAGTAGAGGGGAAATTTAATGTATATCTGTAAGTAACGACAAACCATTTCTAACGAAAAATGATTCTGAATGAAGTTCGGGTGATAGTGTTGCTATGTCAACAATATATATGTCATATTGTGGTAAAATAATAGCATATGCATACCTATAGGCGCAATCGCCTCCCCCAACCAAAAGAAGTGGATTTACATTGGCATTTAGCATAGACATTGGTCTAAAAGTAGGTATAATAGATATAATCAACATATTACTTGTCATAGTTTTTTAGATTCTGAGTGTAACGAAGAATGTATTGGTTTTACAAAAATGTTTATATTTTTTTTATACTGTGACAAAAATGTCTACTAGAAATTTTGCCCCGATATGTATGTGTGGCACCATTTCCAAAAGGAAATATTGTCTGGATGATACTTTATAATATTATTTTTGATTTTCTAAGCGGTTTTCATAATATCTGGGAAAATCCGGGAGAAAACGTAAGAAAAACGGTATATTAACGAAAATTATGCTTTTTATTATTTTTAATTGTATTATTTGATGTAATTCAGTTTAAAATATTTGTAGAGACTTGAAATTAAAGCAGAAAACTTATATTTACTTTTTTTACATGGTAAACTGTAAAACTGTAAAAATATTTGAGCCACATTTAAGCTATTTCTAGATACTTTAATTTTGTGAGTAATTTTTATTTGGTAGGTATTCTGTGGATAAAATTGTTAGACAAAACAAAAATGATTGAAAATTAAACAGGAAGATAATTATAAGTTGTAATTTGAGATCAAAACAATTTAATTTAATGTAGTATATTTTCCCTAATAATTTTAATATCAAATTTCGACGGAAATTATTTTAGTAAAAAATCTAATTACTGGTTTATATAAATCGTTCCAATACGATATTTATTTTCTGTAATATGACATGTATATTGTAAAAGCAATACTATTAACTGAGCTCCGCTCAAAATCGTTTTTTGTTAACAATGATTCATTTTTGATTACAGATATACATTCAATTTTTCTTTTTTACCTATCTTCCTAACTTTTTCCAATTTCTCATCTACAACAGTGGTCCCACCCGTCATGCAAAGTATGTCCGTCTATTTTTCTTATTTATCATTAATATTAAATTGAATTGTTTCTCTTCCCCCCCCCTATATTCATGGGTTGGAGACGCCCTTGCATATCTATATATTTTCTTTTATAATATTTTTTTTAATATTTTACCTGTTTTCGTGTTTTCCCCATTCATTGGAAAACTCATGGGAAATCAAAAAATGACTTATCTAAAGTACTACTCCAGTCAGATTTTCTTTCAGAAAAAGTACTATCATCGTAAATCGAAGGAAAAAATCATAATGAATTGGTAAACAGTATTAATATAAAACGATAAATATAAATTAGCCTCTCCCCCTTTATTACCCCAAAAAATAAGTTTTTACAATGCTTATTCAGTTTTCGGATATTTTAAAAGTTTTTAGGTTCCTGGACAGGTTTTTTTTTCGGGTATTCGGTTCAAGACTTCCAGTTCCCGATTTGTAATTATTGTGCACCTGTACTTATAGTTAATTTTTCGTTCGTATCAACAGTATACAAGTTTAATTGTAAATCCTCACGTGAACACAAATTTACAATATAATACAATTAAGAAACCAGCCACAATAGGACATCCGATTGTTGTAAAAATAATAGACCGATGCATCGACGCGCTGTCCGATCCAAATAACCCGGTTACGTTTTGCATTCGAATGCAATTGCTTCTAGAAGATCAGTACAGAAACAAAGGTACATAATAATGTATTCCTGCTTACATATTCAATTTAAATACCTAATTATTTTGAATCTATACGTATATGCAGTGGCGTATTTAGGCCAAACAATGACCAAACAAAAAAAATTGTTTAATTTAAATATTTTAGTGAGCCATTTATAATTCAATCTGCTCTAACATTATCATTGACATCAAATAACTGGGTATTATAATGATTATAATTAGGTCATTTACTGTTCTAATACTTCTTACCACCTTTGCATTAAAGTGGTTCGGATATGTTTCGTTTCTAATAAGGAAATATACCCGTAGTTGGGATTTTTATTTTATCAACTTTACACCAACATATTTTAAATTTTCATGACTAAAAAGTAAAAATATTTGAATTAAAAAAAAATAATACTTATTTGTATAACTAATAGTACTGATACTAAAAAAATCCCGATCTTCCTTTAAATACGCCACTGGGTATATGTATCTTTACTTCTTGTACACTGAACGGAATTCTATCAACAGAATATATTGTAAATAAAATAAACCACGACAATAAAGAACAAATCGAACCCATATTGAAAGAAATCATCGACGATAATGTTAATCCGATAAACAACGAAAACAGTGTATATTATCGAAGGATAATTCGGTACATAATTTTGATGAACCATATGGGAGATCCGACTTCGTCGCTATGTATTCGAGAAACTTCGGGTAATATGATTAAAATTGGATTGAGCTAAGTATATCTAGTAACCACATATTAAACTCATTACATTAATCTTTATAATTGCAAATCATTTTTCAGCCGCCTTAAACAACAACGTTATTCGAAATAAATTATCCGCTTTTGAAAATCAATTACCGTGCACAAAGCGAAACTTATTGAACGAAATCCCTAAATTAGTGTGCGGCATACAACACGTGAACAATATGGACCGAAGAGGTTGCAGAAAAGATATATCGAAGAGTAAAAAATGTTGATAAATAGAGATTGAAAACCATAAACTAACCAGTATTTTTAATTTTTGTTTTAGTTATAGATATTCTTCCCAGAGGAGTTGAATTTCTACTTGAGAATATCGACCAAGAATTGGATATTGTTATAAAAAATGTAAACAAAATAACTTCGTGGACAATTCAATGTTATAAAGTGGACGAAGACTTTTTGGCTCCTTTGTTTGCAATACGAATAAAGTTTGCGACTGTCCCGACCGACGAATTAAACACGTACAAAATAGCATTGGTGTTTTATCTACAATACAAAAAAAATTTAGAGTATGACGATTATTATGATTAATTATCAAATGTGTCATATTTACCTAACCGTATTCACAAAAAAATTCCTACAATACAATTTTCAGAATGATCAAAAGGGACTTAAGTAAATGCAAAACTGAAATACCTGTATTTTTAAACAAATACGACGTAACATTATATGAAATAAGACAGCATTTGAAACAAATAAACAATTTTGATAAAGATATTTTCGTAAGTACTCATTTACAACAAAGTAATTATTTAATATAGGTGTCTATTCAAATTTGAATTGTTTTCATTTGTTTAGCCAAAACTCTTTGATTTATCGTCCGTCTGGAATAAAATGATAGAAACGATGAATTACCTGAGCTTTACGGCTAATTTCATAACAAAAATGAAGCAAATAGCAAATGAAGTACGTGATTTTTAAGCGCATTGGTACATACAATAACTTTTTAATTTATACCTAAATGTTATTGACTCTAGGCGAATTACATAGACAAACGTATTGAAAAATCATCGATTAGTCTTGATAGTGTATTTAATTTTGTCAACAAAGAACAGCAACAAATAGCCATTGACAGAATACCATTAAACCCAATGTGTAATTGGTATTCACCTTCATCGGGCGCAGTCGATAGAAACGACTTATTTGTAAATTTTAACGATTGTATTATTAATATGAATATAACACAATGGCATTGTATTATTTTGTATTGTTATTATGATTATAGGCGAATGGATATTGTTTGGTAATGTTGGTCGAAACAAACGGTATATTAGTAAAATATAATGAAAACAGCGGTATAATTCAGTATTTGGACGATTGGTTTGGTTTCTCGTGTTTCCAAGCCGCATTACATTTTGGTACTAAACCATCTTAGTAAGAAGAAACACCATTTCATAAATTATTAATAAATTGAACCGCTAAAATTAAAACAGTATCAAAATTATTCGAACTGTACCAACTTTAATATTTGTCATTAAATTTTATTATACTAAAAAGAAAAATATTATAATCCTGTCAAAAAATATTTTCCTTTATAACTTATGCCTTACTTTCTGTATTAAACCATGATTATTTTCAATACCTTGCAAAGTAATATGCAAGAGTTCTCATTTAGTTTAAATAGTTATTTGTATTATTTATTTATAATTTACAAAAGTATGTATTCTGTTAATCAAAAAAATATTTGTTTTCCACAGCTATGTGAACTGTTTCTGTAATTTATTGAGATCACAGATGCATTTGTTGATTTTTTTCAACTTATATGATCAGATGTCAGAAAAATCGTGCGTTTCCAGCGAGATGTAAGTAGTAAATTTGTCAACCAATAATAAATAACATTTAATTATTAGGTATTCACAATTAAGTCCAATTGTACGTTTAAATTCGGAGCGTAACGAGGGATCTATCAGTTTTACTATGATTTTTTTTTTTTAATTTTTTTTTTTTTTGTGTCGGTAAACACCTTCTTCCAAAGTATAGAATGTAGCACCATTTCTGAAAGGTAATTTTGTCCTTTTAGTGCATTGAGGCAATTATTTTTTGATTTTCTAATAGGTTTTTGTAAATTATTGAAAAAATCTCGAACAAAAATTATAGGTAAAACGGCAAATACCTTCTGCGCGCCGTGGTAGCGTTACCGTTTTCATTGTTTTTATTTAGTTCTACTCATGTTTTTTACGATAATTATTACTCCAATCGAAAAATGCCAAGAAATTTATTTTGTTCCTTTCAATATTTTTCCATTGACAGAGAAAGTTGATTTTTGATATCCTAATTATTCTTTATAATAATTGGGAAAAAACCAAAAAATACGACGAAATATAAGATTTTTTTTTTTCAAATTACGGAAAAACGATTTTATTATTTTAAATTCTATTTATTTTAGCTTATTTTCTCCAATAAATATTACTATAAATGACATAAGACGTATTTTGTTTAATTTTAAATTCTGAGTTTAGCGAAGAATGTATTGGTTTTACTTTTCCACAGGAGAGTGGGACCTAACAATAAGTTAATAATGTGAATTTACTAATTCATAGAAAGCACCATCGTGCAATATACGTATAATATACAAATTATTTACTGACAAAATACGGTTCCAACAAAATTACCAAATATTTTACAACTTTTTTACGCTCCCATTTAAGTTATTGATATAAGTCATTGATCATATAGATATGTTCAATATTATAATTTTTAAAAATCAGAATAATGTAATTAAGATGGTTTTTTTAAAAATACAAACATTATATAGATGTGGCCATTTTAAATTCCGTAGACTTTTAGTCCCAGTTCGCCACTGTACCCACATACATAAAAAAAGACCTAGTTTAGATAAAACTAATTATTAGATATTATGATTAATACTTTACTACAGAACACGTAGCAAGAATAATAGTAGTAAATTCAAGGATGCACAAATACAAACAATAATTCAATACCACAACATGAAAACTATAGGATCCATTAATTATGCCCAGGAAATTAAAAAATACCCTAACCAACCAGTAAGCAAAATTAGTATTTACTTCTCATTTTAAACTATTCAACTTTAATAGAGCAAAATATGTTTACGGTGCATTTTTCCAGATTAATAACATATCAAATAAGGCGATTCAAAGTGTGCAAACTCTATACGTAGATAAATCAGACCAAAAGCAAATGACGACTGTCGACGTTGGGTGTAATACTATGAGGGACAAAGCCACCAATACAAATTAATCAATTAATCATAATATATCCTTATATTCAACTGGATATTACTCAACTACAGAATTTCATTGAAATAAAACCCCACACAAAATGTTCAACTTCCGAAAAAACTTTCGGAGATTGTTGGAGATCCGATAATACTAATATACTCGTAGAACTTTAAAACTTATTATTTTTCATACAAATACGTACATTTACTCATTACTTATAATTTTAATTTATTAACTTTTTGTTGAAAAACGATTAATGTAAAGTATCTAGGTACACATTTTTATAATAAAAAAAGTAAGTATATTATGTACACAAATAATAATACCTAGTATATTGAAATTCAACATTAAGCTAACTCGAGTTTGCACTGTAGGTACTTATTTTCTGGAAATTGTAATAATTTTTAACTACAATAAGACAATATTTATAAGAAAATTAAATTTCGGACATAATAGGCAAAGTTCGAAAAAGAAGATAAAGACGTAAAGTTATAATTTATTTAATTTATATCTGTACACAACGAAAATCATTGCTGACGAAATGTAATTCTGAATGAAGTTTGGTTAACATGTTTTTAAACGCCGTTATTTGTATGATTTCTATTAAATTTTAAACTTTAAACACATATATAAAACATAAATAAGCAAAATAAGTAATTACCTTTTAATTGGAGCAAAATTTCTGATATAAAAGTATTTAATTGACACAAAAAACCAACAAAATAAGCACATAGCATAGTAAAACATTCCACGTTGTGACTAGTATATATAAAAAAAAAGTTGATATGATATTATTATCTCCTCTTATTTTCGGTATTATTAAATATGAACCGTAAAGTGCATTATAACGGTCTCGTTAAGAGTTTTATGGTCTGGTAACCCTCAGTCGTTTGGCGATTTGAGATTTGGAATGTAGGAGGAATGTAATGGTTTTAAAATGATGATTATTTTATCATAGACATCACGATAGATAAACACTTGATAAACAATATTGTTTTAGATTTTTTAGATTTTGAGTGGAGCAAAGAAGCTTATGGTTTTACAAAGATGTTTATTTTTTTTTTTCTGTGGACTACTTTTCTACCAAAAATCTTGCTGGATTTTGAAGTGTAGCATTTGTTCCAAAATGAAATTTCACTAGGGAGATACCTTAAAGAAGTTGTTTTTCGATTTTCTCATGAGTTTTCCCAGCAAATGTGAAAAACTGGAAAAAACGTAAGATAACTAGGAAAATCAGTACAACATTAAATAAATATTATTAAAGAAAATATATAAAGCATGTTTAATTATTTGTCTATAATTTGGCATATTATATATATATATATATTTTTTTTTGACAAAGCATCAACTGAACGATTGCCACTAAAAGTCGTCTTTTCGTTTGCAATGATTTAGCATTGCTTACAGGTATACATTAAATTACCTATAACAGTGGCTGCACCCGTTCCCATAATCCCAGGATAGCTTTATTTAACTCATAACTAATGCATAAGCGTGTATTTAAAGGTTTTTTTTATTTACAACATATGAATTCAATTCAATTTAAAATCAACAGGAATTAGGGGTAGTATATTGTTATAGTTGATAATGCGAGAATATTTATGTCCCACTACCAATGAACCCCACGGGCCATCACTGTACAAATTATTTTAAGTTTTGTACATTTTATTAGTTTATTTCTTTAATACATTACTTAATATATACTTTATACATTGTAATTATAAATTGTATACTAATTTGCTTAATAACTATTTAATAATATTTGATTTATAAAATATTTATTTTAGACCTGTTTATAATTTTATATTCATAAAACAAATTGTAAGTTGATTATTTTTGTTTTATATTGTAATAATTTCTAAAAAAATTAATTTGAAAACAATAGTAAGTACCTGTGTTTGAATTTAATAGTTTTTAATTTTATTCACATTTGGACAAACAAATATTAAACAAAATAAGTAAAATGAAGGTGCATAACTTAAATTTGGAGCCGTGTAAGTATTAATTTATTAACTAGGACAATATGAATAGAAATATTTAAAAAAAGAATAAAAATTATTAAAAACCTTATTTCTTCCCAACATAGAAAAGAGAAAAAAAAGTATTGCAGTACCAACCAATCTTAAATGCTACAAAAATTGTCTCCTCGTATCTTCTTTTGATTGAAGCAATATTTCTGTTAAAAAAGTTGTTAACATCAGAATTAAATAATAATATTTTATTAGGCCACATATAAATGTTGACGTTTTGTATAGGCATTCAATGCTCATTTAATTTTACATACTTTTTATTTGGTATGTACTATATGGATATATTTGTTTTACTAAATATTAATAATCAAGAAATTTTTGCCACACGCTGGCGTATAACTAGGTGGTGGTAACTTTATTATCTACATTTGTAGAAATCGATCCAATGTCTAAGGTAAAAAGATTTTCGAAAACGGAAAATAAATCCATTGAAATAGACTGTCCAAATATTGTAAGTGTATATAATAAACACATGGGAGGAATAGACCTATTGGATAGCTTGTAGGACGATAGAAAATTAAAATAAGAAGTCGCAAATGGTATTTAAGGATTTTCTTTCATTTACTTGACGTGACTTGTCAATTCATGGCTGTTACATAATCGAATAATTGCTCAAAAAAATAAAACTACGGGCAATGTTGAAAAACCTATGACATTAGCTGCTTTTAAAGAAGATTTAGCCATATCTCTGTGCAAAGTTGGTCAGTCAACGTCCACTAGAGGAAGGCCGTCAAATATCATAGAGAATGCACTAATACAAAAATCCAAGAAACCGAATGCTTTAAAACCACCAAATCAAGATCTATGCGTGGATTGCATTGATCACTGGCCGATCGATGCATCAACGAGGAGTCATTGTAAAATGCCAGGTTGCAACGGATATACATGGCAAGCGTGTGAAAAATGTCAATTTGGATTATGTGTTGGAAAGGGAAAAACTTGCTTTAAAAAATATCATACTACCTAATAATATTGCGTAATTTACTATGTAATAATTCAAATGTGTATAATTTGATTAATTTTAGGTATATCTATTATAAAATGACAATATTTTAGAAAAATTAAAATATATTAATTTATTCTATTTTTGTCATTACAAATGCATAATGTTGCTCTACAGCAACAACCAACTTTTTCAACACTTGAAATTAAAATAGATTTTTAAATTATTTTTTACGTTTTCTATAGCTTTAGAACTATCCAAAAACAATTTTTTAATAATAAAAAAAAAATTATGCATTTTAGGGTTCATATTTATTGTGTTAGCGTTTCAACTATATTAGTACCTATTCATTATTACTTTCCTGAAATGTAACAATTGCACGAGTAATTTATGTTTTGTTAAATATTATTTTTATACTGTTTAGATTTTATTAAATATTTCTACTTCAATAAATTAATACAAATTTCGTATGTTTTTATGAATTTAAATTTGAGTTGGTTATTTTTTTTTCGTTATGAATAAAAATGTTATTTCAATCATTAAAGTAACTCAAAATTACTTTTTTTTTGTATTCTTTGGATTACCAAGTTTGGCAGCACTGATGTGAGTGAATACTATCTCTCGAGCATTGTATACGTTTAACTTTCGGTGGGGCGTCCTCTTAATATTTTTCTGAAATCAGAATCAAAATTCACCAAGATTACCTACATACTTTTTATGTTATTGTTAATAAACCACATAAAACCTAATTATAATTTTATTTTAATAATTTGCATATTAAAGTTTTTCAAAATTATTTTTTTGGATTCTGTTTTCACTCAGCATGTAATAACAAAGAAGTTTTTGGTGAAGAATTAACTAATATTTTTTCGATATACCAAACATAACACATTAAAATGCGTTCATGGACATCCTTTCAAGTAATGTTTTGAAAGTTAATTACATTGACGAATATGTATGGAAATTTCGAGATTATTCCAAGAATTTACATCGAAAAAAAGTAAATTTTAAAATTCTACTAAATATTTTGTTATTTATAAATATTTAATAATTTGACTTTATAATAGTATAATTTCACCATGCCCTTCAACTCTTCCCCACCCATTGGGTTTTATTATTATTGGCCAATTATTTTAGCTTAAGTAAGTTCAAAAAATAAAAAGTATTAAATAAACTGTATATTGTCCAAAAGTAAAATGTGATGTTTATGTATCTATAAGAAAGGATATATGTTTCACTATTTCTTTCAAATCGAAAAATATTAATTAGTATATATTATTAAAATAATTAATATATTTTGAAGTACCATCAAATTAAGTATACAAAAATACACATTTTGGAAAAAAAAATTTAATAAATTGCTTTGGAGCTAAACTGCATTAGTTCCATAATACCTAGTTATTATCTAATACACCTAATGTTTCACTATTAGATTAATATTTTATTTAAATGTATGTTTTATGACTAATTTGTTCCCAGAATGTGGTGTTTAGTATCATTATCATATGGTAATGACAATAATGCAGATGAAAAGGTCCAGATTTAATACCAAATGATCAAATAATCAATAAATTAAATTGTTGGTATCCACTGGATTTCAAAATGTTTACAATTGAAAAGATATGCTCTAAGACAATGGAAAACCCTGCATATGAAATAAGTGGAAAAAATGTAAGATTGATATTATAGAAAAAAATTTATGTAATTTATTTATTTATGCAATCTAGTATGAATTCAATACACATAAAATATGTAATATACTGATTAAATGTATAGATAATTATGAATATGTATTAAAACTAATGTATAAATTAAACAATAATTCCAACCTTTATTTAGTAATTGAAGAAAGAGAATGTAGACAAAGATCAAAATTTAAATCAAAATAGTCATTAGAACAATATCACTTTTCTCATTTTGATGATGATAATATCCTTCTTAAAGATAAGGTTGAGGTATACTCTACATTTTCTAAGAAACAAAAAATTAAATTGAATTTTCAAAAGAAAAGTAACTTTTTTTTTTTTTTTTTAATTACACTATGTCTAGACTATTTTAGTGTGTATATTATCTTTCAGTCATTATATTTTATTGTACAGTTAATAATAATTCATGTTTAAACTATTGATCAGTCACAATTCGTTAATTAAAACAGCAATATTATTCTAACAATATTTCTCCACCAAGAAATGAGTTTGACACATGTTTTACCAATAAGTCATCATCAGCCATTTACACTAGCAACAGTACTCCTTTAACTCCTAAATCAAGTGAACCATCGAGGACTTTGAAAAAAATTTTAATAAAAAACTTATATTCTTGTACTTTTATTGGTTTTAAAGATAATAGTTTATTAGGTATTGGTCATCAACTTTGTAAGCTATCTGGTACTGCACCAGAATAAACAAATTTCAATACTATTTGCTAAATTAAATTTATATATATATATATTGTATTACAATAGTAATATCTTAACTCAAACAATAATATATTTTTTTTATAGCTGATATGAATAAAGTAAAATCAAATAAAAAATTTCATTAAAAAAGATGTTTCATCTTTTATTCAAAATCAACCAGCACCTAATAGTCAACCAAAATCATATATAAATTCTGAAGAAAACAACTAATCATATATATGTTGCATTAAAAACTCAGAGTGAATAGAATTAATATTAATTTATTACAATAATAAATAAAATTAAAACTAAAAAATGAAAAGGAAAGTGTAAAAACATAAAAAAAAATGTATTATTAAGAATTCAGAATATTCAGAATTTTAAATGTGTAGTTTTATTGTTGGCAGGTATCTTCATTTTTAAATTTTCATTACATGATATTATAGTTGGTATATTAATATAATATTGTACAATATTATTTTGTCCAGTCAAATAAGATTTTCAGCTAGGCAAAAATGTCCATCTAGCTGAATACTACACCTTTATAATCTCAAAATCATGTGCACAGTAATAGTTACAAAAAAAAACTTTTTTTTTTTTTAATATCTCCCTTTATACTAGTTGTATAAAATAAAGTTTCAAACAAAAATTGTAGAGAAGAAAATTATCTACAAGATGGTTATATATATATATATGTAATTGTACTTGTTTTATACAAATGTTAATGTTTACCATACAAAATTACAAGTATATATAACAATTATAAGAATGCATTCATTTCCATACTACTAATCATTGATAATAAGTTAAATAATATATAATCCGAAATAATACTAATAAAAGATAAGCAAGGTACAAACTACTTATTTCAATACAACAAGGATCCTAGATGAAATCTAATTCCATGTCACCAACAAAACATAATTCGAATCACCTCCTTGTCACAAACCAACCAGGAGATATCGGCACAATGCGGCACACCAATCATACCAAGAACAAAGAACAATAGTTACGAAAAAATCGTAATCACTTTATGTTAACAAAATATATACATAAAATATATATTTCTGTTTTATTAAGTTTGTAAAAATAATTTTTCCAAAATAAAACATCTTTAACTAATGACAATTATGTATTACTATCAAGTATACTCATTTCCCCTGTTATTTTTATTTATTTAATACCACATAAAAATGGTAAGATTGTTGTAGAGGATCCAGGGAAAAAAAAAATGTCAATACAAAATAAGTATACAAGAAGTAAAACAAGAAATAGGGTCTGTGAATCTTTTAAATTTCAAAATTGCATAATCAAACTTAATTTTACATAACAGCCAAATCAAAATTTCATAAATATTACAGTTATAACAAACATATAAATTAAAATAAATAAAAAAAAATAATATTTGATTAATTAAAATAGTAAATTAAACAAACCAAATATTTTGTGTATAGATTTTTATATCATACTTTATAAATTAAATTTGAAAATACAAAAAAATAAAACACAGAGAATAAGTAGAGAATCAAAAGGGTTGTTATTGCAATATCTATAGGTATTCAAAAAAAAAAAAACATTTTTAATTTAAAAATTCCAATTTTGATAGAAATTATAAAATATTGAAATATTAGTAATGTTTAAAGAATAAAGTAAAGAGATTATGCATATATATTAACAAATATTAATCAAATCTGACCGGAAGTTCTAAATCAAATAAATGTGTTAGATTAAAGAGGAAGGAAACATATAAAAGAAGAAATTATGTTTAAAATCAAATTAAAAAAAAACTCAGGATCAAAGAGAAGATTAAGTCCAAAGAGGTACATTTCTATTATTCTTTATTAATTTATTTAATTGCCAACAATTTTAATTCTAAAGGGACAATTAAGTCCGAAAAGGTTTTTGAAAGAAAAAAAATATAAACAAATAAAGAATTATATATACTTAAAAAAATTAAACATTATTATTGTTATTTCATTTAATTAACAAAAAAATATAAAACCTAAGAGACAATTAAGTCTGTAAAGGTAAACTATTATTTATATTAACTTATTTAATTAACACAAATTTATGTTATAGATAAATATACTTATACAGACAAAAAAATATAAACCCTAAAGTAGAATTTAATGGTTGCTAGGTTCGAAGTTTGAAGGGTAATCATTAATCTAAATTAAAGAGGTAATTATAAGCCTAGCTCACGGAAGTAAAATATTTAACAAACTTTTAAATTTAAATATAAAAAAAAAAAAGAGAAAATAGAGGATTAAAATTGATATTCATATAAATTGTAAAATAAACCTAAAGAGTTAAAATACAATACTTGATTTAATAAGCAATATTTATTTTTTTTTTTTTTTTCCAAAAAGAGAAATCTGATACATAAGTAACAAGGTATATAGGAAAACATTGGTATCTAATTACAGTTTACATATTATTTTAACTAGTTAATATTTCATTATTTAATTGTATTACATTATCATATAATGTAGAAAGAATAAGTTATATAAAATAAAAATACGTTCTAGGGTAATGGGGACGGGAGCAGCTACTGTTATATGTAATTTAATATATATCTGTAAGCTACAATAAACCATTGTTTACGAAAAAACGATCCTGAGCGAAGTTTAGTAGATAGTGATACTTTGTCAACAATATTGTGGTAAAATAATTAAATGGGATCTATATATTTTCTTTAATAATATTTGATTAATGAATTATCTATTTCCCCAGGTTTCCTACGTTTTTCCTGGATTTCCCATGGTTTTTTCCCAGTGTTTCACATTTTTGAGAAAACTTCGAAGAAAATCGAAAAACGACCTCTCTAAAGTACCTCCACAATGAAATTTCCTTTCAAAAATATTCCTATCAATAAAAATTGGAGCAAAATTGCTGGTATAAAAGTTATCCACAGGATATAAAACATCTTTGTAAAACCATAAGCTTCTTCGCTCTACTGAGAATGTAAGATTTAGATCCATAAATTTATAATCAATCATATCAATAACGAAAAAGAAAACAATCAACTAAAATTTTAATTCATAAAAACATACAAAATTTGTATTAATTTATCAAAATAAAAATATTCAATAAAATCTAAACAATATAAAAAAATATTTAATAAAATATAGATTACTCGTGCAGTTATGTTACATTTCAGGAAAATAATAATAATGAATAGGTACTAATGTAGTTGAAACGCTAACACTGGGTATTTTTTACTCGTAAATTTGTTGAATTTCTTTTATTATACTCAAATAAATAATAACTAATAATATATATATTTTATTTAAAACTAATTCATATTTTATATTCATTATATATTAATGATAAGTATATATAATACCGCCAAAAATGCAGTTAAGCTCCCAAGTGATATTTTGGAATTTTTTTTTTTAAAATATATGTTTTTGCATGCTTAATTTGTTGGTACTTTCAAAAAAATGCACACGAACTTCATTTAGTAGTTATGGTCAAAAAACTTCGAAATGCTCGATTTTTCTAAAAATAGTGTTTTTGAGTTTAAAATATCAAAATTTATATTTTTAGAATTTCGTTTTAGAAATGGTAGTAATTATATGATTAAGAGGACGACACACCGACGAGTTTCATTGATAAAAACATGTCTACGAAGACGACACAACTCGCTTAGTTTTGGTTTTACAGTGAAAATGCCGAACAATATTCTGAAGAGGCAAACGATGCTTTTTTTTTTGAAACTAGTTCTTTGAAAATTTACAGAAATTTAAAAATATTGAAATATTTATTATTTTTAAGCGATAAATTAGGAGTTATAATCGAATAATCGAAAAAAAACGCACGGTCTGCTTCTCTAGAATATTGTTCTCTTTTAATTTTGTAATAGGTACTATTACTCCAAAACCAAAATTAAGTGAGTTCTGTGTCGTCTTCGTAAGCATGTTTCGACGATGTAAAATACAAATTTTGTCCTAATATATGTTGCTCCAAGCGGCACCGTAAATTCCAACATTACAGTTTGCTGGGAAATAAATGAATACACAAACATGATCTTTATCTCTGTATCGTAATATACCTATATATATATATATATATATATATATATATATATATGTATACATATAGACTATATGTAACTATATGTTCATGTATTATGTATACCTATTCAGGTATCTATCTGTAAATGTATCTCTTACTGGGGTAGGTCGTAGATACACTATTATTGATTAAACTTGACTTCAGTGTTTTCAAAACTATTAAATGTATAGGTATTTAAAGTAAAGTAGGTACCTAATCCTAAAAGTGACAATTGAATTCTATAATACCTACTGTGGAAATCATACTGTAAACAAATCTATTTCAAAATATTAAAGTGTAAAAGATTAAACATAGTTAGGTCCTGCTATTTATCATTTAACTAGGTATTATGGAAATACTTTTTACTTATAATTTAAATGAATCTATAGGTAAAAAAATGTGTACTTACAGGATGACTCACTAAGGGTGCTCACCCTATATTTTTGGTTAAATTTTGCATATATTCAAAGTCTGATTTTTGGAATTTTTAAATGTAGTTAAATCTGATATTTTAAGTTACTTAAATTTTTCACAACATTTAAGTTTTACCCTGTTGCGAGACCGATTGGTTTTTAAATGAGAACCTATATTAAAATTTCATAAATAGATGGAGCACAGTTAAACATGAAAACATAACAAGTATTTCCCAATGCTTAATTATTTAACTAAGGTAGATATATAAAACACTACAGTATTGGGTATAATAAGCATGTTATACTTGAATAAATAAATTATTTGTAAAAATATATGCATAAAAATATAATATATATTAAATTATAGATTAATAAGTATTAACAATAATTTATTAATATAAATTAATCTTTTGAACTACCTATTGTTACCATTACTTGTTCAACTTGTTGCTTTTTAACTACTTGATATTATGGTTTATTATTTTCCTATAATTTTTTTATAATGTTAGTTAAATTTAATTATTTTTAAAAATGATCTG